TACGTAGGACCTCTGTGAACGTTACCACAATAACACACTTCAGAAATTCAATGTAGTTTTGTTGAGAGCCATCTGTAGTCATTTTGAGATCCCTGTAAAATTGAGAGACAAAAAACAGATCCTCATAGACAAACTGTCGGACGTGATTAGTGATTTTCAGTGTGTATCTCAGTAGACTTATGTAAGCAATGTCTTATACGGTGGCTGAAAGTGTAGAATATGCTCTACAGATACAAACTACCTTTACTTCCGATATCAAGTTCTGACGGCGTTGTTATAGTGTAATATATTATAATATCTAGTAGTCAGTGAAATGTTTTGATGAAATCGATTGAAAATTTACCAAAAGCAACACTTATAACATCTGTTCATACGAAGCATGTGTCAAGTTTTTAACACGTTGGTAGCCTATTTCTCCGGCTATTGACAGGTTGCTGTTCTGTGGACACAATCGACGCGGAACCGAGAGAAGCAAGCTCAGGATATTTGAAATTGATTTATTAATTATATGATATCAAACTCCAGGTAAAAGCATTTATTCTTTTCATCCAAAATTTTTCTGCCCAAATATTACATTGGGATACAAAACAAAACCATATGGCACCACGTACGGCACAAGCTATCAGCGGTCTTCTCTTTTGTGCGGACCTTTGTGAGAACAGTATAACATCGAACTGGATCTAAATTTGAGCGATTATTTCTTCACTTCAGAAGCCTAAAACCTTCATTTCTCCCTCAGCTTCCAGACATGGAGAGTTTATATTCTGATTTTGGAAAAAATTCAGCTCTGCAGCGATGTTAAATGGGTGATTCACCGCGAAATGTGGCCAATTCCGGCATTTGTTTTGATACCACGAATCACGATGGATGCCGCCTACTTTTCGAAGGCAATACCTAGCTATTTGTTGAAGTTATCATGGATTTCACCAATCTGGTTATTAGAAAAATTCTGAAGTGAGCCATGAAGCCGGGCTGCAAAGCGGGTAAGCTGTATTTATGACGAAATCTGCTCCAGTGGTTCGATTTTGGTGTAGGCGAAAAAATCGCGAATGCTCGTACATGTGCTGATTCAAATGGTCATAACTTTTGAAAAATCGAAAACGTACAGGGCTTTTTGCATATTTTTGCTTATAAAGGTCTAAACTTAACGGCTGTGTAGGATAGAATCGTCAACCAGGTCCCAAATCCCAAAACTTAGCGTCTAAATCAAGGTTATTTACGGCCATCGGCCGATGGCGATTTCTAGTGGTCAGAATATGCTAAAATTCGCCTTTTCAAATATGTCGAGAGGGCAAATTCTAACTTTCTTGGCAAACTAGAAAGGTTTTTAAGCAATCTGATATAAATTCTGTGGCTTAACTATGCGAATCAAATATTTTACAACGTTACAAAATATGCCTATTTTTCAATTTTTGAGACGTTGCGACGCTCCCTACGGACTGGGAAATAATTATGGCCCGTAATGCAGTCAGAAAATTATTTCGAATCAAACCAAATCTAATTTAGTTCTTTCCTAGGTAAAGTCTTTCTGTTAACAGAGTTTCAGGCAAAATTATTTTTGACGCAAAATTGACCGGGTGGAAATAAGAGAGACAGCCTCTTAATACTAAATTACCCTGTTATACTCTCTCACCGTTGCAGCACCATAGTTTTTTTTAGAACCATACCACCTTTACTATCGTCCAAATACTCAACCACTGTTTAACTAGCTATTACCTCAACCATCCAATGATCGTTTTTGCAACCAAGAATGTTTGTCACAAACAGAAGCAAATATAAACGAAAAACGAGGTAGATAGGATATTGCGTTTTTACGTGTCATGATTTGAGGATCTTAAGCACACGTGGTATACAAAATAAAGACATGCATCAACAAGCTAAAAAAGCGGCTCTAGGAAGAAGGATGTTTTCCATAAGTTTTTTTTTTCGGCAACCTGACAAAAAATATTGGCGTAAGTTTTTTCTTTGATAGAAAAAAAGGGAAATTAGCTTCCTGTTTGGGCCCGAAAGTTGATGAAAACTCAAAATTTATCCTTATTCTGGATCACCTCTACTAGTTACAAAGAAACACGGCTAAAAATACCCTCGCAAACATCTCAAAATGATTTCCTCGGGTTTGTTTTGGCAACCTAATGATGACGTTGGCCAAACAAATATTTGCTTTAGTTTCCCCTTAAATTGGTAAATAAAAAGAAAAACTTGAAGCCAAGCTAATATAAGACGTAATCAAAACTGCGATTTTTATTTCATAAATATATAAATATATTGTAGTACACTTCCCTCCTTCGCCCTGCTGAGTATTGAGCAAAGGCAAGAGGTTATAATCTCTTGGCAAAGGTCTTTACACACCAACCTGGCGCAGGACATGTGGCCTGGGAACCGTTGCTCCTTCTTTAAATGTCTTTTAAGAGGCTCGAAGTGTCCAACATCAATAAACACATAGACAAAATATTTATTAAGTACATGAAACAGTGCCAAATGAAGCAATACACGGCTCATTTGTCTAAAAACGTAGAACTGAGTTCTAAATTAATTATTGTCAATTTTTTAGCGTCAGCTACATATGTAACCTCATTACATGAGCACACCAAGAGTCTTCCAACATCAAGAACAGCAACAAAATATATTTTTTGTGGTATGGCCAGTTTTGGTTTCGATGTGAATCTTACTCTTCAATTTCGTAATAACAGGCTCAATTGTTCACCACACAGGAAATACTAAAGAAAAAGCTCACTTAAAAGTAAAAGCTCACTTAAAAGTAAAAGCTCACTTAAAAGTAAAAGCTCACTTAAAAGTAAAAAGTGTAAAAAAAATTTGCAACAAGAAGAACAATAACGAAAATGTGGCACATCCGGCTAGGCTCTCCCTTTTCAGAAGCAATACTGCAGGAGACAAATATTACTGTTTTTTCATTAAATAGTGAATCTTGCATTCGGGAGACACTCCTGCAACAAGAAAAAAGCAAACTCTGTTTCTCGCCAAGCCTTAATAAGGGTCAGCAAATGCCTGCGGAATTACTACCTCAACGAGTTCTAAGAGCCGCCTCACCTTATGAATGTTGTGCACGATCAGATCTGAAAAACCTAACAGTAGTCTAAAATAATTAGCTAGACACCCCCGCTAACTATGGGTACACACCTTGATGAATAATAATAATATTGATGATAATAATGATAATAATAATAATAATAAAAACCTAATATCGGCAAATAAGCGTCAAATGTCGTGCCATGACATTACATGTGAAATCATCAGCTATGCACATCAATCGAAGTGTCCAACATAGACAAATAAAATAATACAAAAACATAGACAAAGTATTTATTAAGTACATGAAACAGTGTCAAATGAAGCAATGCACGGCTCATTTGTCTAAAAACGTAGCACTGCGTTCTAAATTAATTATTGTCAATTTTTTAGCGTCAGCTTCATATGTAACCTCATTACTTCAGCACACAAAGAGTCTTCCAACATCAAGGACAACAGCAACAAATATGTTTCTTCTGGTATAGCCAATTTTGGTTTCGATGTGAATCTCGCTCTTCAATTACGTCATAACAGGCTCGATTGTTCACGACACAGGAAATACTAAAGAAAAGCTCACTTAAAAGGCAAATATTGCTGTTTTTTTTATTAAATAGTGAATCTTGCATTCGGGAGACACCCCTGCAACACCAAAAAAGCAAACTCTGTTTCACGCCAAGCCTTGATAAGGGTCAGCAAATGTCTGCGGAATTACTACCTCAACGAGTTCTAAGAAAAAGAATGTTTTCTACAAGTTTTCTTTGGCAAACTGACGAAAAGACTAATATTAGCATAAGTTTTCTCTTTAATAGAAAAAAAAGGAAAAATCAGAAGACAATCAAAACTGCGAGTTTTATTTCGTAACATTGCCTTCTTGTCCGATATCATCAGCGTCATAATAAATAATTGATTTCTCCACAAGAAAACTTAAATAACCCCGTGAGAAATAAATCTGCAGCACAATACTCAATAAATATACTGTAGTACACTTCCCTCTTTCGCCCTGCTGAGTAAGCACGATCAGGTTCAAAAAAACCTTACAGTAGTCTAAAACAATCAGCTAGACACCTCTGCTAACTATGGCTACATACCTTAATGAATAAAAAAAAACCTTGCAATATTGGGGAATTGAACGTCAAATGTCGTGCCATGACATTAGCTGTGATATCCTCAACTATGCACGTCAATCGAAGTGTTCCAACATCAAAAAGAACATAGACAAAGTATTTATTTAGTATAAATGCAACAATGTAAATGGTGCACCCCTTCATTTGTTTAAAAACGTAGCTCTGAGTATTACATTAATTATTGTCTACTTTTGTGCGTCAGCTTTATTGGTAACCTCGTTACATTTACGCACCAATCAAAGTCTCTCAACATCAAGAAAAACAGCAACAAAATATACTTTTTCCGGTATAGCCAATTTTGATTTCGATGTGAATCTCTCCCTTAAATTACGTAATATAGGCTCAATTGCCCACGACACAAGAAATACCAAAGAAAAAGCTCACTAAAAGCAAAAGAAGTAAAAAAAAAATTGCATCGAAAAGAACGAAAACGAAAACGTGGCACATCAATGAAACAGCGATGCAAATTTTCGTTCTTGTAACTTAAACAAAATATGTAATTTTTCTCAGGAAAATACATTCCTCTGAGTTGATAGATTAATAAAAGAAATACAAAGGATCTCGAGTAGTACAACAGAAATCTTAAAATAACGCATCTGCTAGAAGTTTTATGTAAATACGGAAAAACGTAAAGTCTTCTTGAGGAGCAAGTAGAACCCAAAAAAGTTTGTGTTGACTAAATAGGCCGGTATAATCAATTACTGGAACAATATTTTGAAGTTATTTGCACGTTTTTCCTGATTCCCGCCAATATAAATGTTCCTCTACAACGAAAAAAATCATCAGAGTAGCACTGCTTCTACAAAGGAGCTGCTAAGTTGTTTGGTAACCAAGCAAGAACATACCGGAATGAACAAGTTCGTTCTTTCCGCCCTTGTGGCATTCTGCGCGGCTGTATCTTTGCAAGTTGTTGTATCGTATGAACCCCTAGAAAAAGCTGCCTATGAAACCCAGCAATCCGACGATTATGGTGCAGTGAAGGATGCAGTCGACGCCAATGCAGATGAAGGATTTGAAGATGATCTGAGCGACTACAATCATTTCGACGAAGATGAAGTTGACAATGATGAAGATGAAGAGAGTGAAGAGGATGCAAACGGGTGAGTGTTTTTTCTGCCATCACAAACGCGGACATTTTTTATTTGTATCACTGCGTTAGCTTTCATTTAAAGGTATCAGACGCCAACCCCAACCCACCAACAAGGAATACTCTGGCTAAAGGGAAAAAGATAATTCGGGTTAAAAATTAATTAAACGATTCTTCGTTTAAGTAAATGTACACAACTAAGATAGCTGTAAAATGTTTGAGAAAAGCTAATCAAAAAATCAGTTTCATTTGCATTCGAGTTTGGATCGAAAATTTAATCCACCATGCAATCTGTGTTATCGGAATGAAGGCATTTCTAAGTTTGGACAATGATCGTTAGTTACTTATTTTGCTTGAAACCGGTGTTTATCCACCGTATTTATAATGAAATCTATGAACTCCACGGGTTGCAGATATCGTCATTCTAAATGAATTGAGGTCATGGGCGGTTGGGGTTGTGGTATTTCAGAGGATTTCTCATTCATTTACACTCCGATCAGTGTAATCAAATTTGCGGAATGAACCCTGGCATTTCTAAGTGTGGACGATGATCGTTAGTTACTTTTTTTTTCCGAAAAGAGATAATATTTCTAATTTAGTTTATTTTTGGAAATAAATCAGCTGGTTACTCCACATATTGCCCAAACTGAAGAAAATGTAGTTATAACTTCCTTCTCATGTCTTCTTTCAGAAGCAATGATGTCCAAGAAGATCCAAAACCATTTTTTCGCAGAATAAGAGTCCCGAAACCAAGATTCCGGATCCCGAAGCCAAGAGTCCCGCTTCCAAGAATTCCAAAACCAAGGATCCGGATCCCGAGAATCCCAAAACCAAGATTCCGGATTCCAAGATTGCCAAAGCCCCGCCTCCCGTTTGGAAAGAAGTAAAGGGACTTACCCACTGAATTAGTCTGTTAGAAATCGAGGCTACGAGAATCTTTGCCATTGGTCTTTGATTCACACTCTAAATGTGTAAGCAAAAAGTTTTAATAGGTTAAATTTTGTGAACTAATCAACTGACTCATCTGGTAATAAAACACATTCAGTAGCATGTTTTTCAATACGCGTCTTTTTAAGTGCGGAGTTTTTAGTGCCACAACTGCATCACGGCAGAAACGTCGTTCACATACTGAACTCAGAATTGTACAATTCCTAATACTAGACCTCATGCGACACGAGGATAAGCTACGCGCTTAAGCGAGTGCATTCACAACACTATCTATCACAATGATCGCTCTGACGAAGGGCTAACGCTCGAAACGTCAGCTTTTTTACCCTTTACGGTGGTTAATTTACATTTTCACCTCAGTTGTTAACACTAAGTTACCTGCCATTCACAACACTAGCCTGGTGGAAAGGTTTAGAGGAGAAGTTTAGCATCACGTTTACATGAAAGATAGAGTGAAAATCTTACGTATAGAACAAATGTGAAATAGCTTGGTACTTTCAAATAGAAATGGCAAAGCCCAATCAGTACGCAGGAAAAATGGCAAAAAATGGGGAAATCGTGGTCACGTGGTCAATCTTGTCGTTTATGTTTCGTATAAACGCGGTGCTAAATCTCTATAATGAGCGCGAGTGAGTGGGCCTCGTAGCGGTTCTGGCGTGAGAATCGGACGTACACATTGCTTGCACTAAATAGGACGAATGTTGCAATGCACGCACGTGCAAGCTGATTCGGAAAAAAAGGACAGCTATGTGACGACCTAATCTTAACTGGGTTTTCAAGCAAGTTGAGGGAGAAAAAAATTAGCTTAGGAATCTCATGTGAAAATTGTCGAACTTGATTCTTGACAATTCAAGGATTGAAAAAATTAGTCTTCAGTAATGCACAGGGCAGGACAACTGGGGGAAGACTATCAGCACAAGTCTAATACATGAAATGAACAACGTCAGCAAACACTTCCGACTGGTTCTAAAATCCAATTTGCGTGTGGGGGTGTTTTCCTCCCATAAATGGCCTCATCTGATGATCATTTTTTCATCATTAATACAAAATTGTAAAATTGAAGGTTACTAGGAAAAGATTACCGCAAACGCATGCGAACAGAGTCTTTGTGCCTTGCAATAAACCTCTAAAGTAGCACAGACTCGGCGGTTAGGCTCTCCCTTTTCAGAAGCAATACTGCAGTAGACAAATATTACTGTTCTTCATTAAATAGTGAATCTTGCATTCGGAGGACACCCCCGCAACAAGAAAAAGGCAAAGTCTATATCTCGCCAAGCCTTGACAAGGGTCAGCAAATGCCAGCGGAAAATAGCTCTTTGCTCGAACACGAACATTAAGGAAAACTCAAAATTTTGCTCTAGTTGTCACAAAGAAACACGGCTGAAAATACCTTCGCCAAACACCCCGGCAAGTTCCTCGGGTTTGTTTTGGCAACCTGATGATGACGTTGGCCAAACAAATATTTGCTTTAGTTTCCCCTTAAATATTAATTGGTAAATAAAAAGGAAAACTTGAAGCCAATGTAATATAAGACATAATCAAAACTGCGAGTTTTATTTCGTAACATTGCGTTCTTGTCCGATATCATCAGAGTCATAATGAATAAATGATTTTCTCCTCAAGAAAACTTAAATAACCCCGTGAGAGATAAATCTCCAGCGCAATATTCAATAAATACATTGTAGTACACTTCCCTCCTTCGCCCTGCTAAGTATTGAGCTAAGGCAAGAGGTTATAATCTCTTGGCTTAGGTCTTTACACACCAACCTGGCTCAGGGCATGTGGCCTGGGAACCGTTGCTCCTTCTGTAAATGTCTTTTAAGAGGCTTTTTTTTCCGTGCTCCCCATCTGGTTAGATCTGAGATGAAAGCAGCAAAGCCGCAGTGTTGGTTGCAATCTCGCTAAGCGTGCATAATCTCTTTTCATGTGTTTAAATAAACCTTGCCATTGGATGTTTTGATGTGCAGTACCTTATAAGTTGGTTGTGAATGCCATTGTGAATGCCAGATACGATTGGAATTCCTTATGAATGTTTTGCACGATCAGATCTGAAAAACCTAACAGTAGTCTAAAACAATTAGCTAGACACCCCCGCTAACTATGGGTACACACCTTAATGAATAATAATAATAATAATAATAGTAATAAATACCTAATATCGGGGAATTAACGTCAAATGTCGTGCCATGACATTACATATGAGATGACTATGCACGTCAATCGAAGTGTCTAACACCAATAAGAACATAGACAAAGTATTTATTAAGTACTTGAAACAGTGTCAAATGAAGCAATGCACGGCTCATTTGTCTAAAAACATAGCACTGAGTTCTAAATTAATTATTGTCAATTTTTTAGCGTCAGCGTCATATGTAACCTCATTACAATAGCACACCAAGAGTCTTCCAATATCAAGAACAACAGCAACAAAACAATGTTTTTCTGATATAGTCAATTTTGGTTTCGATGTGAGTCTCACCCTTCAATTACGTCATAACAGGCTCAATTGTTCACGACACAGGAAATACTAAAGAAAAAGCTCACTAAAAGTAAAAAGTGTAAAAAAAAATTTGCAACAAGAAGAACAAAAATGAAAATGTGGCACATCCGACTAGGCTCTCCCTTTTCAGAAGCAATACTGCAGGAGACAAATATTGCTGTTTTTTCATTAAATAGTGAATCTTGCATTCGGGAGACACCCTTGCAACAAGAAAAAAGCAAACTCTGTTTCTCGCCAAGCCTTGATAAGGGTCAGCAAATGCCTGCGGAATTACTATCTCGAGTTCTAAGAAAGAGAATATTTTCTACAAGTTTTCTTTGGCAACCTGACGAAAAGACTAGTATACGCGTAAGTTTTCTCTCGAATAGAAAAAAGGAAAAACAGCTTTCTGCTCGAACACGAACTCAAAATTTATTCTTACTCTGGATCACCTCTAGTTGTTACAGAGAAATACGGCTAAAAATACCTTGGCAAAAGATCTCAAAATAATATTGGAAACCTGTTAATGATGTTGGCCAAACAAATATTTGCGTTTCTAATATAAGACCAATCAAAACTTTTTAAACATTGGTCCGATATCATAAAATGAATAATTGATTTTCTCCACAAGAAAACTTAAATAACCCCGTGAGAGATAAATCTCCAGCGCAATATTCAATAAATATATTGTGGCCTGGGAACCGTTGCTCCTTCTGTAAATTTCTTTGAATAGTCTTTTTTTTCCGTGCTCCCCATATGGTTAGATCTGAGATGAAAGCAGCAAAGCCGCTAAGTGTGCATAATCTCTTTTCATGTGTTTAAATAAACCTTGCCATTGGATATTTGAATATTATTAGTTGGTTGTGAATGATTGGAAATTCTTATGAATGTTGTGCACGATCAGGTCCAAAAAACCTAACAGTAGCCTAAAACAATTAGCTAGACACCTCTGCTAACTATGGCTACATACCTTAATGAATAAAAAAAAAAACTGCAATATCGGGGAATTGAACGTCAAATGTCGTGCCATGACATTAGCTGTGATATCCTCAACTATGCACGTCAATCGAAGTGTTCCAACATCAAAAAGAACATAGACAAAGTATTTATTTAGTATAAATGCAAAAACGTAGATGGTGCACCCCTCATTTGTTTAAAAACGTAGCTCTGATTATTAAATTAATTATTGTCTAATTTTGTGCGTCGCTTTATGGGTAACCTCGTTACATTTACGCACCAATCAAAGTCTTCCAACATGAAGAAAAACAGCAACAAAATATACTTTTTCCGGTATCGCCAATATTGGTTCCGATGTGAAACTCTCCCTTCAGTTACGTAATATAGGCTCAATTGTGCACGACACAGGAAATACCAAAGAAAAAGCTCTCTTAAAAACAAAAATAGTAAAAAAAATTGCACCGAAAAGAACGAAAATGAAAACGTGGCACATCATTGAAACAGCGATGAAAATTTTCGTTTTTGTAACTTAAACAAAATATGTAATTTTTCTCAGGAAAATACATTCCTCTGATTTGTTAGATTAAAAAAGAAATACAAAGGATCTCGAGTAGTACAACAGAAATCTTAAAATAACGCATTGGCTAGACGTTTTATGTAAATACGGAAAAACGTAAAGTCTTCTTGAAGAGCAAGTAGAACCCAAAAAAGTTTGCGTTGACTAAAAAGGCCGGTATAATCAATTACTGGAACAATATTTTAAAGTTATTTGCACGTTTTTCCTGATTCCTGCTGATATAAATGTTCCTTTCCAACGAAAAAAATCATCAGAGCAACACTGCTTCCACAAAGGAGCTGCTAAGTTGTTTGGTAACCAAGCAAGAACAGACCGGAATGAACAAGTTCGTTCTTTCCGCCCTTGTGGCATTCTGCGCGGCTGTATCTTTGCAAGTTGTTGTATCGTATGAACCCCTAGAAAAAGCTGCCTATGAAACCCAACAATCCGACGATTATGACGCTGTGAAGGATGCAGTCGACGCCAATGCAGATGAAGGATTTGAAGATGATCTGAGCGATTACAATCATTTCGAAGATGAAGTTGACAATGATGAAGATGAAGAGAGTGAAGAGGATGCAAACGGGTGAGTGTTTCTTCTGCCATCACAAACGCGGACGTTTTTTGTTTGTATCACTGCGTCAGTTTTTAGTTAAAGGTATCAGACGCCAACCCCAACCCACCAGCAAAGAATACTCTGGCTAAAGGGAAAAAGAGAATTTGGGTTAAAAATTAATTAACTGTAATTAGCTGTAAAATGTTTGAGAAAAGGTAATCAAAACATCAGTTTCATTTTGCATTCGAGTTTGGATCGAAAATTTAAGCCACCATGCAATTTGTGTTATCGGAATGAAGGCATTTCTAAGCTCGGATGATGATCGTTAATTGCTTTTTGCTTGAAACCGCTGTTTATCTACTTATGGTTTTGGAGCCAAAGTTAATGAAGATCTGCGAGGAAAGAAAGGGCACTTGATAAATTATCAGTATTTACAATGAAATCTATGAACTCCACGGGGTTGCAGATATCGCCTCTATAAATGAATTGAGGTCATGGGCGGTTCGGGGTCTGGTATTTCGGAGGATTTCTCATTCATTTACATTCCGATCAGCAGCCTGGCGTAATGTTTGCTAGTGCAAACATAAGAACCTGGTACTTGCCGAAATATCCTCTTTAAAATGTGCTGATAATTCACGAAAACGGGAAAGAGCACGGAGTAATATGGAAATGACCTCCTTCTGGATCCAGGTCTTAAAAATGACCTGCCCCATCTTCTTCCCAACCAAATGCCGCATCAGAATTTTTCCAAAAAGAAACAATATTTCTGATTTAGCTTATTTTGGGAAATAACTCAGCTGGTTACTCCATATATTGCCTGAAGGAAACTGAAAGAAATGTAATTATAATTGCCTTCTCATGTCTTCTTTCAGAAGCAATGATGTCCAAGAAGATCCAAAACCATTTTTTCGCAGAATAAGAGTCCCGAAACCAAGATTCCGGATCCCGAAGCCAAGAATCCCGCTTCCAAGAATTCCAAAACCAAGGATCCGGATCCCGAGAATCCCAAAACCAAGATTCCGGATTCCAAGATTGCCAAAGCCCCGCCTCCCGTTTGGGAAGAAGTAAAGGGACTTACCCACTGAATTAATCTGTTAGAAATCGAGGCCACGAGAATCTTTGCCATTGGTCTTTGATTCACACTCTAAATGTGTAAGCAAAAAGTTGTAAAAGTTAAGTTTTGTGAACTAATCAACTGACTCATCTGGTAATAAAACACATTCAGTTGCATGTTATTCCGTACGCGTTCTTTAAGTGCGGAGTTTGTAATGCCACAATTACATCACGGTAAAAACATCGTTCACATACTGAACTAGAATTGTACAATTCCTAATATAGATCTTATGCAACACGAGGATAAGCTATGCTCTTGAGCGAGTGCTTTCACAACACTAGAGAGGTTTAGCATCGCGTTTACATGAAAGATAGAATTAACCTTTCTGCTTTAGATTTGTGTCACTTCGGCATTTGAATGATGTTAAACATGAAACTTCATTTTCCCTTGTATGACTTACAGGAAATAGTTTTGGTGTACTTTTTTCCGACAATTACCTTCTACTCTGAAAGAATAAGGGAAGAAAATCTTACGAATAAGACAAACGCGAAACAGCTACTTTCAAATAGAAATGGCAGAGCGCAACCAGTACTCAAAAAAAAGGGGCAAAAAATGGGGAAAAACGTGTTACGTTTCGCACAAACACCGTTCTAAATCTTTCTAATGAGCGCGAGTGAGTGGGCCTCGTAGTTACTCTGGCGTTACAATTGGACGTACACGTTGCTTACACTGAATAGGACGAATGTTGCAATGCACGCATGCGCAAGTTGATCCCAAAGAAAAGGACAGCTATGTGACGAACTAGTCTTAAATAGGTTTTCAAGCAAGTTGAGGGAGAAAATAGTTAGGCTAAGAATCTCTTGTGATAATCCTCGAACTTGATTCTCGAAAATTCAAGGATTAATAATAGCAGTTTTCAGTAAGGCACAGGGCAGGAAAACTGGAGGAATACAATCAGCACAAGTCCAATACAAGACATGAACAATTTTAGCAAGCAGTTCCGACTGGTTCTATAGTCCAATTTATGTTTTACGAGCGTTTTCCCCACAAGAATGGCCTCACCTGATGATCATTTTTTCATTATTGATCCAAATTGCAAAACTGAAGGTTACTGAGACAAGGTTACCGCAAACATATGCGAGCAGAGTCTTTGTGCCGTGCCATAAACTCCTGAGGTAGCGCAGATCCGGCTAGACTCTCCCTTTTTAGAAGCAAATTTACGGGAGACAAATATTGCTGTTCTTTCATTAATAAGTGAATCTTGCATTCGGGGGACACCTTCGTGATCGCAACAAGATAAAGGCAAAGTCTGTACTCGAGCCTAGTGCCCACCCAGCCGGTGTTTATCTCAGTTTCCTTAGCATGAAGCGACAAGAAGTATTACAACTCCCCCCCTGGATGGGATGCTTGTTCATCGCAAGGTTACCCCTCCCCTCCAGCATTTCATCAGGCTTTCCTGACAGTACCCATGACCGTACCCATTTAATTATACTCCAGGGTAGAGGGAAGTACTGTGAGAATAAAGTGTTTTGTCCAAAACATAACACATTAACCAGTTCAAGTCTCCAATCCGAACCTCTCCCCCTGGAATCCAGTGCACTGACTATGAGGCCATTGCGTCTCTTAACCCTTTAACTCCCATGAGTGACCAAGACAGAATTCCTCCTTACAATATAAATACAATATCAAACAGACGGGTGATGAGAATAAAGAAAAATATAAGTTTGAGGATTTTCTAGTTGATCCAGTACCAAATTCTCAGAACTAGCATCATAAGAACTGTATGGCAGACAGTAAGGAGAATTACTTATGAAATCTTGGGCATTAAAGGGTAAAATAGACGAAACGTTCCTTCAGTGGAGATTATGAAAAGGTGATGGGAACATTTTAAAAATATTACCAAAAATTGATTTCTCTAGAGTGGAAAGAGATATTCCCCTAGAGAAAGATATAATTCAGTCCCAGATATTTTTTATTTCGCCCTCTGAAGCTCCACCACCAGTAGAGCATTGGCTACGCTTCAGACATTTTTTTTTGAGTCGGAGGGTCGTTGCTAGCTTCACATGTGACACGCTTCTTGCATACCTCTGAGATCAACAAAAGTTTAAGTAAGTAGAGTGATAACATGAAAAGAAAAATTTCTGGTTCGGCCTTTGAACAGAGAAAGATATCGTTCGTTCTGGGACGAGCGTAGGACAGAGAATAAGCATAAACCATCATCACGAAATTTTTATTCTACGCCTCGTGGAGAAGATGTCGGTCTCACCTTCAGGACGAGCTTGTAAGTTGTTTAGGGGTATCATTTTTTTGAATATATCAAAATATTGAGAATAATCTTGGCTTTTGTGGATCAGCGTGTAAAAATTTCTCGCCCTATTTAATCTTCTTTACTGCGTTTTCCCGTCAAACTTAGAAAAAAGCGGCTCTTGTGAAAATTGCCGTTATCACTTGTGGGGTGTAACTGCCAATCACACATTTCAAAATTGAATACAAAGCACGCGTGACTTTGAGGCACGAGTACAAATATCACTGATATCTATCGCTCCTCATTTGCATCAGATTACCGTTAATATGCAGAACAAAGGACGCTTTGCAAATCATAATTAGCAGTTGATTGTTTTGGAACAAAAAAAAAACTTCAGTTGTAACGGTCGCTGAATTTCAGTCAAAGAAAAAACCACGGGCCGAGGAGTGACTACGGCTTAGAGCCATTCCAGTAGTTTCTAACGGCTGTTTGACCCCATAGGTGATTGAAAATTTTATTGCAAAAGGACGATGTTCAAAATAAGAGGTTTCACGTTGCTCTTTGTATTTGCTTGGGTGATAAACGTATCATGTTATTCAGGTAAGTGAGCACTTGTTGTCAAACGAATTGGACATTGGATGATATGAAGGAAAACTCATGTCCAAAATGAACATTTCCAAATCAGTCTCCCAGTCTCCCAAACTTCTTTAGTGTTCGTCGCTTCCTAAACTTTCGGCAATTTGAGCTGGAATGGTACTGATTGTGATTTAAATCAAAAGTGGAGATAGGGTTGACGATTCGTGACGAAGTACGAAACTATTTGAATTTTTTGAAATGTTTTGTTTTCGAGCTGACCCAACAAAAGCATTGAAGCAGCTCAGGCAGAAAAATTGCCAGAGTCTAAAGCTTTCCTTATAACCCCATTCTATTCAAAACAAAGCCGTTGTCCCAAAGGCAATGTATTGTTTTTAGGTCATTCATGCTGAAAGCAATGAATGAGGTATTGTGGTGAAGCATATTTTGACGGAAGTTGTCGACCGCAGACGGAAGTTGCATTGTAAACCGTGAACGGAAGTAGTCTCGCATGCTACCCCTCCCCACTTAGTGAACGTCAAAATTAATTTCGATGAAGTTCAGAAACTCACGTGGAAAGAAATAAAATTTTTGTATGGTTTAATAATAATAAAAATAATAAATAATAATAATAAAAAGTAACAAATAAAAATAATAAGATAATATTAAAAATAATAAAAATAATAATAAAATAATAACCTCAAATCACATTTCCGAACTTCTAAAAGTGCAACTTGAGTCGAGAAGCCAAAATGTTCTCACCTAAAGGATCCGTAGCGGGTTCATTTCAACACACGCTGTGATCACGCGGAAGAGCACCAGAGACAGCCATATTGGTAAGCCGCGCATTTGCGTTCGTCTTCAGTTGGTATAAAGTAATCATTGCTCTATCATTGTGCTTTTCCTCGGGAGCTCTTCAACATACAGTCCACACATCAATCATAGCGGCCAAGATAGTCTCACTAAAATTTGTTTTTTTGGAGCTCCAATATTATCTAATCCGGTCAGTACAAAATGCAGACTGCAGACTGCAGATCGGGTAAAAAATGCAGACTAGGTACAAAGTGCAGACTACAGACTGGGTGCAAAATGCAGACTGAGAATTTATACCGTTTTTTTCGTCTAGTGCGTGATAACGTGTCACCTTACCACTTACCGAGCGTCACGCAATCGCTTTTCCGCGATCATCTTTCACGATTATTTGCACTATTGTGGAATATTCCTTGCCCGTTTCTGGATCACAATATATTCTTCTCGCTTTGAGTCGGTTGATGTGATGTCTGTACAGAATTTACCAACTTATTAAAAGTAGATGTAGATGTAAATGAGATGTCACTATTTGAGAAACCGTGACAATCGACAGCTTTGCACGTGTCCGTACGTTTCATCTTTTTAACCGATATGTGTTCATTTTGTTGACAAAAATGCGGACCGATACCAAAACTGTTCCTTCGACTTGATATATTTTCAACGTTCAGGGGTATACACACACTGATTTTCACATATGTGCCTTAAATCGTTACTGACATGAGGAATCGGCGAATTTTTATGGGGAAAAGTGAAGCGTTGCTTTCGTGACTAGCCATTAGGCTAGTGTTTTTACCTCTCATCTGTTTGGTGACTACGCAAATATTAATAAGTGAAAATCAGACTATGTGAAAGCTTGAAATTCTATTGTTAAAAACAAAAGATATCAAGACACGGGCAAGGAATATTTCACAATAGTGCGAATGATCATGAAAGATGAGGGTCACTAACATTTTGCAAAACGACTTCGGTCAAGTTCGACAAATTCAGGGTTTACGGATAACAAGGACTCAAAATGCAGCCGTTGGCGACGACTGCTTCCCCTCACTATTTCCCCTGAAAACCATGTGATCTCCCCCTCCCCCTCCCCCTCCCTCAGGCGAAAAATAATTACTTGTCTCCCTATTATGAGCTTAATTGTCTCAGTTCTTTCAGTTTCAGAACGGAAAAACCATGCAGAAGGAAATATTTATCAGGATAAACGGGAAGCCGTACTTTATCGTGGACAATTGTGGTCAGCCACTTATGACAGCAACAGGGAGGTCACAAATGTCTTCATTCCTTACACTATTAAGTTAGGAGGCTGGTTCTCAGGACTTGGTAAGTACAAAGCTCCTCCTCGGCTAACGAATTTTCCCTCGCCTTTGGATCTTTCCCGTGGAGTGGGCGGGGCAGGGGGCAGTAGTATGCCCCTCTCTTAAGCCCAAACTTTCACCTCTGTTTGCCTGTGACTAGAAATCTACTTATTCCTTGTGTGTCGAATGCATGGAATGAAGTACAAATTTCAAAAACCTTCAGTAAAAGACATGGCATCTTTGGCATTTTCTACCTCAGGATATGTCATAGGAAAGACGAAAGGAATGATTTGGTTTTGTTACCGTCGAACTGATTTGAACTTCATTTTCTTCTAAGTAACACTTCAACTAACGATAACCCTTTTAAACTCTTTTTAGTTTCTTATTGCTGTTATTTTAACCGTGATAAACGCCTTAGTTTTCAGTAAGTTGTACTACTGCTCGAACGTCTGGGCAAATACCACAGAGAAAAATACACGGAAATTGCAGGCTGTGCAGAACTTCGCATGTCGAATCGTTAGTGGCGCGAGAAAGTACGATCATGTAACTCCCCACTTAAAAAGTTTGTCTTGGTTACCCGTTAAGGACCAACTAAACTACCGCCAAGCTACCATGGCTTTTAAATGCATTTCCGGACACGCCCCCAAAATCTGACATCACAATTCATTACCCGCGAGCAAGTTACCAAGCGTACAACCAGGAGTGGCCAAAAACTTAACATACCTCTTTTTAAAACAGCCTCAGGACAAAGAACATTTTATTACAGAACTATTGGACTTTGGAACGATTTAGACCCCTTTTTAAAATCAAGCCGTTCGGTTCAAGTTTTTAAACGTATCTTAAAGAATAAGCTTTTAGACAATTTTGTAAATACTCCCTAAACTTCATTTATTTTTAGTGTTTTTCTCGACCACAAAGTTTAGATAATGTTGTAAATGTTTCTTTAATTTAATTAATTTTAATTGTGTAGTTATTAGTAACTTTAGTAATTTAAATAATTGTTCCTGAAAAGCCCCATTGGGGAGGTAACAATAAAGTATGTATGTATTTGACATTCGTTATGTTTGCCTCCGTTTCCCTTGAGTAACCGGCATCAAGACCCCTTTCACTACCATAAATGACTCTTTCTCTCAGCCTCTGGCTACGATGTATCTGTTCTTCAACTCATGGTTTTCAATAGCAGGCAGAGTTTGAGGAAATGATATTTCTTTGGATCAACAGGAGCTAAAAATTTTCTATATTTCAATTCGAACTGAAAAGTCTTTTAAATTTTTAGATTATAGCGATGAGGAAACTATCAAAGAGGCAGCGAGTGTTATCGCTAAGCACACTTGCATCAGATTCGTTGAGCGAAAAGATGAAAAGGATTACATCGAATTCTACGAAGACAGCAAGTAAGGAGTAGGGGCAAATTTTAGACATTGCTTTTTTATTCACCACTCTGTATAATATTTTTTACTTGTAGTTTTCCCTTTCCTTGCAATTGGCTCCCTGTTCATGTAATCAGTAATGTACCTTAATACTTTTATAGCTGTTGTTGATTTGCGGGCTAAGCTCCTGCGCGAAAATGCAGTCTGATTTTCCATCTTTCTCGACTGTTCGATGTACTCGCGCAAATTTGAACTATTAAAATGTAAAAACCTGCCAACGTTTTCATTGGAGAATATTACTCTGTGATGTAAAAAATATTTTGTTACTATTCACTCCAGTAATGTCTGTGAGTCGTACATCGGCAAAAAAGGCGGGAAACAGCTTTTGTCGCTGGGAAGCGGCTGTAAGAACAGAGGTCATGTGACTCACGAGCTGATGCACGCCTTGGGATTTTTCCACGAGCATACCAGACCAGATCGAGATAAGTTTGTCAAGATATTATGGGATAACATCAAGAGAGGTGAGCAGTCTTACGCAATACTACTTTTGCTTTTCTTTCTTGGTCAACTCTTAAAAGAGCTTGGTAGTCGCATTGACAAGACGATTTCTCTTTCATACACTCCAGATCACTACAAGCAGTTTGAAATCCGCAAGCGAGGAGTCACAACTTTGGGTCAACCATACGACTTTCAGTCCATCATGCACTACTCCAACAAAGAGTTTAGTAAAAACAACAAGGACACCATCCAGGCCCTATCAGATCCAAACATGCCTCTTGGTAACGTCAACTCTTTATCTGCTGTGGATGTCTTGCAAATTAACCTGCTCTATAACTGTCCCGAGGCACTCAGACAAGGTACTGCAATAACATAGGCACGCAACGCATCCAGAGTCCAAGTGTATTTTGAAATTCACAACAAGATCATCGTGCGCCAAATTAAATCATATTCACCTTCCAGTCACTATTTTTTCCTTTTCAAATACGTCTATGCTTAAGTATTCTGATGTTATGATGCTTTTTTACCACCGTAACCGACCTTCCTAGTAGAACGACTGATAATGACCGAATAAACAATTACTATCGAACTCTATTTGAAATGGAAAAGCTGATCATCAAGATTCAATTCACGATCATTCGACTGAAAAATCACTCTTGCTTTTTCTTCTCGTTTGACTTCCTTAATCAGGGTCATATCATTAGCACCGCAGGAAAACCACGCCTTTAAAAATACAGCCACCAACATATTCAAATCATTTACTCACTGCATCAAAAAATGTGTGTTCTCTGATTCACAGTGGTCAACTATGAAGTAACCGTGTACACAGGAGACAAATATTTGGCGGGAACGGATGGCCAAGTGTTTATAGAGCTGTTTGGGCGGAACACTGTCGGCCAATTGCAGAATTCAGGCGAGGAAGAATTAGCGGGTAAAAAGAGCGCCTTTGAGATGAGAAGGTGAGAATCAAGTTCAATGCTAAGGTCAGCCTGACAACCATTATGAGAGGTTATTAAAGGGGCACTGTAATGTTTTTAGTTATCACTCCTCATCGGAGGACATCAGAGCGTCAAAATCTTCGGTAGAGAGGGGGAGAGATACTGAATCGAACTGTAGCCTCATATTTTTTCTCCTTTTTTTTAGTGTGGACAGATTTAACGTTATTTCGCCAAACCTTGGAAAACTGATCAAACTGACGGTCAGACTTACCGACAGAGGATACGGAGGAGCATGGTACCTAGACAAGGTGATAATTTGAAACGCGGAAGTCTGGAGTCTAGTATAGATGAGTAACCTTAAACTCGCAAGATGGAGTTGAGTACAGATTTATAACCTTTTTGGTCTAATCATATAAACTTGGAGGCAGCTTGAGAGGATACCCCAGAAGAGACCGAGATGGCGAGTAGTTTCAATGGACTGATAGTCCGGTAGGAGTGGGGGGGAACAAGTAAAGTTACTAGTTCTCATTTTTCGATGAAAACGAAAATGGCAGAAAAAAAGAACTCATCAAAACTGAACGAGTAGTTTTGAAGTAGTTTAGATCGATCAAGCTTTTTTAAAGGTGGTGGTTATCGAAGGTGAAGAGGTGGTCAACTAGAATAAGGCAAATGGAAAGAAAATTACGGTCCATGGGAAGAACTTCTCTTAGCGGCTAATTGCAATTTCAGCAATTTTCAGAGTGTGATCCTTAATGAAAGCCAAGCTGCCGTTAGGTAATTGCTGGAGTCAGGCTATTTGGTAGCTTAAGTAGGATGAGGCGTGGTACCGTTACTGGAGGCTGTGGTTACGGCTGGGCAGAGGAGGGAGAGGGGGGAGATGAAACCTACCTCAGCGATTCTCTGTCTCCTTCCGCCAGAATGGTTTCATTTTCCTCAGCTCTGTTGTGATCCAACAACCCTTGTGGTTTTATTTGTTTCTCAGATCCAAGTTCAAAACAGAAAGAGGCGTGTGAATGTTTCTTTTCCGTGTTTCTGCTGGTTTGGTGGAGGTTCTGACACCAAGATATTGGAACCTTCTCCCTAGTTTATATATTTCTATTTGATAATGTGATAATTTAAGTCGAGATAATTTTCAATTGTTGTATTAAATGGTTTAAGCCCAGAAGTAAAAAATCATCGTGTAGTCTGATCATCCGGGTGATCTAAGTCCTGAGCGGAAGTCGTCAACGAAGTTATGCATCGATCAATTCGAAGCTTTAACACCCCCTTCCCCCTCGGGCAAATAATTAAACCTCCGGGAATTAGAACTTTTAAAGATTGGTTCATTCAAATTTCTGATTGGTTCATTCAAGTTGCTGAGCACAATCGGGTCCGGCCTAGCCGTTATTTTCTTGTAGACCCTTACTTCTGATCCATTTGACTGTAAAAGTGAACTTTAAACAACCCCCTATTAAAGGATAAAATACGTTTATTCCGCTGTAAAGACTTGACAGCTCCGGTTCGAATTCCCCATTCCACCCAGGCACGGTTCAAATTTCCCACCTCTCAGGTACGGACGACAGTCAAATACTCGTGGGTCGCCCGGGGGAAGGTGGGTTGTTGAAACTTTAAATTGATTGACATTTTACGTGACTCTTAGCGTCACTTCCACTCAGGTTGCCAAAAGGCTAGTCATTGTTAGAGTCTTAGTGGGGTGATGGCTGTCACAGCTAGCGGTTAGAATTCAACGGACGACTTCGTTTCTAAGACGTCTCTCGCCGGGATGATCAGATCACACGACCATGACCATCCTCATTAACTTACCACACTAATTATGTCATTTGAGACAAGTAAATTTTCACGTTCACCTCAAGTGACATGTGAAGAGGAGCTCTATTTCAACCTTAAGGGTGTTTTTCTTATAATCTTAGTGACAGTTAACTAATATTGCAGTAAATGTAAAACTCCTTTCTGTGTTGAAGCTGCATCCTCTGTATTATACATAATTACTTTCCTTAACTAATAAAAATTAAATGCCATGTTAACATTTATTTCTTCTAAAGGCTAGTAATAACGCAGTGACTTTAACACGTCGCAGCCTGCTGCTGTGGGGGCGCAATATGTGCGCAGAGAGAAAGAAAGAGGAAGCCTGGGTAGGAGATAAAAGCCTTCGTCTTGTTTTCCGCTCTGCGCTACTACCGCGCCCGTTCCTAACTGAGCACGTAGACCAAGCTTATCACGTGAAAATTTAAGCGAAAAAATTGTTGCCTGTGCCCTGAGAAGATTTACACGGTTGAAAGAAGCCCTGACAGAGAAATTAGCATTGTTGTTAAGTTTGCACCGACAGTTATTGACGCGTGCAGCACATTAAATCTCCCGCGTAATTCTAATTGTATACAAAGTAATTGGTGCAAAACGGTGACAAAATTACAAACCAGTGAGCTTCACTTCGATGCGGGAGTAACATACGAACACAGGAGCAGTTTCCATTCGAGATAAACTCGGTTGATTTACTGAACTAAGCTTGCTCCGAGTGTTCAGTACCATAGTTTGCAATCGAAGTTAATCAACGAAGCTGACACCCAACAGACGGGTAAACTTGAATTAAACGCAGTCGAGAAGGGATAAAAATTTGTGGTTATGAGGAACATTTGGCGAAAAAGTGCTATCGCCTTGATTGTGATAACAACAAGTCTAGTCGTTCATGGAGGAAGAAACCAAGGTATGAGAAGTGTCTGAAGTGTTGAATTTGCTACAAATTTATTTACTAAAGTAAACTCAAGGTTTGTAAATGCTTGATTGATTTATTGTAACGTCCTTCGAATGTATCTAACCTGCTTACTTACTTTTTCAAGACGGCATATTTTTAAAGAGAGTTTCCTTCCACAGGCTATTCAAGATAAATCAGTATTTAATCCGGTTAAATACTCTTTAATTCAATTTTCTGTTAGTAAAAGCTTGTTTGATTTTGAAAAACACATCTTTGCATAATTAAACTTTTTTAATATTCGATTTTAACCAGAAAGAACCGTCGATAAATTTATAAAGCTGCAACTGTGATAATGCACAGATATATAAAAAGCAGCCCAGTAATATGTATTCAGTTTTCATTCTCTCAAAAACACAAAACAAATTCTTGCTTCTTTAGAATAAGAACAGCAGGAATTCGTTATAAACGTTTTATTCATAATTTTCAGTAATGCTTCTGTCAATGGTCAAACTTTCAGGGCTTCGTTCGCAACCCAGAAGTATTTATTATTTTCTTTAAACTGCCTTATAAGTGTGTTAACTTACTTCGTTCTCTATTTTCAATAAAGCTATGGTATATTTATTGGTTTGCTAAATCATCTACAGGCGCCAAATTAATGATAATTCATGCCGACATTCAATGCTAATTTTTCCGGATGGTTAATCGCAGTTATGCACGAGAGAACGATATTGGTGTAAACTGTTTCGTCTGCTTTTAGGAACAAGGCCTTTATTTCCCCTTGCTAAACTTACTCTGACCTTAAATAAAAATTCCCATCGATACAGAAATTTACGAATCGATATACACATTGTTGGAACAAAGAGCTCTTTTCTTTTAAACGGTTCTGAAAAAGGTACTGTCCTATCGTTTACATGCAGTCACTGTCAACCTTTGTCAGGATTTGTTTGATGGCAGAGTCGACACCGAAGGAATAGTGACGCCTTTTATTTGCCGGATCGCATGATATGACGTCACGACTGACAACTGTCTATCACTGTCATGGGAAACATTATACCAGTTTCTCGAACAGAAGATAATTTAAATAGAAGTTAATTTTAATTTATTTTATTTTTTCTCATGTTTGCCTCTAAGCGCACATTTCCTTGTTAATAGTTTTTCTGTTTATATTTTTACACTCCCAAGGAAACAGCGAATTGGAAAGAGATGCATCTTGGTTAGATCTAAACGAAGACTTCAATGATCCGCACATGGACCACCGGAGTTCAAAACAAAGTTCTGCCCGCCAGAAGACGAGTGGAGATGACAATTCCGTCGACAAAAGGGATCGTGCACCTCCGAAAAGTCCTAAATATTCAAGTTTGTCAGCGAAGGCAGTACTTGAAAGAGCTGAGTCAGTTTTAGAAGCTATCAATGAGAAAGGATGCCCAACAGCTGAAGGTGTGACTTTTAACCCTTTATACCTCAACATCAGTATGTATATTCTCCGTACTGTTCTCCTTACATTTTCTTAAGGTGTCGACAAGGAGAATTTGTTTAACGATCAAGAGCTTCCTAAGTTGGTGATCATTTCTTTTATTCTCATGACCTACATATGTGATTCAGGGGTGATATTGTGAGAAGAAATTAGATGTTGGTCACTCTTAGGGGTCAAAGGGTAAAGCGACTTTTATGGACTGTAAAGTTAAGGCAGGTTCGATAAGATTTGCAATAATGAAGTGCGGGGGGGAGGGGGGTGGGGTCGGGATGGTCGTCGCAGTGTAATCAGCAAAACCTCGCCAGAATTGGAGGCATAAGGTTTTATTAAAGCTTGGAGACATTTTACTTCGACGAATTCAGGGTTACAATGGCGTCTATTTTGTACGCATTTACATTTCAGTTGTTGCATTGCTCCACTCACGCGCTTGTTTGACTGAAATTTTCCTTCATTTTGTTTGTTCTTGACAGAGAACCTTTTCAACGTTACTATTTATACCGCTGACTTAAGGTTGGCAGCAACCACGTCTCAAGTGTACATCAATATCTATGGAATGGTTTATGGCGTGGAAGAGAGCACGTCAAAAATTCATCTTACTAACCATAACATGAAGGAATTTACAAGAGGACGGTGTGTTCCAAATAGATTTTAAAAATTTGCAGTGAACTATCAAATGATGGGCATTTAACTTAGGGTCAAATTGTATTTTTTTTAAATGTTTTTGTTTTTGGTTTCCAGAGTGGATTCATTCCTTCTAAAGACGAAATTTGTTGGTTTGGTTGAGAGAATCACGATTGAGCATGACAATACAGGTGTGCTACCAGATTGGAACTTGGACAAGGTACTGTGTGAATATATTTATGAGGTGTTTTTATTATTAAGGAATTATCAATACAATTCCCTGCTCTCAATACGATCCCTAGTCCCTCCATATCATGTTTCAAACAAGCAGCAAGCGAAAAAAATATATATTACTCGCAAAAGGAGGCATTACAGTGAAATAATTAATTGGCAATTTTTTTAGTTCAGTCACTACTGGAACCTAAAGGGACCGTGAGGTTTTCGAGCCAACTTCTTCCCATATCTGAATTAAATTTTTTTTTATTTAAAAGAGCGGCAAGAGAGAAAGAAGCCATACTTAATTGTCATTGTACTTATTACCACTTCATTGAGACAGATACTCTAATTTCTATTTAAGGTACTTACACAGTGTTGTTCTGACAGAAAATATCGTTTCACTTTATTGGCGAAAGAGAACGTATTCAGGTCTTTCCTATAATAAGGAATGTCTTGCCAGAAATCTATCGCCCGATAAAGGTCAACACTCCTTCCAACCGATATATCCCCTCTTGAGGTTACCGGTCAGTTGCCAGTTGGGGGCCGGTCGGTTATCATTTACGCCTAGGGAGGAGGTAGGGTTAGGGTTTTGGGGTGGGGTGGGGAGGTCAGTTCGTTTCACGAGAAAAGCAAGGTCTTTAGAGTACTTTCTCCTTTGTAACAAAACTCTTTACCTTGGGCGTCGAAGTAACCAACCTAAATAAAATTCTACTGGTTGACATTTTTTCTCCTTATATTTAGGTGGTGGTACACGATTTAAAACTTGGTACGATCCAGACGTTCATTTGCTATTGTGAATTGGCAGGATACGAAAATGAAGTCAGCTTACCACCAATATAAAACAACACTCACAGCGGTTTTACCTGTTTGAGTTTCAAGAGATTGAAGATTATAATCTCCTACAGTTTTCGTTTTGAAATGATGTCGCGGTGATTCTAAATGAATATGACGGATCGAAAGCTTCTCTTGTTTGTTCTGTTTTAATTTCTTTCATTTACCTCTTATTGACCTCGTTTTCTAAGGAACGAGCTTTTTCTGCTAGTGAGGATTTCAAGGCGCGAGTGCGTAGCGTGCGGGCCTTAAAACAAGGTTCTGTGACTTACTGTATGGGCCGTGAAGACGAGGTTAGTAAGACAGTTATCAAATCTTCAATTAAAAACGGAAGTTTTCAATAGAAACAATCTTTTGAATTAAGTGGGCCTTGCAGTGAAATACGGCCCGCTAAATTGACCAATCATGGCGCACGTACTTCCTGAGGGAAAAAAACGGTGCTTAATTACGGGGATTCTAACCCTACAGTCAAAATCACTGAACAACTTTAAGCCAGCTCCTCTTCTCGAATACGTCTTTGATGGTTCATTAGTGTTGTTCATCCATCGAAAATAGTTCTTCAGATGATTTACTTGACTGGCAATTACGAAAGTACTGCTATCTAAATCTTCAAAAAGGAGTAAAATAAAAGAACCATTCAATTGCTTTAGATTGAATAGTTACGACACTTGGAACTATTTCAAATTGAGAGTAAATCTGATTAGTCAAATATTGACGATTTCAAGACTTGAATAAATAATACATTTAAATTCACATTCAACAAAAATGATATTTTTTTCAAGTTTTTATATCCTAACGTATCGTTTTTCAGTTAGTTTCCTCGGCAAACTTGACACTTGGAAATGATAAGGGCTCTTTAAATCACATTTCCAGTTCTTTGCGCAAGTATTCGCAAAATTGGAGTTTCAGCTGCGGACTACGTTCATTTTGCGTTTAGACTTCGTTCACTCTGTGATCAGACGTAGCATTTCTCGTAAATGCACTTAAACACCACTTCTGTTGGGTAACCACATTTTAGCGCGCTCAGGAATGCGTCACGCCCAGCCTTTCTCTGTCCATATTCGGAATCCAGGAGGAACTGGAAAAAGTCCAAACCACCCAACCTCAAGGCTTGTTCAGACTTCTCCAAAGTTCGTATGACCTGTGGTAACTGCGTGATGTTGAGCCGCTTGTTGCCCAGCGAGCAGTGTTTCACAGACGAGGCAGCGGATAGAAAATTGAGATAGGTTCGTGAATTGGCGTTTCTGGAATGAAGAAGTTCAGATAATCACACAAAGCAAGGGCTATGATATTGATTTCATGATCGGATGTGACTAGTTTAAACACGACAGCGGGTAATACAGATCACAAGAGAGAGTCCTAGGTCAGTGAGATCTCACGTCACCAAAACTGGCCAGGCAGAGGAGAAACCAAAGCCTTATGTTGGAAAAGGTCCCGTAAATGCAAAGGGCGGGAAACCTGACCCAAGCGCGGGAGAAAGTGGAGGTGGTGCCAAACGCGGAAAAGAGTTCACCCGGAGTGGAACAACGGAAAAGGTAAAAGCAAATTCAAGCATGGGAAAGGGCGATTCTTGACGCGGGAAAACGTGAAACCTAAGCGCACGAGTAAGAGAAACCGATTCAAGGCGTGGGCACTCGTGAAACTTGTTCCAGGCGCGCGAAAACGTAAAGTAGGTGCAAAAACGCGTGTTTGACGCCGAGCGGCTAATGAGCATCCGTTTCCATGCAGTAGAAACATTAAAAGTGATTGAAAGAGAGGGAATGTGTAAACGGTGCTAAAAGCTGAAGAAGGTGGATCCACTCTCGAATGCGCGCAAGTGCACCAAGTGTGCCTAAGGCTTACAGGCTCTTTGACATCGTGAAAACTTTAAACATATATTCAATCTCTTCAAAACAGAGAGATACACGCAAAAGTAATTTTGATCTACGAGCAAGAGACATTTACAATTCGATCTTATCGAGGATGCTACGGAGTAACGAAAAAGGCAGCCATTTTGGCGGACAATAATTAATAATTCAGAGAGATCTGAACTCTTCTTAATACAAACCTCTGAATAAAAATAAAGCTATTGTATATTCTGATTATTATACTACCTATTACTATCTATTATTCTAACCTGTTTAGCCCCTGCAGCAATTTCAAGAGCTTCAGCTAGTCGCATGTCGTCTCCAACAGGAAAAACAGTCTGAAGAGGTTCTTTTGTACGGTCAGAACTTTGTACAGCGAGAGGATCATAATGAATGCCATCATAGATCAGATAAACACATTTGCTGTAGCCAATGCCTTCCCCTAGAAAGCAAGTTTGGTTATGAAGCTCAGTTACTAACATCTTATAAGCTTTATTTTGGCAAGTAAAAATTACAACTTGGACTGCAATGTTTGCTGAAAAATCTCACTGAGGTCAAGAAAGTTCCATGTACGATTGTTGATAACAACACTCTGATTTGTATGAATAACTGAGTGAATTCCAGTTTGTGTTCTGGGCGTGGATTGTAATCTTGCTTGCTTAAGGCTTTGCCTAAAGGGCAACCGCCTGACAGCCTGGGATAATCTAGTTGTTCTAATCGACTCTATGGATTCCTCTTTTTAAGCCTCTGGAAAACTGTTTATAGACAAACAAGCAAACGATTCTAGCCCGACTTTCAAACATGTTAGCAATTAATGTGGGTTTCAGAGGATTAAGAAACATTGGGATCACTTAACCCCTTACTCCCTAACATCAGTATGCATATTCTCCATACTACTCCCTAGACATTTCCTAGGGTTCTGACAAGGAGAATTTGTTCAACAATCAAGAGCTTCTTCAGTTGATGATCATCTCTATTCTCCTGACCTTAATGTTTGATTCTGGGGTGATGTTGTTAGGAGAAATTAGGTGTTAGTCACCCCTAGGAGTTAAAGGTTTAAAGTAAAATATTTCATTCATGCTGTCCCCAAAAAATGATAACAACTCAAACAATTTTCAGGGGGGAGTGCATCTTTATTCACTTCAGAAACCCTTCTGAACCCCTTTCACCACACGGTAAGACTACCCTAATTGTGCAGATATAAAAGTGATTTTTACCATATCTGTCAACTCTCCCAGTCTCAATATCAACAACAGCAATCTCTGTTTGGTAGTGCTTACTCAGAATTGAAAGCTCAATTGCTCCTAAAGAAGGATTAAAAAAAAAAAAAATCCTTGAGTGTGTTGCATGTTGTTTAAGTAGATCAATGGAGATGAATAAAAGGAAGCCAGAAAAAAAAGTATCTAGAAGCTTTAAATCTCTTTCATTACAATTGTAGATTTAAAGAACAAAACATCCTTCTATAGCATTTACAGTAAGGTAAACTTAAAGCCGGTGACACACCTGGCGATTTAAATCACTGGTCACAGAAAATTTGACCACCAAGAAAATTGGCAATATCTGACATGTCAGATATCACCGATTTTCTGCTGCAATCACAGTGATCAGTAGAAAAACAATAATTGCTGCAGTAGGCACACCTAGCACCTGTGTTACCAGCTTAAGACTACTATACCTCCCCAATTGTCTTTATTCAATATCCAGTTGCAGTAATCTGAGTTATCTTGGCCAAGGAAAGCAGTATTGAATGTCAAAGGATCATTTGAAACACACTGTGCAATGAGCTTTCTTAATTCAGCAGAACAGGAGGAGTCACCCACCATTACATAACTATAAAAAATGCAACATAGAGAGGGGTCAGAACACCTACTGTCCAGGAAACAAAAATGATCTCTCATTTTAAAGTGAATACTAGTATGCTACAAAATGCACATCTGAACCAAAGATTAAAATTTAGAAGTCCTCTTAATCAAATGCTTGAGCAGTGTGATAGCTGAATTTAACATCTTTATTGCAATCTTTTATTTTCTCTTTCATTGTAAAAGATACTTTTAACACAATTGATGCTAGCAGCACAATATTTTTGCAAGCCAGTCAAGACACATATTTCATACATGTTCATGAATAACCTCTTGCTTAACTTTCTGGTATTTCTGGCAGTGGTTATCTAAACTGGCACAATACATGAAGCCAGTGTACAGATGAAAAGGTTCATGGGTTTCAGTTATCCTTAGATTTCTCTTGCCCATGGTTTGCTCATTGCAAAAAATTACTGATCAAATTGAATGTTGCAATCAAATCAAAAGCTATCAGAGCAACTGACTCACCTAACACTTGTGAACAGGCAGGAATTATCAGCTGGAACAACTCTGAATGGAAAACCAAAAACAGCACTTGTTCAATGGTAGTACAGTACAAACACTTTCTGATTCTAAGGGCAGAAAGGTGTTTTGTTATAAGTCTACACTAGGGCCTTTCTTTAAGTCATTCTAGTAGAGAGCTACATGTATGTTAAGACCATAATGATCAATCATTTACAATTCACTGTTATTTTTTATTTGACTGGAATATGATAGAAATCAGTTTTGCGCAAAGAGGTCAACTGTATGCAGCCCTTCTGAGCTCATAGACTCAACAGTAAGCAAATATATATACTGTCTGTTTGATTCTATAACAAAATAGTTTTTTCCTCTGATGCAAGTTCCTGTCTGAACTATATGAGCAAGACTTAGGTATAAGGGCATGGAATTTTTTTCCCTGCATTATACTTGTGAGAATGGCATACTTGTGGTCTAGTCAGTATGGAGATTTCAGTGTCAGTTGTATAGATTGACCATGCTTACTATTATTATAAATATGTAATTGTCATTGAAATCTTATGTCTGCTAAAAATGAACTTTTTTAATTTTCTCCCTGATGTTGAAAGCCTTCTTTTACTGCATGTCTCATTATCCTGTTCCCCATCCCTATTTCCTAAAGGACCCTGTACATTCAAAACTACATGTGCTGTAATTACAGAGCTGTTTAAACCCTGCATTTATAGCCCAGAATTGAACAGTATTCATTAAATAGTTGGCAGTTAGTGTACGCCATGTGTCACTTACTTCCTTGTCAGTTTCCCTAGTGCAGCACTTCCTAAAGATTTCTTGTAACTGTCTAAAGGTACTCTTGGTGCTTTTTTATCCTCCTCAATGATGAGAGTGTCTCCTGAGCGGATGTCCAGTGAAGACAAAGAATCACTCTTATCTTCACAGATCAACTGCTTTGGTGGAAATCCTGAAAGAACTTTAAATTTTCACATATAACATGTCAGTGAAATAAGCATATCACACCAAATTAAGACTGTTGTGCACAAAAGGAAGATGCAATAATCTGGCATCATTCCTACAATCTTGCTGCAAGTTGTCTTTATGTTCACCCACCAATGAAATCTGACCAGAATGGCAAGATTGTCCTGGAATGTTGAAAGGAGAATCAGGTCTTGTGAACCCAAGTATACACACTACTAGAGCTGTACTTAAAATTCTGAATTTTCAATAGTCCACTTTATAACTGTTGGCTTTGTTGCCAGGCCCTCCAACAAGAGTGAGACAGTAGGAGAGACCTTGTAATAATATAAACATTGCTGTTTTTCAAATGTAAAATACTCCTTTACCATTTTACCATAACAATTTTATTTACTGTAGCACCCTTATTCCAAATAACCTCTCTCTCTCTCTCTCTCTAATGAGCACCTTTGAATTTGGTTTTTGTAATAAGCACCCCTATTCTTTATAAGTGCCCTTATTGAGTAAGCAGTCTCATTCCAATAAGCGCCCCTATATATCAATAAGAAGCCCTATTTTGTTTCAGAGCCAGCATTGTTACAGTACATGTAAATTCAGATCAACTATGGTTCATCTTCCTTTAATTTTCTCATTTAAAGCTTCATTACTACATTAGTAGTCTATGTCTTAGTATGTTCACGTGGGTGCACACCTCGTTGTGTAAACACTTGGTTGACCAGACCACAAATTCCCACTGCCTACTGCCTCTACTTTGCTTTGCTTTTGTTTGTTGCAGATGACAAGACACAATTTTTAAACCAGGCATTTCTGACATCTCCCATGACCAACAGGTGTAAATCAAGTTTTTGTGGAGATGCCATCACAAGTAACATAAATTAAATTATGGTAAAATAATGAAATTAGCTGTAATTACTTCTCTGTGCATGTGGTGGAACATCTGTTAGTAACCATATCTTCTCCTGCAAATCAGCAACAGTGGAGTTGGCTGAGAGTCCTTCAAGATTGTTGCGTCTTCCACCCTTATATTGGCATCTTAAAACCTTTAGGGTAAAGCATCCATTTGCAAATGTAATTCAACTTATGGAATATGAAGCTCTTAGAGTTGAATCAGTATGTACCAAAATATATGTGAAAGTACAAAAAAAAATTATTTGTGGATTTCTTCTTTTTATTATTTATTGTGTTTCATCACAACACAATTGATCGATGGCCACATATTGAATCCTACAGATACTTTGCCACTATTTCATTTAATACTACTTTTATACACTAATGTACCAAAAGAATGTTACGTATACTAGTGCATCACCTTTTATCGTTCCTCATATCATTTTCAATAATTTTTAAATTCAGCTTGGTCAAATTATTTCCTATTGAAAATTGCCTTGGAGGCGTAAGAACAGAAAGTGTATTCGCATTAACATTGGTTATTCCTAGTTTTAAAAAAATCAATGCAAGGTGAGATATAGAAGTTGGTAAAAGGGACACTGAGGAGAAAATATAAGCTCGAACAAGAAAAAGCTTCGCACTAGCTCCCACAGCACTCAGTTGTAGTAATTTTTGCCTAAGCGGCAAAACATGAGTACTATTACTATTAGTTCGGAAAGACAAAAGTGTCTATTTTTTTCATGTGCCTCTGATTCAAAATCCTCTCAGATCTCATGCAAAAAGGAAAAATGATAATAAGTTGTTATGAAATAGAGAAAATTAAAAGCGCATTTCCTACCATAGACGCCATCTTGAAGTCTGCAAGATCCTGGATCGGATCAAGCCTCGCTTCTATTATGGTAGGGAGGTGCAGGCGCTCTTTGACTCGCTAAGACTAATTTGGCGGGAACAGCAAATCTTCAACGGTCAGAGCGGCTAAGGAGTTTTCAGTCTAGCGCAAAGATCTGTAAACATGGCTTCGAAAGTGCTACAGTACTCAGCAGAAACCCCTTCAATTATGGATCCAATTGATCTCAAAAACAAAATGAACGATTCGATTCTAAATAGCGAGGAAATCACCGATGATGAGGCTATGGAAGATGTTACACCGTGCTCTTCCGCGAAGAAGAAAGCAGTGTCGCGCAAGAAAATGTTTGGATCACAAGACGAAGAATATGATAAAAAATATTCTGACTCAGAGGATGACGATCTAAGTGACACGACTTCGTGTAAAGATGGCGAAGAAAACGCGGTAGCGAAGAAAAAGAGGAAAGCCAGTACCTCTTCGGTTGACAATGAAGATAATATGTGAGTACATAACATGATATATAAAATGAATGCTTTTTGAACTAAAACAATCCATGGCTAGTCTGAAAATGATTGGGAGACGAGACCGTCGTGTTAGCTATAACTATGTTATTCAGTGTAAAATGCGATGTTTCGAACGTTTGCGCGGGAAGTTCTGGGACGATAAGAACGTGTTTCAGATGTGATAGACTCTTCATTTGTAGTTAACTGCAAATGCATTATTCCACGCTATAAATATAAGAAGCTTCAAGTTGACAGATCCACTATAATAAGCGCAGCTGAATACTGATGTTGGTTGTTGTGTTGCAACGTTTTTACCGCGATTGAAAACAATAAATATAAAAGCACAAATCTAAAAAATCATATGTTTTCCTGACGGAAGTACTTACCGCTATTTTGATGGTTAGCTTTTCCAAAAGGCGTAAAATTTGAATTTTACAACGCCCTCGATTGGCCGCCGGCGCATAAAACCCCAAATAGTACATGCGCTAAGCTTCCCTAACCGAATTTTCTAATGCCTGTAAAGTTTCGTTAAAAAAGCTGGAAGTCGAAGACACTTCATCTTGGCCGAACAGGAAAATCGTTGTTGAAAGAAGAATTTTCGCGGCATTTGAGACCGGTGATGACCCGGGGCTCAATACTTGCACAACATAGGAGGAAAAGGCCAATTGTTATGGAAGGAAGAGACGGGGTGTCGATGGTACTTTAGGCAAATACACTGTATCTATCTCACTTCAGCTCACTTGAACTGTTGGCTATAAGCACCAAGTAATGGTATGCAACCCCGAGATTAGATGCATTTTAAGGCTATTATTAAACCATGACTTGTTTTTCTTGTTTTGTTGAATGAATTGTTAATTTTTTGTACTCTGCATCATTTGTGCCGAACAAGTTAATTTAATCCTGAGTGAACAAACATTTTCGGGCCTTATATACAGTTATTGAATTTTGTTCCACAGAATCTACAGTATCTGTGAGCAAGCTGCAATGTGCAGCACCATCTAATGGATTTTTTTCTTTCTTTAGTACCCCATTAAAACAGCCTAAGACAGAAAGGGAACAAAAGGTTAAAAGAAAATTAGCTCTTGGACAGCTGGTCCATAACAGAAAGAATCAACAGAAGGGGATATTGAGCAAGAATGTTGATGCTGCAGACAGTTCAACCAAAGAATCTGAGGTAATATCATTAAAGATGTTTCAACTTTTCTGACTTATCTGTAATTATCACTTCATAGATTGATTAAAGAGATTCCATGTTTTACAGTGTCTCAGTTCAGTAATACATCACAGATGATTGTTTGATTGATTAAATCTTGAGCCACTGAGAAAGATATACATAATAAATGATGAATGATTATGATTAAATGATTATCACAGCTCTGGATATGGGCTATGGGATGTGGTTGATGGACAAAAGAAAATGTCTGATTGTTTGATTAATTAAATCTTGAGCCACTGAGAAAGATGTACATGTGAATGTATGTTTTGAGGAAGTGAGGACAACTTTTATTGGAATTTTAAATAAAGTTTTCCCCCAAACCCTGTCTTTATCACTAGTTCAGTGATTCAGATAGCAGAAGCTCTAGGGATGAATCAGACCTTGACGGGTTTGTTGTGGAAGACTCCCAAAGTCAAGACTTGGTTAGTGGTACTTGGTTAGTGTACATGTAGCATTTGCAGTAATGAGGAGGTAGAGGCAACAGTTAAAGAAGCGCCAAATTAAATGAAAGAGATGAAAGACCAGGGCCCAGTTGTGTAAAGGGTGGATAACACTATCCATTGGATAAATCGCTATTGAGCGGATAAGTGATAGTAAAAGGTATAGCATTATCCACTGGATAGAGATTTATCCAGGGGATAGCATTAACCGACTTTCAAACAATTGGGGCCTGGAGATAAATCAGATCTTGACTTTTTAGTTGTGGATAAAGACTCTGAAAGTCAAGACTTGGTAAGCAGTACAGCACCTGCTTTTGTGTGTTAAATCAAACAAGGTTCTTTTTTTAATATTTATATAGATAGGACATGTTTTAGGGAAAAATTGTTCTCATTGTCTAATGAATTAAATTTTGAGCCACTAGTAAAGATGTATGACATGTATGTTTGAAGGAAGCATAGACAACTGCATGTAATTGAATTTTGAAGTTTTTTCTGCAATACCCTTTGCTTATCTGTAGGTGAATGGTTTACTGGAAAATGATGAAGGATCTGAAGATGAGGCAGATCTTAAGGATTTTGTTGTAGATGAAGACTCCGAAGGTCAAAACTTGGTAAACAGTACAGTGCCTGCTTTTGTGAGTTTATCAAATGAGGTTCTCCTAAGTACATGTAATTCAAATTTTCAGATGCACTACTTTGATGAGTTACATGTACAGAGTGATCAAGACTGACTTTAAATGTAATAAGATTAGAAAATTTAGTGTAACTTCATTGAAGTGGTCCATAAATCAGTTGAAGAGCTACAGTTCATCCACTCAAAATAAAGCTGACCAGACTCAAGATTGTCACATGTTGAAATATTGATACAATGTCTGTAGACACAGCATTCATTAATGCCACTTTTAAGGATGTACATGGACATTTCTTTAAGAAATGGAATTGAACAAAAGTTGGTCTCTGCACATCCCATCCTCCATTCAAAAGCAAGATCCTCCTTTCTTGCCTGTTTTGCAGGCTCAGCTGGTAAGAAAACCATATCTCAATGGCAATGAATCACTGGCTTTGCCACAGATGACAGCTTGAATAACCAAATAAAAACAGTTTTCATGGTTTCTACCCTCTGCTTGTAAAGATGTTTCTGATCAACATTGACAAATGCACTAACCAACCTTAACACTATATTAAAATTAAGGGAAAAACATTGTAATGCAAATGTTTGGTGCCAAAAAATTGCCTATTGATCTTGTTTGATGAGTAATGTTGATATGCTCCTTAACTATTACAGACCATGGCTTCACATTTGTTGCTCGACGAGGACCAAAAATTTGGAATGCTGGTTGAAAGTCTCTTAAGAAGCATTGTGGATGCATCACATGAAGGAGATGGTAAATGTTATTACTTTGTTTATCTTATTACCAACAGTAAGTATTGTAGAGATTTTATTGATATTGTAGTTTGAAACATGCATTAATATGTACTTTAAAAGGACCCAAAATTAAAGTTTTGATGTTCTAAGATTTATTGAAAAACATACAATAGAGTGACTTTATTACAGATATCTGTTTTTGATAACTAGCCTGGAAAACATTCCCAAACATAAAAAGTTGATAATTATTACAAGAAAAAAATTAGTAAAACTGAATTTAAAAATCTAATTTGGAAAGAAAAATAAATGGAAAAAATAAATATAAACTAGTATAAACTTTTGATTGATATAATGAAAAAATGCATTCAACTGCATTGTGCTAAGACAGACCATATATTGTGCAATATTTATTTGGAGGGAGGGCTGAAAAATGAACACCACAAACAGAGAAATATTACATACATGGACATGTAGTAAGCCACACCTGTATTTCCTAACATTCATTGTGCCAATGGTGTACAGGGTGCATGACTTTGTATATTCACCATGTGCAGTGAATTGAAAGCACATTTTATATAAAGGAGAAATCCTTGCTATAGTAAATAATTCTACTGTATCTGGTTGTGTGCATGTGTTTATATGATGGCCTTATTATCTTGAAAAAATGCTGCAGATGGGAGCAGAATTATAAGCAAATGCCACCCTTAAAATAAATCTACACCTGTTCACAAGAATGTCAAAGGAAAGGAAACATGAAAAACATAGTCTGTGAAACTCAATACACCACTTTTGGAAATGTAGAAATAAAAAAAATTGGGCATTTTGTAACTTTTTCTGTTTTCAATACTCCTTACAAAAATTATTTACTGTTAGAAGTTGTTGCCCATGATTCCTGAAACACATTTTTTTGCCCCCTCAAATGAATGCTGCTCTGAAAACACCTAAAACTTTTTAACTGTGTGGAGTTCATTATTAATGGTGCATGTACCACAAATGTTTCACAAACACTTCTCTTACCTAACTCTGACTATTGCTTAGAGCTCTCTATATATGAGAATCTTTACTGTATAAAATTTAATTTAATTTGTATACCTCTGTTGTTCTTCTGTAGATGATGATTTTAAGAGGGCCCAAACACATTGGGAAAGATTGATAAACACTAAAAAAGAAAGTCAAGTGGGAAGCGACGCATGGAGAGATTATAAAGTATTATTGATAAGCTTCTGATTCTGTTGTTGTGTGGTACTTGTACAGTGTGTAGCATTAATTGTCACTGAAACACCCTGTTCTCAATTTCTAATTTTCATCTTAAAAAATAGTTAACGTTCTTTCAGTGTTTGTCTTCACTGCTATAATGAGCCCTATCATTTTTACATTTCTGAATGATAATGTTCACTGCACATGCAGTATTACCAATTCAAAACATGTTTTGGATGACTACAGTACACACAGTCATTTAACAGAACAGAATGCTTCATGTACAGCTTATGGCAATTACAGTCCTTAGCTGTCAACATGGGGTTTCTGTGAATGGGCGATTTTTCTCCTTGCAAAGTTGACAGTGCTAAAGCTTGTCATTCAATACAAGTTGGTTAAACTGACTTGAACCCAAACTGACTCGTACACATACAGATGTCTTTTCAGGTGTACAGTTTTTGCCTTTGGGTGAAAAGTAGAGTGAAGCATATACTGTGATCTCCAACAAAATAAAGGAGAGTCATTTTAAAGTCACATTTTAAAACAATCAATCAAAATTACAGTTTGTTGTTATCATGAACAGTCCAGTTTGTCCATAACACACTATAATATTAAAATCTTTATTGTCATAGTCAATACATTCACCAATCAAATCAAACAGTTAGTAACAAAAGTTTTTTTGGCAGGAAATGTTGATGAATTGTCCGGTGGTGAAAATCATACCTCTCACACAAACATTAAAGGGTAAATGTGAAGTAAGTTTTGTTTGTGAATAATTTTTTCTTTCAAATTGTATGCTTTCCTGTAATGGTGCTCTTACTGAACCAAGAGATTACATTTTCATTCACTGGGTATCAGTCAAACCTCTGAATTTTCAGTTTACATGTACAGTGTAAGCACTGTTGCATTTTTCTTGCCTTAGAATCAGCTGAAAGCCACCCAGGTGACTTCCTGATAAATTTACACATTTAATGGTTGCCTTGTAGACAGTAGCATCTTTTGTGTGTAATATTTTGCTCTTGCATGGTTGATTGGTTGATATTGCAGGATAAACACAGCTGTGTTCCTTTTATCACTGGTAATCTTTAATGATAAGACAATAGGTCTCATTTTATTCTGAACAGTCTGTTAAATTTTAGGAAATGGAAATAGTTGTGAGTGTGTGTGTCAATTAATCATAAAAATTATAATTTCCAAGGAAAGTAGAATAGCCAAGTCATGTTGGCAAGAGAAGGCTCTTTCTACTAGCCTGGTGTTATCATAACCAAATCATACAGGGTGTTAGGAGAACAAGAGAAAAGCTTGCAAACCAAAAGCTGAAAGGCACTGATTGACAGTATTTCAAGTTTTCCACCAATACTCCGAGTGCATTATTATCCCAAGTAGACCAATGAAAAGTGCAGTCTATTGCTATTATAATCAAATAGCCATTGGTTTATTGGTACCAAGAATAATAGATGTTTGACCAATCAGAACATGCATAGTGTCTCAGTTAAAGATACAACAGAGTAGAGATTTTTAGGAAAACAAAGTGTAATTTGTGGATACTCCACTGTCAATTATAATGACTTGCTTGTGAAGTTCTTGAGTAAGACCAAGTAAGTAATTTATTTCAGTTAAAAATTGATTTCTTGAAATCTACACATCATGCAGAGCCCCAAATCTCAATAATTTGGACCTATTTAATTTTTTTCAATTTTATCCCTTTAACTGAAAGATTCTGTAATATTCTTCATAACAGGCATGTTTGTTGCCTCGATCTCTGACACAATGTATGGTCTGTTATGAAGAGCCTGATGGAGAGGTTAAAAAGGTGAGTTGAACACAGCATTCTACTTTGTTGTGGCTGTGTGATAAATTAATGTTTTATTTAATTCAAGAAGTTGGCCTCTCCAGATGAGCAGAGAAAGGCCAGTCAGAGGATATACTTTTTTCTTTTCACTTTTAAAATTCATCCTAGTAAGCAGGCTAAAGTGATCACCTGGGAAATTGACCTAATGGAGTCAGTAAGATCATAGTATGTAGATGGGTTGGCTCAGCCTCTCAGCATGTTAGGGCACATGCAAATTTTGATATTAGTAATTTATTAGGTGGTGATTGTGAGATCATCACAGTAGGCAGTTGAGTGTGGGGCATTCATGCAACTTTCATATAGAATTAACAAAAAAATTAAATCTAACTCCATGCATGGAAATTTGTGAGAGCTGGAAAGAAGTTTGTGTAAGTACAAAGGAAATGTTTATTTGGCTTTTCAAACTTAAAGGTTGTAGGGTTGTTTTAGCGATGAATATTCTTTTAATTAATAGTTTTGTTTTGAGGTCAAGGTATACAGTTTTTTTACAGTTTACACTAATCACAATCGAGGAAATTGTAATTTTTACGATTAATTGAGAAATGTTGCAATTTAAGTTTGCAATTAATATGTAAGCAAATGAACAATTGGTGCAATTTTAAAAGGTCGCATTAATTGGATCTATTTTGCCATATTTTCATTAGGTCACACTATGTAAGTAACATGATTCTTTGACCTTGATTAAATATGATTTACTTGAGATAATAATTCTTCAGGTTTTGATTAGTATATTTGCTATTCAAATGTCTTCTGAGACTTAACCACACCTAGATAATATTTATACTTTCATTGTAGGAATTTCAAGTTGGTTGCTTTTGTGCGGAAAGAGGGTCTCTCTATCATGAACTTCACCATTACAAGCAGCACCTGAAGGAAAGTTGCTCTGAAAAGGTAACAAACTTAAAGCTGATGATAGAGATACAGCTGTTAATGTTCATGAAGCCGTAGTTAGTTTTTTTTTTAAGCTACACTGTAAGAGATCAGTTGAATGTACAGCAATTTGCATACTTTTCAACCCCTGAAATAATCTTCAAGTGGCAAGTTCTGGACGTTACGTGTGTAAGAAGGCAATGAAAAAAATTATAAAAAAAAAAGGAAATCAAGTAAAAAAGAGAAACCAAAGGTTATTATGTTCATTTGCGTATTTTTTATTGATAGTGTTATCATTATTTCATTGTTATCATTATTATAACTATTTTTACTTGTTTATTTGTAAATTTATTTTACGTATGTACTGTACATAAATCTAAATTATGGAGAATGTTAAGGTATTTACGAAAGTTTACCAACTGAGTATGTTTACCAGTCACTAGATTTCGTGCACAGTGTACTGTGATAAAAGTGAGGAAGGCTTACTTTAGATTTTTAGCTCTAGCTAACTTCACAAACTTTGAATGAATTTAAAAGGTTTTTTTTAATCTCAGATAAACAAGGTGCGACGCGAGGCAGGAATTCAAGCGCCCGAAGAAATTGTTAAAAAGTGTCTCGATGATGAAAAGTGGCTGGATTTGGTGAGGCGAAATGTTTTTTCTTCTTTGAAGTCAAGTCATCTATCCCTCTTTTTTTTTTTTATTAATACACCTTAATCCACTCAACCTTTGCTTTCTTTTTTTCCATCGCAGCTGTTTAGTAATTTCCAGTCAACTTTGAATGCTGCCGATAGATGGGCAGTTGATGGAGATAAAGCACTGGCCATGAAGAATTATTGTAAGAGTTTTGTCAGTTAGGCATGCCGTGCTTACTGTTCACACTTGTGTAACAAGAGGTTTTCGATTCATCTGGTAAACTGACGATTTTGTCTCCTTGAAGAACTGAGTTAGGTTTCTAGTTGGGTGACCCCGAATCATAGATTGATTAAGGAACATTTGCCAATTTTAAACGATTTTAATGCTCTCACATTGCCTCAAGGGTAGAAATAACACCACACTTTCCCAGCTTTAGTGTAATGATAGGATTTTTAGTAATCAAGTTTTTATGCTAGCGCTAAAAATATATATAAAATTCAACGTAGAAACTGCGAGATTATGCTAAGTTCAGCAATGCATAAATTTTACCAGTTCCAAAAAAATCAGCCGTAAACAGTTGTTATTAGATCATAACTGTAATTAGTGTTAAACTGAAACCGTCATCTGAGCTTATTGAAAGCGATTAATCTTGTAAAAGGGGAAATTCCTGTTGAGCCAATCGTTGTAGTAGGTTACGTGATCCTTTAGGTAATTCATAGCATTACCTAATCCTTTGTACCTTGGGCTTAAATAGAGCTGTTTTGTAGAGCTTTCTTTGGTCAAAAGTGGAAAGGAAACAGTCAGCTGAATGGTGCTTGCAGAATAAATCTACGTTGGAGCCGACTTTGTTGTTGGTAGTCATTGTCTCAAAGATAGTCAGCAGCTGTAATAAATCCTGACCTTCTCGCATTTCCCAGAAGAAGTTTATCGGGTTGTTCCCCGTCCGTCCGTTTATTTGTGAAGGCAAAAACCTGTTTTCACATTAGTCAATGCGCGAGCGCAAAAAAAGGGCGTTTATTTTCCCTGTTTAAAGCATTATTATAATTCCGATTTGTTCCCTAAATCCTCGCTAATGGCTCAGATACCGGACTTCGATCCTAGCTGAAACATATTTGCGCGAGAAAGGTGGGATTTATCTTTTCATTTGTTATTTCATTCCTAAAATTCTCTTCTGGGTGGAGGGGAAACCAAAAGATTCTTCGCAAAAATGGAATGATTTCTAGGAAGCCTCGACAGCATCGACTAAATGTTGATTTCATTCGTACTTGCATTAAGATTGACAACGGCCAAAGCTGCACGCCTCGCTGGTTAATTTCCACTTGGCTACCTACGCACGCTCATTAAAACTTAAAAAGTTTTTACGCTGTCACTCACTCTTCACTAATTTTTTTTTCCTCCTGCGCCGGACTAAGCTGGATGGAAGAGCCTGCTTGTATTGAGACATTTTGTCTCTATGTTAATATAATCTAGAATTCGAAATCTCTGAATTATGTTCTTAATTTTTACAAAAATCGGATAGTACACTTCTAGACATTAAACTATGTGTATAGACCAAAAAATTGGATAAAGTTAGAAATACAAATTATAAATTGTTAAACTTGGTGGTTGTATTTGCAACTAAGATTCTTGTAGTTTATTATTTTTGTTAAATTAATAGTTGTTCTTTATAATTCTCAGTAGCACCGAAAAATATATGAAAGAAAAAAATGTTAGAATTCTCCTTGTGTGAGCCCAGCAGAACATAACTGACTTACTCGGTCATGGTACGCGTGACAAGTGTGATGACCTGCCGACTTTATTCCTTCTTAAGAGGGAAAATATGGGCATGTGATATAATCATCCGAGTGCCAATTTTTATTAACATTTTATTTTTTCCATTATACTTTCTTTCATTGTTTACCGCTATTCATAGAGTTCAACTGTCTTAAAAAAGCACTCATTCCATGTAAAGATATTGTAAAGCTGACCGTGATTCCTGGTCAGATCTTGCGCGACCACATTTGTGACTTGTGCGATAATCGAAGCACGAGACTCCACTTCTACGACCTACAAAAACAGGCGCATTCAAATATCCTAAATGCTAAAAAAAGGATTTTCAACGTACGCTAAAGCGAGTTAAAATCACTGAAAATTTTCTTACTTCGTTTACAATGTAAGCCAAAAATTGTGTAGTTCTGGAAAATCACAGGTAAAACTTCAGTGATGCCCCTTTGCCACTTTGTTTATCCAGAGGGATGGTTCGCGACCATCCGAACCGAAAGAATCCTTTTAGTTTCACTTTGTCATATTTCCCTTTCCGTGAGCTGGATTCCCTTCTTTCAAAAGTAAATTTGCGAGGTTGGAGTTTTCGACCGTTAAACATGATTACCATCAAGCTTTGTACAAACTATCAAGAGTGGTTCAGTTCGGTCTCTTTACATTAGGTGTTGCAACATGAGCAATCTTTTCTTTAGCTGAGGAAGCTCTCATATTTGCAAATGCTCCTTGGGTAGGTCGTCACAATATATTTAGATATAATTTTTTGCCACGTGGAGAGGCGCCTTGAGAAGAAAAAGGAAATTTGCGGGAGCCAAAACGAACTATCAGCAAAGAGAGTTAACTCCGCCGAAAAGAACGAATACGAACAAGGATGAAGAAAATTGACACGGATTTCAAATGAAAAACTGGGAAAATTTTGGCTTCGTTTTTCCAGCTTTGTAATCCTTACAAATAGCGTCTTAAACCTTAAACAAGCTCAGCATGGTTCCTCCATTCATCACCTGGAACCAAAAATAAGTTAAATCGCAATGGGAGACCTGTGTTTTGGGTTCTCGTGCGACCCAACACTGCTTCAGATCGTATCACCTTACCCAAAGACTAGAGTAAGTTGTCTGGGTTGCCGCGCTTAGTGTTAGAGCACAGCCAATTTCTTTCAAGATATAAATTTTTACTGATAAGAAATTTGCGTAGTGTACAAAATCATTTGAAAAGCGTAGATGGACAATTCTTATTCCTGACGAACGTTTGAAAAAATCGTCGTCTGAACAGTGTTGATGGTGACATTTTAGCGCTAGAGCAACATGAGGAAACCTTTTCATTTAGAACAGCGAAAGTAACGTGATTTTCAGATTTCTCTGTTAGACAGAAGAAGAGCTGAAAGGTATAGTTTTTCTCTTGGATATAGTTGACTCTGCTTAATGATAGGTCTCAAAATATAAATTCGAAATCATAGTTTTGCGGTTCATTACGCGACTGGCAATGTATTAAGTCGTTTTCCTCCTTAGGTTTCATTATCTTAAGGTCGAAAGAAAGAAAAACTGATACAATACTTTTGTCACGTTTTTTGTCTAATTTGTTGTTTCCGGTGCCCAAAACGATTAGTTCTGTCTTTATAATGTTCGCGATAGGTAAGATCAATTGGGGAGACTCCTGGATTGATTCATATTTGAGTGAGCTTCTCGAGCCCCAAATAATTTAAAAAAATTTTCGAGGTATGAAAATATTATTGTCAAAACTTTTGCCGACTCTATCACGCGCAACATTAAAGACCTAATCGGAAAATTCCGTAAACATGGCATGACCGACCAGAAATCGTTGGGTGATCATCATGTGAGTTGCGTGTGGCATTAGTTCTTTTTACAGAGCCGTTTTTCACTAGTTGCAAGGTAACTGCTGACAGGATTCCCCTCTCTCTCGAAATCAAGAAAATTATTTGCCTCAAAAGGTAAGAATTCAACTGTATTCGTATCCATCAGAGTCCTTTTCTGATAGACCCCAGAACCTACGGATGACTCTATCAGGTCACGCTGTTGATCGTGATCCTACGCTTATGGCTTGGTTATAAAAGATGTATCTACCCCTCGTGTATTATAGATTTTATAAACGAGTCATCGCCTTTTTCGTCCAGACTACAATTTTTTATTGTTTCTGTTAAAAAATAATTTGATTGAACTATCTAATGAACTAATTCAAGGTGTTACCCCCGATATCTCTAGCTAGGTTACCACGTTACGTGGATACCACGAACTCTGTCGTAGCTTTAGTCACGAAACTGCAGCTTTATTGTTGCGTGTTCCTGGCGTTTAGTTAGCAAATAAGAGACTTCGCGGCGTTTCGGGATCCGAGAAAAACCGTTATTTTTCGCTCAGCTGCTACTATCGCTCCGTTTATCAATAGACCATGGCCGGAGGATTTTCAGAATAAATTATTCCCCGCTCACTGGAGAAATTATATTTCCCACCCTGTGCTGGAGTGGGAATTCAATTGACAAGTTCATTTTTTTTGTCTTATTATCATATTCTTTATTGACTTCAGGTTGGTTAGACTGAAATAAGACTAATTCAACTGACAGTCGATCATGACTCGATCTGTAAAACGGGTGATCTCCACCTCGCTAGGAATCCTGGGATGGCATGGGGTATTGTTATTTCTTCTCATCATTTCACTGTTCAAGATTTTCCATTGGGAACACGAAAGGCCCTTCGAACAGGAAATCGCAGCGTGCCCATGTACCCTGGGTGCCATCTACAGCACTATCATGTTTCTTCTCCCATCCTTGGCTGCCTACATGATTGCATGTTTTGCTTATTTCCGTCAAGACGACGGTAGCGTTCCTTGGTCTGCTTTGAAAAAATTCTACGAAATGGTACGTTCCTGTGATTTCTTAGAAGAGTCCACCGATTTTGATTTCCATGTGGAGGTCTGCAATTTCTGCCACCAAGTCGAGCGTGATTGGGCACTTGTGAAAATTGCAGTTTCGGCAGTGCTTTCGTCGCTGTATCCTCTTGTATGGATCACCCTCAGTCTTCTTCAAGCTCATTACTATGTCTGTGCTCAAGTCGGTCCCTCACCAATAATTGTCACTAGTTTCTGCAATGTAACAATTGGGGAAGATTATTCTAAAGAGTACGCCTTGGCAGGGATTCGCTCGAAAGTCATCGGAGGAATTTTGTTTGCCTGCATGCTGTTTTTTGCTGGGTTGTTTGTAATCCTCCATGGCGAGATAGAAAACTATTTGAAAAAGATTGAAAAGTCCTCAGACGATGACGAGAGTACTGGTAAACTTGCAGTTTGTGTCACTGTCTTGCCAGACCATTCACATGGGGCAACAGATGTATCAGGAGCAGCAACTTCCTGCCGCAGCAGTGCACCGAACATCCCAAGTGGCCCAGGAGCTCCTGGATTCAAATGTCAGGTAAGGAACCAGTCCTAATTTTATCAAGAGGGGATCAATCGTCGCCAACAGAACATAAAGGCGAGGCTATAGAAAATTGACTGCCCATGAGGTGGATCATTAGAATGCTACAGTGCCTTACGGGGGGGGGGGGGGGGGGATTTCAAGTGAATTTCATCGTGACAAAATCGTATCCGACGACCGACCCTCCCCCCCCCCCCCCCACTCACCCACAGGGCCTCAAAGTTTGGTCTTCAAGTTTGAATTTACGACGTCCGAGTGCCAATATATGTTGTAATAGTATGCACCAGTTGGCTCAAAGAAAATGAGTGGCGGCATCAGAAAAACAACTAAGGAACAAACCACTCCACACCTATTTAGAGTCTCCTCATTTGAAAGGACTCTATGAGTTATTTCAAGCGATTACCAACGCAAACATCTAGAAACCAGCGGAATAGATTTCTGCCAGATTCATAAGGAGATATTAGACTCACATAAGGACTGGACGACTTAGAAAGGGCGTGTTGGTGACTTCGTAATATAACTTATAACATATTTTGCAATTCATTTTATATTTCAGTCCACTATCAAACAAGATCCAAGTGATAAAGCAAAGGGAATTCAAATCCATTTGACCGATAAACTTGTCTCTGCCCTCCAAGGGAGTTTTCGAAATGGCGGATGGGAAGGTGTTGATATCCGCTGTTCACATCAGGAAGAACAGAGGAACCTGCTAGGATGTTTTCCATTTCGCTCGCCATCTCGAACCAAACTACTTTCGGACGCTCAGAGGAAGCATGAGTACGAATCACTGCGTGAAGTAGTAGATAAAACTACTCGAGGTTAAAAGAACGTTTTTCATCGACGTTCTGAACGCTCGTTTAGACGTAGAAGTTAAGGAAAATAACGCAAGTTTTCTCGTAACCAAAACTATCGACTGATTGAAGGGGATCATTCGCGAAAGTTTAACATTCTATGACATCCCTGTCTCCCTGACCTGAGTGGGTGTGCTAGGGTTCATATGATGAAAATGGCATATTACAACCGCCGATTCCACACATGCGTAATAAAGTTAGGAAAGGAAAGAGGAACCTATTAAGTTAATGGTCAGCTACAAACAGTCCCATACTTTAATTTTTGGGGTTGGTGCATACCGCCCGAGTTTTCCTTCAAGATCAAGAGTATCACAGAGATGCTGAAATTTTTTGGGATGGTTTTAGTTACAATACATACCAGTTTTAACCGTTTCAGCGCTACTTTAGTGTTTTAATAATCAAGAATGGCTCTAAACTGTACGTACAGGTTGTTTTTTTGCTTTGCGAAAAGATAAATCTTGAAAAATCGGGAGCATTTTAATTATCTAAAAAAAATGGGATTTATGAACTCGTTTTGAGTCACAGGAAAATAAAGCCGAAGGGTGTTTCTTAGAGACTGTACCGTTGTTATAGTAACCTTAATGTCGATTTTCTGAGTCTCTTCTTTATCTTAATCGAGTTCTTAGGCCGTGAATTTTGCTTTAGATAGATATCTAAGAAGCTCTGCTTTCCTTCCTAAAATAATCTGTCGATGTTAGTAATGATAAAAAAGACACCTCGTAGAAGTTAGCAACCGTTGTTGTAACATATTTACTTCAATCTCATCTGCAATTTCCACATGAATGTCAACAAAGGAAATGTCGCGTATTAGAAGTAGTTCTGCAAGAATTTCAGAGAACACGCCGGTTGTTTTTTTGCTTGATATGAAGGGCGCCCTTTAGCTTTTTTCACACGAGGGCAGTCTTGTTCACAGTGAGATGTCCACAAAAGGATCCTTTGAAGTGGAAATAATTTTTGATTCCCTGACTCGATAAAGTATTCCTTTGTAATTGCATGCCGAGCAGACCCATTTGGGATGAATTTCCTCAAAGTCCTGGTCGATATAATTTTAAAATTGAACCGAAAGATTTTGTCAGACAGTCTTATTGGAGAGTCCTTTATCATAAAGTCGATAGACTGCTCTCAAGAAGGAGATATAATCATTCATGAGCTGAAACGAAAAACAAGAGGACTTTTAGGAATACTGAGAAAAACGACCACTGGCAGAAGCTATGACGCCATGACGGCCTAGGACAACACGTCACAACAATATAAACCGTGCACCCGGACTAAACCGATGTGCACTCGACTTCTCTTTTGATAAATATGAAGCAAAGATACCGAGGTTTACCGTGATATTTTTTCTATTTTCCAAAAAAAATCGTACATACCTCAAATTTAAATATAGCTGTAGCCGTGATAGCATGCGTGTCCTCAACCGTCCCAAGCTCTTTATGTGATATATAAAGTGAACTGGGTCCCAAGGGCCATAAATATTAGAGACAAAAATGTGGGACTGAAATGTGGGGCCAGTCTAGGTTTTGAAAATTGCACCGTGACATTATGTTTCATGACGTCATGGTGTAGACATAACCGTGTATGGCCCGGACTGCTAAGTTGGTGCTTTAGTAAACCTGAGCACAGTCTGGGCGTCCTTTGTGAGCGAATTCCTGAGTTGTTAATCCAACTTACTTGTCAGCGCTGATCTTGAAAATTCCCGGACTTTGCTGTCTTCGGAGAGACATTGCTTCTCTGGAAACCAAGCCTAAAGATACTGAAAGACATCAGAACCGGTAAAACTTTCAATTTATGCTTTAGTTCTCTTATAAGTTGGACCATAGATGTTGCACTGCCACGCGGTCACGCGAGGAAAACAGGAAGTATATGTCTACGTGGATAGTCGACATTTGTAGTTCATACATTGGGAATTGCGAGCGAAGGTTATAAAATATTTAATTTTGAGCCATTTCATTGATCCAAATGTCATGGGTCATCAGAATTTTTCAATACAGCTGCATTCTGCTAGCGATATCCAAACCTCTCGTTCCAACCCGATCGCTTAAGTCACGTCTGGAGCTGGGTAAATTTCACGGCGTGTTTTCATTTGGGTTGCTAAAACTACCTGGGGAACTAAAATTTCACCAAAATACTTATTACTTTGCTTAATGTAGCTTACGATTTTCTAAAATTGAATCTTATTTGTTCAAAATAAATTTGTCTTATGTTTCGTCACGGAGCTTCTAAAGTATCTTTATAAACAACTTAATGTATAAACAATTGCGCCCAAAGTGAATTACGATCTTGCACATTTTTTTAAACAAACGTTTTAAGTTTTGAGAAGCAGTATATCATCCAAAGAAAGAAGACTAGCTGTAAATGTTTATTTTACTATTGATAAATGTAAACGTGGAACTTCGGTGTTCGTGTATGAAATCAAAACCTTTCTCTAAGGCACATTTCTGATGACTTAAAAATCTACTTTCGCTATTCAAGGCGTAAATTACCTGAGTAAAAACACGGGCTATTTTGTTTCATGACACATATCAAACTCTTTCCCCAGCGCGACGAACATTTGTTTTTCTCGGTTCCAGGTGTACGCGACCACTAACCCTACGTAATGCGCATGCTCTCCGTTGCGGATTTTCAAATTGGCGGACAGGTCAAAGAGGGAAATATAAAAAGCAAAGCGATTTTGCAATAAATACTTAACATACAACCCCGTTAGAAAGGCGAATCCACGATAGAAAGATACAAAACTGTATGATATTGAGATCAGGGAGGTTGACAAAATCAATAAGAGAGGTTGAAAATTCATTACGTTGGCTATAGCACATGCTTCGATGAATGGACACCCTTCAGGGCCGATTGAGGATCTGGATAATTTCCGTTTGTTCACAGCGAAAAGCTGTTCATTCCCTCGGAAAACTCTCTAGAGGATAGAAAAGAATCGTTCTATGGCCAACTTGCTCGTGAAATAAAGAAAAAGCTTTGGTCTGGACGGTGAGAGGACCCTGATATAAACATAGACCTTAAAGTTGACCAAGATATTTTCATGGAAGGTCTTGGGAGTGTTTTGCCCGGCGTTCTTCAAAGAGGGAAGATGGTTTACCAATTGGAGTCAAATAGGGTGCTTGATTCATATCTGGGGCTGAAGTGGGATGAAAGAATTTTAAATGTAGCTGAAGATTTTGCCTATGTAATTCCAGGAACTATTAAGTATTGGCTGGGACCAAGAAGTCCAATCATTGAATACAAGCTCATCGTTGTAGGTGTTCTTTTTCTTCAGAAACAGTTGTTTGAGGGCATCAACCCCTTTGTGATTTGTGGATCTGAAGAAATCTTTAGAAGCTCTACTATTGTATTTTTCCAAGTCTTGCTGTGTGTAATATGCTATGTTCTGATAAAGTGACAGGAACTCAAGAACATGATAACATAGTGCATGCATGTAGGGAGTGACATCTTTTGCTTGGTAAACTTTGAGAAAGTGCTCAAACCATGATTTGATATTTCTTTGCAGTTCAAGAATACCCTCTTCAGATGTAAAATCTAGCTTCAAATCACCAATTATGTCCATAGATTTAGCCCAGATCACTTGTATGTCTTTGTTTTGACTGCAATGAGGGACAAGCATAGGTCGGAATGTTTATATTCTGAAATAGTTTCAACTTTTCTGGTTCAGTAAGATCTCTATATTCCAGCTTTTTGCTCTCTTTGTTGATTCTAAAATTAAAAGTGATTCCCATACTTTTGATAAATTCTTCATAACATGCCATGTGTTTATATTTATCCCTTGGGAATCCATCAGAGGTTTTTTTTTCTCAATAGCATCACTTCTTCTCAGCCCTCTTATGAACAAGTCAATCAAAACATCTGAAATCCTCAGAAAAAAATGTAATGTATCTATGATGACATGGTCCATAGGTATAAAATCAAATAATGGTTGTGCCTTACAGTTTAATTTCTTTCCAGTGGAAAACCTTGCTATTTTGGTGACAGTTCTAGCACCAAATTTGGGGTCATTAATTGACCATGTTTTGCTTTTGTCCCACTGTTGCTCCCTGGGACACTTGCACCACACACAAGCATAATCCTCATTTGCCCTGCCTGAACCACATACCAGTGCTAAAAATTTCAAATCTCCACCTAAAAAGTATTCAATTTTATAGGTGCAATTATTTGCACTTATTTCCTTTAAGTTTGACATTTCCATTTGAAGGTCTGCTAGGCTGTCTCTCAGATTATCATATTTCTCTGTAGTTTTTATAACAGCAAGTAGATAATTTCCCTTCTCACCCATTGCCACATTCTTTTCATGGAGAATAGTAAAAGTGAAGTTGACAACTGTAAGCCCCTTTCCAATATTTGTACCATCACCACTAAGCTTGATCTTAATAGTTTCTCCATCATTGATTTCTCCATTCTTCTGAAGCCTAACAATGTGCTCTTGCAAGCTTTCTGCAAATCCTAACTGAACACCTTCAGCATCTCCTGGTGTTGGTTTCAAGTTCCATTCACTGTTTAGCTCATTAATTTACTTCTTGATGGAATATATATTGGGGAGATCATTAGCCTTAATGGCAATTTCATGCCAGGCCTCATTTGAAATAATGAATTTATCTTTGAGGTAGAGCCACATATTTATGTTATCAATGTCATCATTATTAAGGGCCTTTGGGTCAGACTCTGTAAATGGCAGCTCTCCCTCTCCAACAAGATTGAAAGTTTCATATTGATTAGTCTCAGTGTTGAAGACTTCAATTTTGGTTGCAACAAAATTGTACAGCCCAAGAAAGGAGAGTGTAGTTTAGCACTCCTCCTTCTGTTGGTTTTTAATTCTCTTTTGATGGTGCTTAGAATAGTCATTAAACTTCCTCTTAGCTGGGCCTCTACCTTTTTCCCATTTGTAATCATTTTTTTGGCCAACTGAATAAATTTTTTATTGTAGAAGGCCCCTTTCTTCTCAGCTTTCTCGAGAGCTTCTCGGGCTTTTTTATCCACTCGCAATCGCTTTGCCTTCTCCTGTACCAACGATTCTTCTAATTTTATTTTTTCTCCCCTCAACTGGCTGTTCCCATCTTTAAGCTGGTGTACATCAACCTCGTTGTACTACACCTTCAATCGATACCGAGGGCCCGTTTCCAAATTGCTAAGAAGTGCATTTAATTGCCACGATTACTAGCTTTCTTGACAGCTTTCTGAAAACAGAATATTTTCTTTCTGAAGACTTCTGATATATGGCTATTGATTATTATACCTCGTATACCTGATTGCTTAAACACTTTTTTTACAATTATTGAAAGGACCGTACTCATGGGTTTTCTCTGAAAACTTCTTTGCTTTGAAATAGTATAGAATAGTAAGCTGAAACGAAAAATTAATTAGGGAAGTTTACGAAAAATCCAGCGAACAAGCTTAAAAAAGGCATTTATTTAGACTTCATACTGCGATGAACTTCGCAAATCTTACTTGTTTATCTCCTAAGTAAACAATGGCAGATTAAAAAATCAAAAGGAGGAAGATACAGCTGTTTTGAAACGCCATTTGACGAGGGTAAATCTGCTTTTTGTTCAACACTTTACATATCAAAACAAAGGAAATTTGTTCCTCCTTTTGATTCTGGCGGTACATTTTTAAATTGCGCTTGCGTAAAAGGGATATCGCCCGAGACGCTTCGCTCGGTTGTGTTTTGAACAAAAACGGCTTGTTAATTTCACGCAACCGCTCGGAGAAAAGGTTAAAATGACGAGGGAAAAACTTTACCTTCAAGTTAGAAAATTAGCGAAATAGGAAGCCACAATATTATAGTTTAATATTTCAGAGGTACATTGAGTGCTTTTTCCGTAGAGAATCCGCACGCTGGTAAAATGTTCGAAAATTACACTCGATTTGAGTGGGGCGTTGAAGTGGGCGTGGTCACTATATTCATGTTAAGACTATTTGTACCCCGTGAGTTTGATATGATTTCGTAAAATCATTTCAAAATATGATTTCGTAGAAAATGAAAGCCGCTGATAATGACTATCGCATCTAATTTGATCCTGTGATAGTTACGATTACCTGACGTCACGACAAGTTGAATAATTACTTTCAAAGTCACGCAAGTAACTAAAGGGAATGCTATCCACTAACAGTATTTAAATACAGACAGACCGGTCAGCAATCTCCTTTTTTTGGGAGTAGGCTTTCAAAAAAGAAATGAGTTGAGAATTTTTTGGTCGTTTATGAAATTTGTTTCTTGAACTGACTACATTTCTGAGTTGTCCTTGTCTTCCGCATTTTTCCGACACATCGACGTTAAAAAGTATGATTTACGATACGACTGAATAAAAAATCATTAAAAAAATTAGAAATAGTAAAAAAAAATATCCTAAAGTTAATTTCAGATAGGCTCCAAAGTAAACGTCATAGTCGCTAAGCGACCATGAATAAAACCTCGGGAAGGGATCGTTTTCAATCATGAGGAAGAGCTGATTAGAAACTACAAAAAAAGTCTTGTAACAGACAAACAAAAAGAAGTGAAACGACCACAGGAATCTTGGGTTTACATATAGTACACATGATCTACAATCGCCTGAGAAATCAAGATTTAAAAGGAAAAATTTGAGATAAAATTATTTTCTCACAGAGTAACACAATATCCTCGACATACCAGTACTCCTTCCTTGAATTCTCTGACTGACCTATCCTGAATCCTGATCCCTTCTTTTGCTGCTTGAATTTTTATAGGTTTACGTCATTATCTTTGGCCGATAGCAAGAGAATATAAACTTTTGCAAGAAGTTAACCTTCAAAATATGGCTCAAACGGTGAAACTGGCCCTCCTCTCCTTAGCAGGAATTCTGGGATGGCATGGAGCATTTCTGGTGTTGCTGATTGTATCCTTTAAGTTGTTTTTGGAGCAAAATTTTTACGGGCAAGAAGGTTACACCTGCCCTTGCACATGGCCGACTGGTTATGGTACCATCATGTTTCTGTTCCCGTCACTAAGCACCTTTCTGGTCGCATTTTTCGCATACTTCCGTCGAGATAACGATAGCGTTCCATGGAAAGCTGTGAAGAAACTTTACGAGCTCAAATGTGCTTGTAATTTTTATGATGGGCGTACCGACTGGGATTCTCACGCCGAACACTGTATTCGTTGCATGGTTCGCTGGCGAGACTGGAACCTGGTAAAGGTCGCCTTGTCAGCAATTTTCTCCCTTCTGTATCCCTTAATGTGGCTGTCACTTAGTTTTCTCCAGACGTTTTACTACGTTTGCGCTCACGTTGGTCCAGATTATGATACACTCACCGGCTACTGCGATATTACGGACATCCCCGACAATTATCAAAAGAATACTGTTCTGGCAGCGATTCGCTCAAAGGTTATTGGGGGCGTTTTGTTTGTAAGCGCTCTGCTCCTTCTGGGTGTCTTCGTGATCGTTTATGGTGAAATTAAAACCTATTTGAAGAAGAAAGATGATTCGTCAAGGTGCGGACCCAACGGGAGAGCTGATAATCTGCAAGTTCACGTCTCCGTTCTACCAAGCCGTTCATCCGGGACATCAGATAGTGCTGGACTCCATGGCAACAGAGAATCTCCTTTTGCAGCAGTTGAAAGTGGAGGCCAGGTGAGATTTCATACAAAGGTGGCTCGCAGCAGTTGAAGGTGTTTTCCTTTACACTTTAAAGACCTTTAGCAAACGGCAACGAGAAGGAGGACGTTGCAAAACAAAAAATGTAGTGGGCATGACAATAGCCCAGCACGTGCGTTTTAAAACTTTGTAGATTTCTTAGCCTTCCTCTGTCACACAATAATGTGAAGTTACCGAAATTTACGTGATCAAAAAAAAAAAAAAAGAACACCCGACGACAAATTATGTAAGTTTCAATTTGGAACTCAACCGTGCTCACAAAAATTATGCTGAAAGTGACGTGTGGCGCCAAATAAGACGTTAAACACATCAGCCATTTTTTAATTGACGTCTTCCTCGGCGTTACTGTCTTACTGCTTAAGGTCCGACTTTTAAGGTTTAAAGGTTTAAAGTAAGCAAGGAAGTTATCCTGGCCACGGTATATTAAATCAAAAACACTCCTGAGGTTTGCATAGATGTCGATCTTGTTTATTGACCCATCAAAGTCCGACATCCTGCAAAGCTGAAAATTAAACCCTGTGAGCTGAATTTTGTTAAAAATCACTGCGATGTATTCCTTTTAAACACTGAATAAAGGAATAGTGGATCACAGATTATGATGTAACCATAGTGTAAGAAAAATAATCAGTTACATTGAATCATAAAGGTTGATGTTCAAACTTCTTTTCCCGCTCCTAAGTGTGGTGAAGTTTGAAAAACTCCGATTGATTTCGACGTTTCTAGGAAATGGAGCTCTGGAGGGTGATTCGTTTTATAGTGTTTTCCTATCACCAGTAAGGAAAATCAATTTTCGTTGTTCAGAATTTCAGATGCTTCTGATGTGTCAAAATTCCTTATTTAAGTCAAAATTACTTAAATTATTATTTCTGAATGCAAACTTTCCTCTTGAATCGATGATGAGCATTCTTAAAAACTGACAATTCCACGTAAAAAAATAACAACTCATTAAATTGTCATTTGTTCAGGTAACCAATCAGAATCAGCCACAACTGCATGACGGGAACAAGACGATTCGTATCAATTTGAGTGACGAGTTTACCACTGCCTTGCAAGGCTGTCTTCAGGAGAGCAAGTGGCAAGGAATTGATATCCGCTGTTCACAGAAAGAAGAGGGCACGAGCGGACAGGGATCAAATATCCAATTTCCTGAGCGATCGTTGCACCAGCGAATAAGTTCCGCTGACCGTACCTTGGAAAACCCGTCGTCAACTCCACCTTAAGTTGTGTAACACAAAGAAAAGTGCATAGCTTGCCATCCTTAACTAAAAAAAAAGCCTGAAGAAGTTTAATTTCGAAATTAAAAATACTTTAGGATTTTTGACGCCAGTTATGCATGCAGTAGTGTCTAAATAAGAGAAAGATACATAAGACAAAGTTAATTTTTTTTTAGAGTAAGATTAGGTAAGCAGTAATTAAAAACTGATAACGCGAGTTTTACAAAAACAGGAGTATTTTTATGTGATATGACAAGTCAACGTGGTAGAAACTGAAGTTCAAAAACTGAAACTTTTTATTTCCAATCCATTAAATTTACAAAGTTGGACTGATTAATGTAACCAGTATTACAGTATAATTTAGTCGAAAGAAAGAACACTATACTCCTGCAAACTCACCTACTCTATTAATCAACATGTGATTTTCTTACCGAGGAGAAACTTTTTAAGGCAATACAGTAATTATCCTAAATAAACTCACTTAAGCCTATTGCGGACTATAATTAATTTAGCTCACCACTGACAAAATCTCACGGTTGTCATCAAATATCCCTGAAATGTACGATCGTCCACAATAGCTCTCTCTCGGTTTACCTTTCCAGACAATCATTCTCTCCCGACAACAGCAACAATTATTTCGACGACTGAGTCCTTATATACATTTAAAACGTATTCTGGAACTTTCGGAAGACTACAACACAACAATTTTTCTGGTATTACATCATAAAAACATAACCTAAGAAAATGTTCCAGAAAGTTCCTTATATATGATAGTAGAAAGTTCGTGTATGCATCACTAAGAATTTAGATGAAATTTTAAAGCTGATAAGTCTTTGAATTCTTTTAATCAGAAAATCTTGAAAAAAGATCATAAATAAGAGATATTTAACGAAAGTGGAGGGAGACGTGCGATTGGAGATTAAAACGTTGTAGAGCCATTCGCTCCGACGAAGGGCTAACGCTCGAAACGCAGGTTTGAAACCGTTTCGGCGGCCAATTTACGTCATCAACTCAGTTGATAATACCAAATTATTTTGTTATACTCTCCCACCGATGCGGCACCACAGTTTCTATAGAAACTTACCCCGTCTATAGATTTTGTTCACACCTGGGCATGAGTTGAGACATGCATAGGTCGATGGAACGAGTTAAGTTTCAACGAATGTGTTCAACTAAAGCATGAAAACGTTGGCTGCTTGCAAAGTTCCTTGTTTTCTAAGGTTTTCTAGCTTTATGTGGCATTCTTTACTGAAATTTAAATCCGTTGAGTTCATCCGATTGCCGAGATAGGAGTTATTCTTCCTTTTTGGTATCACCGACTTCGAAGAAGAAGAATCTTGAGTCGAAAAGCAAACGAGGAACTCACTGTCATGTTTCTTCCAACTGACTGTTAGGATCCATGGTCAGAGTCTCACAGGATGCTCCGTATCACACAGTTGTCCAGTTATTTGAATTTTTTTCATCTGTGATTTTAGCCTGTTCCTCTTTTACTAACCCTTAAATGACAAAAGATCAAATTAATGGTCATGTTGGGAGATGAGAGTGTACATATGATAAATCTTTCTGTTGCTTACACCTTACGACAAATCAATTATGCAAAACAATTCAAAACAACAGAGCTTAGGAACATAACACTGACAGAACAAAGAAAAATTGCAAAGTTTTTACACCGAGGTAAGCCGGAATAATGAGTCACACCTCACGTTAGTAGCAGGTATCATGAATGCCATTGTTTCCTTAAAGTTCTTGCATGTATCCCTTAAACATTAAATAAATTTGAAATTTGAGGGATGAAGTGGTCGTCAGTTGCAAAATTTAACTCACCCTCTCTCGACAACTGATCCAACGCTTCCCGACAATCTGCGCGTTGCAAGGCGTCACAAAGCTCTCTCGTCGAAGCATTCCTTTCCCCTCTCATCCATATTAGGAGCCCTTGATAACATTTTTCCGAAATTGTCCTATTTTCCGCGTCTAGAACTTCTATTCTGACATTCTCCAAGCCCAGATACCGAAGAACTGTTTCCCATCTCGCAATCCTTTGATGTACGCAAAGTAAGTGTCTTTCTGTGACAGGCTCGTCATTACTGCCTAACGAGGCATAACTTTGCCTCAAAGCATGTCCTGTAACATCTGCAGTTACTGTAAGAAAAAACAAACTCATTTTTCAGAAGAACTTGTATTTAAACTTATATTTAGAACATTTATCAATCCATGAGTATCGAAGGAATGATGCTACATCTCTCTGAACTGTTTCTTAAAGCAGCGTTATACAACATGTTCCATATACGAACTATGATTTCTTGAGGATTATCCTAACTTTGTCAACTAACAATAACAAAAACAATGGCTACATTGCCAACCTGTATTTGTTCCGTTTTCAATATTTTGGCCACTTTCGCATTCCTCTCGCCTCTCTGAAGCAAAAGTTTCTTCTAACACGCTTGATTCGTTTGAGGGCTGGATTTCGTTGGAAGACGAGGGAATAGTCTGTATGCAGAGAAAGTTCATAAATAAGAAGAAAAAAAAGAAATAATAATGACCACCTACCTTCTAACTGATTCTCCTTTATCTTTCAACCAGGTTTTTATGCTCACGTAATATAAGTATCTGGGCAACTGCCCACCTACCCCTCCCCTAACCCAACAACAGTCAATTGATAACACGTTAGGGTTAATTTTGGGTTAGGGGAGGAGCAGGTGAGCAGTTACCCAGATACTGATATTGATCCCTCACGTGATTGCTTCTTGTTTCGATTATCTCACGTTTACATCACGAAAGTTTGGTCAGCTCAGATATCGAGAAAGTGGTTAGAACAAGTCTCGAATGGCGTGCCTCTGCAGCGCGAATATTTTACGACTGGGTGCGAATGCTATGCGACTGGAGTATGAATGCAAGATGATTGGGTACGAAAGCTTGGCGACCGGAGTTCGAGTGTTAAACGACTGGATACGAGTGCGAGTGCGAGTGCGACCGAAGTACGAATGCCATACCTCTGGGGTCAAAATTTACACTACTAGAGTTCGATTGGGGAAGGAGTATTATGCGACAACATGGATACGTTACCTCGCGTAGGTCATAGCCTGGGTTTAGATAGATCGTGTATTCTTTGTTGGTTTCCTCCTGCTGGAACCAAAGAACACATGAAAATGGTTTAACATTTTTTCCTGTGGGTTTCACAGCAAAATCGCATGAGTCACTGGAACGAAATCCATTGCGATACGCGATCTCGAAAGGGTATGTCTGTAAGAAGAAACATTAAAGAAATACACGTGTTAGTTATAATCAAAAGCCTTTGACGGCCTCTCTCTTTCGTACAAAGCAGTGGCGAAAGCAAGACTTTTTGACAAGGGGGTCCTATATCAGCGTCTTTTCGGAATCTAGGAGCATACCAGTGTTCTTTTAATCATAATTATTAGACAGGCACCAAAGGAGACCCCCACCCTCCCCCCCCTCTCCATTCGACCTTTTCTCCCTACATTGCGTATAAACAATAAATAACTAATGACCATAAAATTGTAACAATACCAATTACGAATTTGCATGACAGTGTTCGCCTTTGAAGCGACAAGCGTTTCAAACAGTATTTACTCAACAAACCGACTCAATACACAACATCATACGGGATCATGCAAGAGAGACGTATATGTGGTTATTATTTTTTCTAATTTATAATTAAATCATAGTTACCTGAATAGCTCCAGTCTTGTCGAGCTCCCATCCGTTTTGAATCTCTGTGAGTTTCACAGCGATATTGTTACCGCCATTATGTATCGTGCAAGGTTTCTCCTTAGCTGCCTTCCACGAGTCTGGAAAACGTTCTTTGTCTCGTGTTTCAACTCGCTGTAGTATACAAAAAGATTGCGCACAATTATTTCACGGGAAAATCGTTAACATTTGTCGTCTCTGATATGATATTTAAGATTATTTCAATAGAGATGCATCTGAATGAGGCCTGAATGTAGAACAACATTCAGCACTTAATTGAAATGAAATCTGATAACGTCCTCGTTTAACGAGATACATGACTCAAGGAAACTGCGTTGGAGTCTCGAACTTAAGAGCGATCTGGGAAGAGGGAAAGATTTGTTTAACAGTCCTTCATTTTTATCACTCACCTGCGTAAATTAAAAAAAAAATCTCCATATATGAAATTTTTACAGTCGACTCCAAGAGAATATCAACTGTCGATATTCTCTTGTTGACTATGAATATGACTTCCGGCTAATATTGCCGAAACGTCGGAGACTATATACTACGGGAAAAAAAATCTTTTTCAGAACTACTTTCTCCCGAATGATCAAACTTCACAATCCGCGTCTAGAACATTGCTGAGCCTAGAAGTATGCAAAACTCTTGCTATACCTACGCATTTAGTATATGGCCTTGCAAATTGTTCATATAGCTCAATTGTTATATTATCCTATCGCGAATTCGGGATAGGTTTGGGTTCGAATTTAGACAGAGACACGCGCAATGATAGGCATCTGTGTATCACCCTTCCTTCAATTCTGAGAACTTTTGTATCCAAAATCGAAGGGGTTATAAGCTTTCTGATCACCTACCTTCTTTGAATCCTCGCTATCACCGTAGATGTAGAACCTGAGATAAATCAAATCGCTTGATGGGCTTGGTCTGCTGAAGAAAACAGTCGCTCTCTTCTTTTTTGATCCACCACATGCAAAAATGCTCCAAAAAGAGAAGGTTTTTGTTTTAATGTGGATGGAATCTTTTTTTACCGTGAACCATGCCTTAGATTGGCCATTTTTCTCCGATGCTGATGGAACCTTTTCCCATTGGATTGTTCCTTTAAAAACATAACTATAATTATAATTGTGCAGTGTATATTTTTGTTTACTTAAAGCTGATCTATCCATAGCACTGCATTCAGTCTAAATGGGCACAACTGAAAACTTATCCCAATGTCAGAGCGGTAGTTGTGACTAAAAATATTGCCACTCCCCATCACATAATAGTTAAAATGATCACAGAACACCTCTTTCCTTATTTAAATTTTTTTCAAGTCATCTATACTTTTGTGGACGCTCATTGGTTTGTTATCTTGTTCTCTTCTTTCCGACCGTGAGCTTAGCCACGCTCCATCGACTGTTTTTACGCGAAAAGCTTCAGATTGGTATGGTCTAAGACCTTCTTAATACATATGCTAATATCAAGCGTTAGTTTAAAACACCATTTCTAGCTATGTTTATGTGTTACGGGAAATATACAGGAGTAACTGATCATGAACTTACCTTTGTCAGAATATTGCTCACATCTGTAAACAGCTATCGAGTCTTTCTTAATCTCGTCAAAGAACAGACAATGTGGAACAGTGATTTCAACCGGCTTGAGCAGGTTGATGTCGTGTGGTCCACACTCAATCACGGGGGAAATTAGCGTCCTATCAGGAGTTTCCGGGATGTCCCGCAATAGAGAGGTTTCGTCATAGACCACTCGGAAGAAAAACTTCTGGTGAGTTCCTTCTGGGACCGTACCACTATCAACTGCAATCGTCACATCGGAATCTGGCGCAGACAACTTCCCACCAGTGCTGCCGAGCGTGGCTTCTGCTTGAGTAAGATATCTTAGCGACCTGTTATCATGAAGTGGCATTTGATAGTTATTAGATTTAGAGCTATAAACCCTCCTCACGTTCTCCAGCACTCTCTCAAACAAGAGGCAGAAGGTTTTGTCACTCCTCAACTTTTTTCATTCAACTACTATAATGTATCTCCCAATCACCTTTTTATTTTGCATTCTCCTTGGACAGTTTAGTAAAGCTTACAGTCGGTTGAAACGTTTACGCGATGAAAAGTCATAAGTAACATGAGGTCAAGTAATTATTCTAAATAACTGACGAAATTGCAAGATGTTTTTTTTTTCATTTTTCTAAGGACAAATAGAAGGAGCATGCGAACGGCTCCAAAAAGTATATTTCAAGTTGACGACAAAGGTTTTAGCCTATTCCACGCGTTCAGTTGGTAAATAAGACCGGAAAGAGGAGAATACGCGATATTGTAGAGGTTTGAGTTGAGTCAGGTCGCCTATGAGACCCGTCTGTATCACACTTCCTTTTTTTCCGCTCTGTACTACTATTGTACCCACTTTACAACGCGCCCCGTTTACCAAATGATCTTTGACAAACCTTTTTCTGATCTCCATGACTCAAATTATCAAATAAACTAGCTTGATGACGTACCTTATGTTGAACACATCAAATACTGTGGTATGATGGACATCAGCGGCTACAATAGTGTTTTCAGAGGGCAGGAAGGTGTGTAGCGTAGGTTGGTTTGAATCAGACTCATGTACGTCAACAGGCACTCCTATGACATTTGCACCCTGCCAGCAACATAAGCAAGTGAATGTGAAAATAGAGCAAATTGTTTAATTCTAGTGTCGAAAGAAATTGCATTGGTTTTGTTTTACTCTGCACTGTGACTGGTCTAGAAAACTCGTGCTACCCCTTCGACCACTCAGACGCAAAATTAAAACCAGTCAGGACTTATTCAGTCGCGATTCCCGCACTTCAGGTAGCATACTTTACTGACTACAATAAGACCAAATGTTAAAGTCAATCTATGCGGACGGAATCGAGACACACCTCTTCAGCCCATGAACCTGCAGCACTTGATATTGATGTGCTATCACAGCAGTCGGATGGCGTCATACAACGCGGACGTCTGCAGTCTAACCGGGGGCAGACAAAGAGGCGCCCTGTCGATAAAATAATTACCATATTAACTTGCACAACGACAGAAATCACTTGACCGACACTTTTAGTGTCAAAAACGATTACTCGGCCTGCGAAGAAGTGGAAACATCTGTCATACTGAGGGCAGTGATGGAAATCTGCTTTGAATGCATGAATCAAGTCCTTTATCCAAGACACATGAATTGCTCTTGAGACAGTGAAATAATACGTCTTCAGAGGAATTTTATCAGTCACAGTTTCCTTAAAAAGCAGAAATCTTACCATTAGTTTTCTTGGAGCGTTTCAGTCGATTGAGTGCCGATGCAACCACTAGCACAACAACAACAACTACTGCAATCACAATCCACTGCCAGTGTTGAGTGTGTGGGAAAATCTCTTGGTCATTTGCAGAGTTCGGCTCGGGAAGCATCATTTCCTTGTCCATGTTGTCGCCCACCACCCCTTCTGTACCCAATTTAAATCCGCCTCCTGAAATGATAATACATATCAAAACCTCCATCACAATACTCAATTAGAACCTAACAGTTGATTTAGGGACAGCATAAGAAACAGAGAATTTAAATCTAACCTTTTTCCTGGGGAGACTTTGTGCTATGCTCCAGCTCTTCGTCCATTCCAAAATCATTAGCGTTGAGAGACTCAGATGACGAAACGGAAGATATCCTACGCGGATTCGCTGTGTCTGTACTGTTGTGACCAGTCTTCTGCGATAAACTTTGAGGAATGTTCCCATCATCTCCTTGCACTTCATGATCTGTTGGGTGTCGCTTGTCGTAAACTGTTTTCTCTGTCTGTGGAGACGACGCAGGCAAACTATCAACGGGAGAAATTATGAGAAATGTTCCCCGTGCAATTGCATCAGTTGGCGTCCTCGACGAGAATAAGCTTGGAGGGGAAGGACTTACAGAATGAACCCCGGGTACGATGAGTTTTCCGTCTGCTTCTTTGTCAGCAACCGGCAATTTGTGTTGAAACTTGGGATTCCTTCTGCCATCAACCCAAGGGTTCTCAGCTCTAAAAACAGTCACACGGTCTTTCGTCTCTTCGTGATGTCTGCTTCTATTGTGGACAAGGTAATCTATATGAAAAAAGAAAATTTTTAATCCGGGGAAAATCAATAACTCAGAAGATATTTTATGATGATCGCCTCGTGTAATACAACAAAATCACTTGGTTTTAACCCTTACACTTCTCTCATTCAACAACTTGAAGTTTTCCCCTTCTCATCACACTATTCTTAAAGCATAACCTTCAGAGCTAAAACATTTTTCGGAATTAACACCAACTAACGGTCAACTCTCGTAAGTAGACACAAACCATCATACCAAGCACATACGTAATCTTCTCCGCAAAAAACACCTAAGATTACCCTCACCTCCACCTCTGCCGCAATCTGTGTCCTCATAGATCCCTATTCCATCTTTATCAAAAGGGCATCTCTTGCAGACTGTGTCTTTTGTCTTTTCGCAAGGCCTCAGTACCCCAAATCCAGGAGGACATGTGCTGCATTCTTTGCAAACAACATTCGACGTCAGAGTGCAAGGAAGGACCTCGAATTCATTCAAACCACATCTGGCGCAACGTTTGCATGTTCCGCGGCGAGAGGCGTGCTCAGAGTATGTTCCTTCAGCGCATTTTACGCAACGAGATTGTTCATTTTGGTTGCACACTGTGGAGAATCCTGCCGGGCACTTTTTACAAGCCAAGTTGATCAACTTTGGAGAGACCGGATAGAACGGTACTTCTGTTCCACTCAGTGACTATCAGTAGACATTAGAAAGGAAGAATAGGCACGCAAATTAATTACTTATAGTCCGTATCTCTTTTTCTCAGGAAGGAGTTTTTAGAAGGCGAGTTCATCCCTCTGTTTCTGGGCAAGGGTTTTTCGCACACACTTTCTCACGTGGCGATGCAGTGCGCACCCTTAAAAATTGCAACCAGCTTTCTTCCGTGCTTTTCCAACCGAACACTCTTCCCCCCCCCTCCCCGCCCCCACCCCCCACACTAGCTTGGGTAATTGATGGTTTTGTTTGTGCTTTGTTGCATCAGGCGACGGGGCGTTGAAACGAGCGATGGAGCTGTAAGTGTTTGTGACGGAGCCTAAACCTCTGCTACACTTTTCCGTGGCTCTGTTACCCACCCTCCCCCTTCCCTTAAATGGAATCCTAGTGTTTCTAAGGAAATGTGTTTGTTTGCTACCCACATTTTAGGCCTTGCGGTTTCAGTTTAGGTTGAAATTGCCATGATAAAATTTAAAAAATTAGTAGCAAAAAGGTCATGTGCCCTGTGTCTTAAGAAAAGCCTTAGCGCAGCGGTTTGTGATTTGCAAACGATACGTGTTGTTTTGCACGCAGCTATGTTATCCTCTATCGAAGCTTATTTACCATGGAAACCACAAGTGTGCGATGACATGATGATTTATGATTAAATAAACTTAATTGACTCAAGGAATACTTTACGGCTAAAATTATCTATGAGAATGTATTTATGATTATCTGTTGCTCGGGAAATAGAATCTTGGAGGCATATGTTGACAAAAAGCCTTCACAATGTTCGATGAATTTCGCATATTCTGATGTTCTTATAATAGTCTTGATCGGGTATGGCAATAAATAAACGACTAACGTATTACTGAGTCCGATAAGCGAAGCAAAGCAATCGCGCGTGACGAAGCAATACAACACATTGAGCTCCTGTAAAGTTTTGCTCTACATATTCTGAGTGATGTAATGGATAATTTAATTCTGAAGCAATATATTTAACACATATTGATGGTTTCATCATCTATCAGAACTGATATTTTCAGAATTAAATGTCATCACTATTGTTCGTGTCGTCAGGAAACAGTAGTGCCCTTGTTCTGCGTCAAAGGTTTCCTTTCAGTTTTGCTTTCAATTTGCTAGGTTTTGCTTCATGACTTTCGATTGAAGAGAATACTCATCTTTAAGGTGTTGTGCACATACGTTAGCCATCTTTTTAATTAATAACGCAAATGGGAAAAAAAACTGAAATCTGATGTTAACCTCATTTAAAAAATTCAAAACTAAATTAGAACTTTTAAAAATAGGAAATTGTCACGGTTTTGTGACCGTGATCACGAAAAGGTGGTATTCATTTAGTGGTTTCCCATTTAAACGATTTTTCTTGATAAGTGAATTAAAAGTATTTTGATTACACCTGATTGCCAGTGCCAAAATCGAAAACAAGGGCTCTTGAATTTTTCGAGTAATTGTTTGAAAGTGGTCACAACAATTTCAATTGCGCTGTACATTGTAACGAGGTCGCATCGCAACGTGATCAACACCGATCAAGAGATGTCTCTTACAGGCGCTCAAACGGCTATTGATGGAAATAAGCAGGTCGTGACTATATCGTTAGTTGACGTTCGTGTGACGCTTTTGCCTCTCAGTTCGGTCGAGACAGGAACCAGAGTTTTTTTTTCACTTTAAATACCTAGTCGGAAACGTGGGACCAAAATGTTTATCGACTATTCCCACCAGGCGTGTCGTGCTATGATGATATTTCAGCGTAAATAATAAACTCGTTTACCAAATTCAATTAGGTTCTCAGGTCGAAATGAGGTGAACTGAGCTGTTGAATAACCAATTCAGCCCGGATCATATATCAAGCAGTGAAGATGTTGCGATACTACACGCTACCGTTGTTTCAATCAAATATCAAAGGTACGTATCTCGAGCAGACAGGTATTACGATGGTTCTAGAGCATTATCTAGCGTCAAACCACGGTGGTTTTTTAATATTTTGGCATATATTGAGCAATTACTTACGAAAGATGAGTGGAATCCCATCAAAGTGAAGGCGAATAACATGAACTCGTGAGCCATTTTGAAACGCTATTGCACCATAGACGATTTGTCTTGCGTTCCTGATCTCCTACATCTGTTAGCGAGGTGAATAAATGATAGATTGCCTCTTTCTTCCGGTATGAACGCCTGTGGCACTTTTGGTCTTCGTTTTCTGTCTCCGAATAGCTTAGAAAATTAGTATAGAACAATGAAACTGAAAGGTTTCGGCACAGCCCTGACTTAACAATGTACTGAAGATTTCAAATGACCTTCCGTAATTTGTTTCAACGAGGCGTGGCGGGGGCTTTTCCCTGTATGACGTATTTGTTTATTTTCGAATTAGAAGATTTGGAGCGGCTGATGTCAAGATTACACTGCACAGCTACCAAAAGAGAAGATCATTCTTTCTTGTGATCATGGAAAAAAAGGCCTTTAGCACATGGGGCACGACAATTTTGTTACTCAACAAGTGAGTCTATAGGAAGTCAACTGTAGCTTCTTGCGTAACAAACTTTCAAACAAAGGAAACAAACAAATTTTTAAAAAGAATTGATACAAAAAATTTTACTCGCCTGCCAAACCAATTCTCTAACATCCTCTCCCATCCCCTCCCCTGAGAGTATCCACTAACAAACTATGACCGAAATTACAAATCGACTATGAGTTGGAAGGGAAACAGCGTGGCTGCCGAAATACATTTACGTATTTTCCTTGCAATCACTGTAACGATGATAGGGCATTTATTTGAGTTGGCGAAAGTGCAAACATCACAATTTCACTTTCATCGCGCAAATTATGCGACGGACATACCATTGCCCCCAATTGCCACTTTTCTCTCTTTTTCTGTTTCAGAGTCTTTAATTTTTCGTTTATCAAGGGCATCCTTTTGTTCATCTGAGGGACACGAATGTCGTACTAATCCCCGCTTTTCTTAACAATCCATTTCCTGTTTTGGTTTATTTATTCCTCTTTGGTGCTCGTCGACCTTGGCAAACCAGCGATAATAAAAAAAGATGATGAAATGTCAAGATCAGGCTTTAAACTTCCGGGAATACTGAAATGTTCATTCGCATCCCTTGTTTGGAATGTCACGCAACGACACTGGAAGACCGTTGCGTGACAAACTCAGATAGGACTAAGGGGGTAAGTTTCTAAAGAAACTGTGGTGCTGCGTCGGTGGAAGACTATAACAGGGTAATTTAGTATTATCAACTGAGCTGACAACGCAAATTGGCCACTGTATAGCTCATCTCACTGGCTGTGCGAAGTTGATTTCGGTCTGTGATTGATTCAAGTTATCAGCGCCATGTATAGATACAATTTACACAAAGAATGCTCATAAAGTACAATGGGAAGGGGAGAGTCGACTGAGTAAATCAGATCTTTAATTTTTTGACCCCTGAGAGTGACTGACGTCCGATCTCCTCTTAGAATATCTCCCCGGAATCAAACGTTTTGTGAATAAAGGAAATAATCACCAACTAGAGGAGGTCTTGATTGTTAAACAAGTTCCCCTCGTCAGAACCATAGGAAATGTATAGAGAACAGTGTGGAGAATATGCATACTGATGTTAGGGTGTGGAGCGTTAATAGGAACCTCGTCAGAACCATAGGAAATGTATAGAGAACAGTGTGGAGAATATGCATACTGATGTTAGGGTGTGGAAATTTGCGATTTAGTGTCCGATTTCAAATATATATTTTGCTTTAAGGATATAGGAAAAGACTGTGAGCAATTTTTGGCATAGAGTAAGAGGAGAACGAAGTTCAATTAGCATCGCGCTTACGAAACTAGATTTCAACGTCCACGCGGTTTCTGCTTGCATTTGTAAACAGTGTCACGGTCGACGAAAAAAGATGGATCGTTTGCCGCAGAGTCTCAAGGCTTTTACAGATTTCTTTAAGGGATAGTTATGCTGCGAGTGTGAAGAAAGAGCGACTCTTTTCTCAGTCGAAAGAATCGCTGCAAGAAACAACTAACCCTAATTTAAGTGACTAAACGTCCGGCAGCCGGACACTTTCTTAACAGCTTCGTAGCACCGTTCGCAAAGAGACCGAAAATTGAAGGAGGACAATCCTCTCGGCCCAAGTACATTAAGATAGCGCACCTGGTCTTCTGTGAGAGCTTTAACGGGCGGCACAATAGATATAGTGACCGGTTTCTTCTAGAGAAGAGAGGTGATAGATCACTGACGCTGCATGATATATTAAAGATTTTCCAATTTTTTGATGAAATTCAGCACTCCACGCTTCCCACATAGAACCTCTAACCATAAATGGTTTGTTTTACTCGATCACGGTGAATCAAGACATGACTTGGCAAGAACCCAAGGCTAAGATATCAATTTCATCACTAGGGATATCGATGTGCTGAGAGAAGGTGATATCTATCCGTTGGCCGTGAATCGATGAACTGAAAGCCATGTGAAAGTCATAAAGAATGGACAGATCGAGATCGTGAGGCGTACGTTGCACGGCCAGTCGTAAACTGTATCTCTTTCTTGTCTTGATCCGAGAAATAATTAATAATTATCCCTTCCCAATAATTCTGTTGACAATGGAAAACGTCAGAAAGCGACAGCGGTGTTTGATTGGCCAAGAGAATTTAAAGCATGTCAAGGAAACAATGATTCTTTAGCTGATATTTTTGTCGGTGCTTAAACTGTAGACACGTTTGGGGTTTGTGTACGTGGAAACTATATATCCTCTTGCATGATACAATGCATAAAAACCCGTTTGCTTTTGGTGATCGATGGAATAGAATAACACCAAAGAAAACCTAGTCCGTAAACTCAGTAAAAAGTTATATTAGAATTCTAGTCAAAACAAGATGTTTATTGTTGGTTGAATCTAATATAAGCTTTAATTTCCATGCTCGGACATCTCAAAGAACGATGTTCAAGTTACGAAAATCCGACACAATTAGACACAAATACCAAAATACCAAAAAGGGTCCTATCAGAATCAATAATGAGGACTTAACCTACAGCGATGTAGGACCTCAAACAAGAGAGACGCCTTGACAAACCAAAACTCAAACAGTTAAAAAAAACGCTACTGTAAACGGGGACGAAAAACAAGGCCGATTTTTGCTTTTGGCAGGAGAAGGATGGTATAACATCCTGTGAATACGTGACCCTAAACTTGTACGGTTTCCGTGTACTCTGGCTGACGTCACTTCCTATTCTAAACTCCGGACTCCAGCGACCTTTTGGGTTGTTTAAGGCTGATCATATTTGATTATGACTAACAAATAGGGGAACATGTCGGAAATCGGCTCCTTAAACACTTACCGGCTCACGTCTTAGGGTTATTTGATAATAAGGTTGAAACATAGGGTTAAGTGGCGAAAATGTCTTAATAAGGAAATGAATTTTTGGAAAACACATTTGCATTTTTCAGCAAGGCTGAGATTATGAAACGCGGACGTGAGAAAAAATTATCAAGTGAAGTTTCAAATTCTGCGTTGGAGGTTAACCTTGCTACAGATGAGTCCAAACACAATTTGGCAGGATTATGATACTTGGACATCTTTTCGTCAATTTCTGCTCTCTACGTGCGCGGAGGTGTGATGCATTGATTATATAAACCACTGAAGAACCAGGGAGTGCCACTTTAGTTTTTCGTCAAGCTGTGGGATCGTTGGTCATCCAACTAGTAATCTCGACTTCAAGTAAACAAAATTGGTAAGGTAATTATTTCACTAACAGTTTAGTCTTACATGCATGAAGCGGTTTTAGCTATGTCTGGTTTTATTTTATAATTCTTTTTCATCAATTCCATCGATCGAGGCAGTGGTTTCAATCTTACATATATTGCTAATATTGAATCTCAACCACACCTGATGAAAAGAAGGGGCTCGACTCGCTCAGGGGTATACATCAGACGAGTTCTATGTTCATTAAAGGTGTGCAAGATGATGCATAAATTTTTTTGCCCGTCCCATCAGATAGTTCACAATAGTTTGCCAAAAGATTTTGAAATATCTATATTTAAAAAGCCAGAAACATATTGTTCTGTTTGTGTAAGTCCTTTGCGTGACTGAGTAGGGAACCGTTGTTTGTCTCTGTTATTGTCTTCTAGTTGTCTGTATTCTTATAAGATCATTTATATCCTGACAGGTTGATCAGTACTGAGGCTTAAGTTTATCGCCTCTCAATCGAGGATGGGCCTACAGATGATCAAGACAGTTTTGCTCCTTTGCACAGGCTTGATTCTCTGTGACGTATATGCAGGTATGAACTTTTGAATTTTGTGAAAAGCATTTGCCATATTTCATCATAAAAATTGGTCTTTGTACCGAGTGCATTTTTTGTATCGATAGTTTGGCCAAGGAAAGTTTGCCGAAGCTCAACGAACACGCTTATGGTGGTCAGATCACGAATGTCGGCAAGTTAAATTAGCCGCACTAGAGAGAGTGAAACCGTAAATGTAGTACAATCGAGTTTCGCCGAAGAATGAGTGTGCTGAGTGATTCTCGGTCTGAATGATAATCATTTTGTAGTAAAAGATTGGTAAACATTGTTATGATGGTGCAAGCATGTGCGTCCTTCAAAGTCGTTGTTCACTCTTGTCAAACAAAGGCTGGGAAGAAGACTAGCATTTCACCTGAGTAAGCGATACCAAATCGATTCAGTGGTCAAATATCTGCGCGTGTGTGAACATAAATAGGCCTCAGTTTTGTTTCCACTGTTCAATCTAATCACTTATCTGGCGTGACAAGACCAAAAACAGTGGTTGGACTGAGGAAGACTGACGTTTTCCCTGAGCCCACGGATTTGAAATTTCTTATCTCTATGGGAATGACTCACTACAGACAACAGAATTTCTGCATAAATGATCGACATACCTGCGTTATACTTTGTATTTTAAGCGGCTAAATATTTAGTGGTTCAACTGGTCAGGTTGTTTTAATCCTTTTACACTCGAGATCTCTTTAGTAATTCCCCTTACTGTCTGCCATACTAGTCTTAAGATGTTACTTCGGAGAATTTTGATATTGATCAACCACCATTCCTCTAATGATTAGTTTTTGTTTTAATTCTCATCACTTTTTTGCTTAATATTGTTATGATATGGTAAGGAGAAATTCTGTCTTGGTATTTCATGGGAATTAAAAAAAGAAAAAAACGAGCAGTTAATAATAAGCCTCTAAATCCTTCCCTGCAGAATTCCCGTTCCGTATCAGGTACGAATCTTTGGGTTGTTACAGAGACAAGCCAGATATACAGATAAAATCTTTGGAGGGAATGGACAGTCTCCTTAACGACAGCTATAGGCTGAGAACTGATGCTATACAAAAGTGTGCCATGGCTGCCTTGGTAAGAGGATTTACAGTGTTCGCAGTTCAAGATGGCGGCATGTGTGTTAGCGATAAATACGCGTATTTCTTCCATGAATTTGCAGTTAAATCAGAAAACTGTAAAAGTGACGGAAAAGGAGGAAATATGGCTAATCAGGTCTACTATCTTAATTCAACACTGAAAGGTATGGATCGTAATTTGAAAGGAAAAGTATCCAAGGCTGTTTACACCATCTGCATATCATTTCGCACGATATTTAAAATCTGTTATTATAAGAGGTCGCTGAGAAGATAAAATACAGTTAGGATGGATCCAGGAATTTTTGATTGGGGGCGGGATTTTTAGGCACTTAGGGTTTTTTTTCCTTCTCGCGCTAGAGCCTGAATAAGCTGAGAAACAAATTAAGAGAAGTAAATTTTGAAGACTTCATATTGAGTAGTAATATCTGGTCCTGTCGGTGTGACAATTTTGGTTTTAGACAAGTGTAATCCTTCTGGATCTGCCACTGATTTAGCAAACCCAAACGTGATGTTTGGTGTTTTTTTGGGGATAGTTTTTGAAGTTAGGGTTCATATCTCAAATCTCTTCTCCACAATTCTGAATATAAAACCCATTCGTGAAGCTTTTTGAGACAAAAATGAGAACATTATGTGACTCGAAGCCAGCTATGTACGCAGGTCTTTCGAGCATGGGCAGCACCTCTCAGCTCGTTGATGTTTTCTGGGGTGCCCTCCTTACTACGTCGGATTAGTTCCAAAAATTTTTTTTTACTTAAATACAAACATCAGTCTACGTAAGCAGAGTTATTGTAAGAAATCGAGTGCAAATAAGTGGCAAATGGCAACTTCACTGACGTAAACTCTTAGTTGCCGAAACAAACTCGCAAATGTAACAATTCTGTTCATTTTCTGTCTTTAGAAGTCCTTGGCACTGTTTCTTACACAAAACTTGGATGTTTTGATTTCACCGATGCTCACACTGTGCCCAGCCTCGAAGGAGAGGATTCTTTGTTGGATGGTTATTACACAACGAGAAGGGACGCTATTAGTAAGTGTGGACTGGCGGCTGACAAGCGAGGACATAGAATGTTTGTTGTCATGCCAAGCGGACAGTGTGCAAGTGGTCCTACTACTGAGATGTACAGAAAGTTTCTACAGTCAGGACACAGTAACGTGGAATGCACAGGAATGGCTCTTTGGAGTAGCGTATACCTTCTCAATTTTAGCCGGTATGACGATAGAGGTGCTAACAATGTTGAAGGTAACGGAGATACATGTATTCAGATTAAACAAGTAAACTGTGTTTTATAGGACGGGGATGAAGCTGTTATTTAACAGAGCGGAGCAAAATGTCGCTGAATCGCGAGCGTTTCCCACCCAGAGGTACAGATTCTCAATCACCTGTCCTGTCGAAAACCACCGAGTACATGTACCAAAATAGCTCAAATAAACTCGACAATCAAGTGTAGAACTCTCAAAGCAGTATCCAAAAAACACTGATTTGAAGCCATAATTATTTGTCACTTACATTTCCTGCTTCGAAAGAATGAAAATGAAACAGTTAAATGATTATCTACTATCGTTAGAGGTAAATGAACTACTGTAAATTTCGCAAAGTTAGCTTTGCTGGTTCCAACCCTCATTTGAGTGACGGTCTTTCGTAGGAAAATAAAAATATGTAAATGTTCTATTTTCAGTAATAGTACCGCCTGAGCCGCTAAAATACACGTCAATTGGATGTTTCCTCCAGTACCTTTACATGGCTGAGAGATATCCTCTTCTTGTGAGCTATGAGGGCCAAGATCCACTTCTAAAGGATTTCTACCAACTACGAAAAAATGCGATTGAAAAGTGTGCTACGGTAGCCAAGCGACGTGGATATAAAGTTTTTGCTCTGATCAACGGCGGCAAGTGCTTGACTGGCCCTAAAGCTCACACAGTGCCAGTATTCAAAACGTTCTGGGCTAAGGGATGCGAAAGCCACGGAAAAGGAAGCTATCACAATCTTCACGTTTACGTTGTTGGAGAACTGAGAAGTACGATGATTTTACGATTTTAATGGTGTACGTTAAGAGCCTTTTGAATTTGGGTAATACGACTGTCATACTTTTTCTTTATTATACACCAGACACAGTACATTCTGTTTTTTTTCCTTTTTGACACAGATTTCTTCTCCGCAATACCATACACACAACTCGGTTGCTACAAAAACGACAAAAATATGCTTGATATTGAACAAATGGACCCAGATGTTCTTGATGGTGATTACAAATTGAGAAAGGACGCAATTGGCAAATGTGCATTAGCCGCCATCAAGAGACGCAGTGAAGTGTTTGCAATCCAAGATGGAGGAAAATGTCTCATTACAAGAAATTCTTACAAAGTTTTTGATGGAAATGGGATCTTACAAGACTGTAAAAGTGACGGAAAAGGCGGACCAGAGACCAGTAACGCTTATGTGATAGGGAAAATTAGCGGTATGAATCTTTTCTCATGGATGTCTCCTATTATGAAGAGCTAGGAAGGGAGGGGTCTCTCGTTGGCTCACTTAGGGTGGGTGGGTGGGCGAATATAGTCCTACTCGGTTAGAAATGAAATATTTTTAATTTTTAAAAACTATCATGATGGTGATTTCTCCCCTGCAGCTTTAAAGCAGTTTTTTTTTATTAGTATTAACTTAAGCTTGGGTCACGCCTTAAATGGTCAATAATCTCTGATCGCTTCCCCCTCAAAAGTTCCAATTCACTTCACATGGCTTTGCTTCGTCTCCCTACCCCTTCTTTCTGTACTTAAAAATCCTGATCCTCCCATGATGACAACTAAAAGTCAGCAGAAACTATAAAGTGTCTTATCTGTGCGAAAGAGGGTGTTAAGCTGCTGCCACTAAGAGTCAAGTCATGATGATATTACCTAAGAGAGTAGAATGCAAGGTTTCTTTTTGAACAAAGTGTTTAGTTAACTATTTAAAAATAAATTTCACATCCAGTTTGAAGGAAATAACATTGTTATAACAATGGCTTCCGTTGCAGAGCTTCGGTCTATGTTGACCATTAATATTTTAAACGAAGGATGTTACAAGGACCTTCCTATCCGTGCTATGGAAAGTCTTGAAGGAAAAGACCCCATACTTCTCGATGGCAATTACGCTTCAAGAGATGAAGCAGTTCTTAAGTGCCTCTTGTTAGGAAGGAAACTTGGATATGCCGTGGTGGGTGTTCAAGATGGTGGCATGTGTGTTGGTAGCACCAAGGTGAAAACGTATAAGAAATACGGAGTATCCCATGATTGCAGGGGGGATAGGAAAGGAGGACCGTGGGCCAGTGAAGTATACCTTAGCTTAACTAACCACATCACTGGTAAGTGTTAATCCGAGAAGATGTGTCAAATGGCAGTGGAAAAATTATCACCGGTCCCGATACTAGCTGTAAATGGTGGCTTTTAATTACCAAATGTCTTGACCTTGTTCTTTAGTTGACTGATTTGCAATGCGGAGGTTATGAAACATTACATTTACCCGCACTTTCAATCTTAATAATAATAATAATAATAATAATAATAATAATAACAATAATAATAATAATAAAGGCTTTATTACGGTATATCCATAGAATGGCTCTTCACCCGAGTAAACTAACTAAGTTAATCTACGCTAAAAAACTAACAAATTCATGATGATAAAATACAATTAATAATTATAATACAAAGCATTTGGAATTAAGACCGAAGCAAATTACTATATACGAGATTTCAAAAAAGTAAAAGCCTGTTTTGAAAATGATTTGCTGTCCACACAATGATTTGCTGTCCACACACGTTCTTGATTGTTATGATATATCTCTATCATTATTACCATGGTTTAACGGCCAACGGCCTATTTTTTCAAACAGACGTAGTTCCCTCAACATCCAATGATCTTTTCACAGATTTTCTGGCCGGTGTTACCTACGAATCTAAAGGCTGCTACAAAGACCAAGAAGCGAGAGCTATTTCTTCTTTAGAAGGAAAAGACGTTCTTCTAAGTGATAGCTATACGGAGAGAGAGGATGCTATTCAAAAGTGTGCAGTGGCAGCCATTATACGAGGATACAAAACATTTGGAATCCAAAATGGTGGCATGTGTGTTAGTGGCCCTAACGCGCACCAAACATATAGCAAATACGGTGAATCAATGGATTGTAAAAATGACGGAGAAGGAGGACCTTGGGCCAATCAGGTTTACAATCTTGTGGGAAGGGTGGACGGTAAGTTGACATGAATGTATTAACATCTAAACCTAGTGGTCTCTTCTACGGCCACCGAATTATTGGCCAAATTTGGCTTAAGCTTCAAGTAGGGTAAAAAATATTTCACTCTCGTTTGTACAACACATCGCTTGATGAATTGTGACAACCGTGTTTTTTTTTTCTTTTTTTCCGAATGTCCTTTAACAGTATCTTTAATTTTAGCGTAAGAAGGAGCTGCTCCATAGACAAAGTTGAGTTGCGTCATTTACCTTCGGTTGAAAATTTGAATATTAGCACGAGTTCCTGAAACAGTTGAGGATATAGCGGGCTCACTCCTTTTTCTCAAATTATTTCCTTCCAGTAATTTGACGTTTTTGTATTCGCAGATATCTTTGAGAGTGTTCATCGCTTACATGTTGGATGCTTCGATGACATGCAAGCACAGAGGATTCCCAGTTTAATGCAAGATCCTGTATTAAACATTACCATTACTTCAGATGCGGATTTTGGTGAATCAGATGCACATCTTAATCTCAGTCAACAAGAGAACCGATTTAACGTGAAGTGTGCATTAGCGACCTGGAGGAGAGGATATAAAGCATATGTTGTTACTGCTGACGGGCAGTGCGCCAGTGGTCCTGATACGCACACCAACATTGTCAAGTTTGGTTATGGCTTAGAAGAGTGCTCAACCGTACCGGCGAACAATAAGGCGTACCTTGTTGGTCCTAGTCCGTTTATCCCACCCTTTGAAGGTATGATGAATGTTTCCTGCCTTTTTCTCTTGAATACGAGAAGAGAGACGATTACTTCGAAGGGCCAAAATTAACAATTTGATCAGGAGGTTTTGATTTATTTTTTTTTGCCTGGGATCTGTTATGTGAAGGGAAAATTTGTCACCTTCCATTGGGATAAAGAAGCAAGGTAGGGTAAACTCCTTATCTGGGTATTCAAATGAACTTGATCCAGAATACAGATCCTTTTAGGGCTCAGATAAAGGGAAAGAAAAAAGATTTCATATCTACCTTAGAGATAGAATTTATAGAAAAGCCTATAGGTCAAAACAAGTGTGTTGAAAATTTACGTAAGTTACAAGTATTATCAAAAAGCCGGTTGAACAAGTGGATGAGAAAGCCGGTTATCCTGGCAAAAGCCGGTTTAACAGGTAGAGAGAGATAAGAAGCTTGGATCTGTTGAACACTTTAGTAGAGACTTGCGTTAGATTTTATTAAAAGGCGGAGAGGACATGATAGATTTAAAACAACAAAAGGAAATAGGAACTGAGGTGTCTTTGATTTTGATAACAAATTGAATTTGTGATGTGGTCAAATTGGCCTTGTCTAGTCACTTATATGTTAATTAATTGATATTTCCTTTTTGTAATTAATTAAACTATCCGAGCTTCTATGAGTTCAGTTAAAGATTATAAATCACGTGGTGCACGGACAACGCCCACTCTAGATCCATAGAGAGCTGTGTTGTTTGGAAACCACACTTCTTCCTAAAATCAGCAACGATTAAGAAATTATTAAACGATGTCTGGGATTCCAGTGAATTTGCTCGACTTCTATGATTGGTCTGGATGTGGTCAAATTGGCCTTTTCTAGTCACTTATGTGTAAATTAATTGATATTTCCTTTTTGTAATTAACTAAACTATCCGCGCTTCTATGAGTTCAGTTAGAGATTATAAATCACATAGTGCACGGACAACGCCCACTCTAGATCCATAGAGAGCTGTGTTGTTTGGAAACCACACTTCTTCCTAAAATCAGCAACGATTAAGAAATTGTTAAACGATGTCTGGGATTGCAGTGAATTTGCTCAACTTCTATGATTGGTCTGGAAGACTCAAAGTTATCTGGTCGGATGCGATACTAAAACCAATCGGTATTTGATCATTAGCGTTGCCATCATCATTTGCGTGACACATTATTATGATATTATGTTGCCCTTTGATGTGATTGGCTGTTGAGATATTGTGGGTTTCGGATTTACGAAAATCAACTGATATAAACAATTGTAGAAAGTGACTAACAGTTACATGCCAATTTGCATTTGCTTTCTACAATAGGGTTACATGTTGAGTATGAGTCTGTTGGATGCTATGAAGACAAAAGAGAACGAGCTATCGAGAATGCTACTCCACTTGGTTACGATCTGTTTGGTTACTATATCAACAAAATGAAAGGAAATGAAATCCAGAAGTGCGCATTATATGCAAAGCTGATTGGGTACAAGGTGTTTGCGATTCAAAATGGGGGGGAGTGCCTTACCAGTGCCACGGCCCATAAAACATACAGTAAATATGGTGAATCGCGGGTCTGTAAGGGCGATGGAAAAGGAGGACCCTTTGCCAATCAAGTGTATCGTTTATCTGAGAGAAAAGGTATTTTGTTTTATGTTTTATGTTGTTGTTGTTGTTTTTTTTTATTTTTGTCTTGGGTTTTTATTGTTTTCATTAGAAACCTCAACCTTGTCCCCAGTCTACATTTTCTTTAAGTGTCAATAACAGCTGCGGACGAAGATGGCAAAAGTTTTTCTGGATGGGGCGGAAAAACAAAAATGGCACAACTCGATTGGCCCATCCAGTTGATAATAGTATACTACATGATGAGTTAATAATACTAGCTTCGGGACGGGTGAATTGAACTGTCAATTTTCTTTACTTCTTGGATATCGTCACCATCAAAAGAAGCAACGACGAAAAACCATACCACCACCGATGGAAAACTTGATGAAAATCGTTTACTCTTCCATTGGAATTGGTGTTTTACCTTTTTACGAAAATTGAAAAGTGTCATTGCCTTTTTAACATGACCATCTTTATCTTCCTTTCCTTTGCAGGATGAGAGCGTGTGCCAATGAGCTTTCTAACAGTTTGTGTGGCTCATCTTTACAAAGAAAAATGGAAATTACGTCATAATACATGGCAATAAAGCTCTTGTTCAAAAAACTTATTTTACCGTTGTTCGTCTCTTTAACAACTTTGCATAGAGGGGAAAATCATAGCAAAACTCGCCTAAAAACTTTCAATAAAATGTAGTGATTTTCAAACTCTTAGCCATCTAAATAATGAATTCACATTTTGGATACCTCACACTTAGTGCAATGGGTAATACTTCTTCCAGCAAGAGAGAGTCAGGGGATTGATTCCTCGCGGCGATAAGTAATTCTTTTCATTCTTTTTCTTTTCTTTTTTTCCTTTTTTTTTCCAATTTTACTTCTTCTTCAAAAGCATTTGTTTTTTCTCTTTTCGCCTGTAACATCACCTTTTTTGAGTGCAGAAATCGGCATTTAAGAAGCTAATTCCCGAAACGCAGCGTTTGGTTTTTCTTTTCCTGCTTTTGAAAAAAAGAGGAGGTTTTCATCATTCCAGAGTATAGTTAATCGATATTGCGTTTTTCGGAGGTCGAATTTTCAAATTTATAAAGAAGGCCTAAATATTCCAAAATGTAAGACGGCTCATCACCTTCGAGTAGTATATATGTGCATATCCCATCGCCTCATATGTGTGATAAAACTTTATGCCTGCAGCTTAAATTTCAGTCTTTCTTTCATTTATTAGTAAAGTCTACTGATCTTAGAATTCGGTCAAAGATGCGTTTTTCTCTGCAGATTGTGAAATGTTTTAACAATTCTCGGCTCTCAGTTGAACTGAAAAAGCCAATTAATTACGTACTAGTCATGTTAGCGAACCAAACAAGTTACAGAAAGACAGATTGATGGAATGGTTGAGTAGGGGGGGAAGGGAGTGTGAATTTTGGTTCATAAAAAGAACTTGGAAATGGTCTTCAGCAATTTTCCGAGTTAAAAACGCAACAATTTCACAGAGCGGTTCAAAAAATTAATATCCGAAGAGTTGGACTTTGGCTTCAGATGAATTTGATCAAGTCGCGACACACGACACGTATAATGTTTGTTATTATGTCTCCCATACAATCAATTATCTCAGGCTTTGTCTGTTAGGCTAGTTTCCACTTTTGTACGAGTATGTATCATTTTATCGGCTTCACTTCTAGAAATTCGCTTAATCGGTTAGAATAAATGCGTTTTTTTATTATTATGTATAACTGTGTGGTTTTCCTATAAAAAAAAAAAAAACTTTGTGAGTATGTTGGTCGGTATTCCCTCGGAAATGAAGTGCCGGTGCCAAGCAGTTTCTGCGTATTCCCGATATTTTTAATCCCAGTAACCTTGGTTATATGCTTCTGAAATGGCTAAAAATTAAATATGCTGTTTGAGCCAAACGTTGTAAGTTCAGGCTCATTTAAGTTCGAGTTGATATTTCTAACATTACAACACTATTTACAGCTCTCTATTTAACTTCGATACATAGGTCAAAAACCTGTCTAAAGCGAGGCATACTACTTCACTTTGTAATTAATAATCGATTATCTTGAACCCGCCTTTTGAAGTCGGAAAACTCATTTGAATTACAAATACTCTTAGAAATTACTATTCATATTTGCGCGCAGTCTTACACGTGGAAATAGCTTACGAACTACAAGAAATTTGAGCGTCTCTTTTGGCTTATGTGGAGTCAAGAAACGCGTCATTTCGAACCCTTTATCTTGGATACTGTCTTTTCTGTCCAGGTCAACGTGTGTTCTTATGCTGGATTGAGTGGTTGGGATACTTTGTTGAGGATTCATGCTTTTCTCTCAGTCACCGCTATTATTTAGGTAAATAGCTTATGGAAGGATACATTTGGATAGTAACGTACTGTTCATCTTTCTCGTTGTGGCCCTTGTAAGATCAATTTAAAGTAACGGAATAAAGAGCGTAATGCACATAACATAGTGTAGGACAAATCTTCAACGGCAGCCGCCATTACAGTTTTTCTTAAACGTGACCTTGTGGCAGCGCGAGAATTTCGAACTTTATTTTTAGTGCATTTAACGCTAATTTACCTATTTCGATTTTTCTTTTCATTCTTGTACGTATTTTTCCACTGGCTATTATGATTATGTTGTGTTGAACTAAAGTGTGTTAAACCCTTTAACTCCCAAGATCTGATTGTTAATTCTCCTCTCTTTCTGTTACACATTTCCTTGTTAATCAGTTACAAGAATTTGGTGTTGGATCAAGACACCAACTTCAACTTGATAAGTTTGGGTATTCTCATCACCTGTTTGCTAGACAATGTATGGATATTACAGGGAGAAGTTACATTTTAGTCACTTCTGGCAGTTAAGGGGTTAAACGCCCTTTTTCTTTCCCTTACCCTCCAGCCTCATCATGATGGAGAGGGTAATCTAAAAAACGTTCCAACGCAGACTCCAGTTTCTGGTTACCAGAGGATTCTCTCCGCCATCTTTTATACAGAGGTCGTGAAGGGCACTACTTGCTTTGCATTTTCAGAAAGCCAACAGTCAAAGTTAGCTAGGTTATTCTTAGTTACACATTTTTTTTTTGATGATGCTCGGTAAGTTATTATGATACAATTTCCGAATGCTTTTGTTCAATAAGACTTACGGATGTTAAATTTGTCAGCAGAAAATGTGGTAGCTCGAAATGAGTTTTTCGATGCAGACTTTTCACCTTTATTATTAAGAATCAAAAGAACTCTCTCATATATTTCGTTTGTAATATAGTCATCTCTTTTTTGTCTCCATGGAAATAAAAAAATATAAAGAAGAAAAGAAATGGAACACCTCGAAATCAAGAAAGTCAAGGAAGGAGAGAAATACAGGATCACATCTGACAAGGTTAGATAACTGACTTTTATAACAAATTAGCTTTCTAGGCCTATTTGTCTGCGTTGAACGATTTAACCTGGATCTACCAATTTCATGGATCTCTTTCTGATTGAGGTGGCTTTCGGTTGTTTCAGCATGTTTGGTTGATGAATTAATTCTCTTGTGCATGAACACATTTTATTTGTTTCGCTCGTGTCGAAGAAATATCCACTCATCATTGTGCGCGTTATGACTACCACGAGGAGAAGTATTTTAATTCTTCTGGATGCTTTACTTTAGCAAGGAATTCTTTATTCCAAAGTAAACCGATAAAAAGGAAGGGGAGTCACCGAACTTATCCATTCGCCGAGCAATTACAGCAGATACTAGTCCGAAGAATTTTCATGGTGTTCCCTTATATGCCAGAATGATGGTCATAGGACGTAAAATAAAGTGGGTGTTCATTTGATCACGACAAATATATGTCAACCGGAGACCTAATGGTTTCGGCTTTAAGTATAAACACAATTCAAGATGTTAAGGATTTTATTTTCGCACACTAAGTTGTAGAATGTTATCTGAGATCTCTTCAGATTCTGATGATTTCTTACACTGCTACCTCCTTCAGTTGTTAAATGTCTCATTCCTGGAGGGAAAAAAAATAAGTATGCTCTCACACCCATCATTTCTTGAATTTGTTTTTCCAAAATTCTTTTTTAGGTCTCTGATAAGTTTAATAGTATGATAGGTTCTTATAGAAAGGAAACCTTTTCAATTTAAACAGCTAAATCGTTGGAGCTTAAATGATGCAATTGAATTTTGAACCAAATTAAAAGTGTTTACTTCAAAAGTAGATAATTTTATGTCATAGTTCTTCCTGCGTTTGTCTTCAAATCATCTAGAACTTCTTCACCTTGACGTGATTCAATGAAGATCCCAGCACCTTAGTACTAATATTTTTAAGCTCTAGACGCTAAAACCAAATTACAACAGTATGCTCCAAAATTTCTTTTTTTTTTGTTCCTCTAACTGCCTCTTGAGAAAATCATCAACCGACATAGATCTTTTTTTGACGTGTTCACAATAAAAATGTTAGGTACTAATTTTTAAAACGGTATGAGCTCTTAGAGATTAAAAAAAATTGGAAAGTTTGTTCCATGAATTGATGTTTGTTCCTCAAGTTGCCTCAAAGTTTCGTAATCAACTGATATATATTTTCATTTTAACTTGATTAATTACAAATATTCGAGCCTAATCATTAAGATGTTTGAGCCTATGAGCTGGGCTGCAACCAAATTGAATAACATAATAAAAAGTTGCTTTTTGTCTCTCAAATTGCCTCTAAAAGTGTTTCATCAAGTACACGATACTGCAATAAAAATCATAAAGCCAAATTTTTAAAATTCTTAGCTCTTGAGGCTGAAACTAATTGAAAGGGTTTGGTCAAAATCTATCATCGACTTATATGGAGCTTTAAAACATGCTTTGATAAGATCTTGAAGCCTTAGTATGATGTCTGTGCTCTTGTCACGAAACCCGAATTGAAATAACATGCTCCGAAACTTGATGTTTGTATTTCAAAATGCTTCTGTAGTTTATCAACTTTTTGACATGATTCTAGAGCCTAATTATCAAATATCTGAGCTCTTTAGGTTGAAGGCAAATGGGAATAGCATGCTCTAAAAACTGGTACTTTTTAATTTGTTCGTGGAATTCATTCATAAATCTCAATGATTTTTAATTCTGAAGCTTGCTCAGTTCTCATGATTGGGAAAAGAAAAGAAAAGAACAGTACCATTTGCTCATAAAAATTAAAGATCGCTTTCTAGTGTACAAATTGGTTTAGGAGTTCGGTTAACATGTCAGTTAATTTTCAATCTGTTCCTGTGTTGGTTGAATGTAGGTACATTTGGTCGGCTTAAAGATACCTCATCCTGAAAAAGCATCGTGAGAAAATATCGGGAGACCTTACTACTACTTAAACCGCTGAACACAAATTTTGAAACCTCTTTCTTTTGCTGGTTAAATTTATTCACCAAAGCACAGAAACTGAAAAATAATTTTTTAACACCGTGATTCAACTCTCGGTGACCCAATATCAGATGACTTTGCTTTTAAATCCCCTTCCCTTCATTAAAGAAACAGAAAGCTTGATTTCAAAACTTTTACTTTCATCAGAAAATTACTTCAACGAAACATTTTTTAAAATAGTAATTTTAAGCTTTCCACTCATGAAAAAACGCCGCTCAGTCACTTTTATTTCCTATTGTTATTCACCGACTCTCACGTATTTAGGTTCTCTCAGGATTTCATGCATGTAAACGGGAGCTTGCAACGATATTTCGATCAATCTTGATACTTTTTTCGTTTTCTAGTCGAAACTTTAAACAAGAGCACAGCATTTTATTTAAATATACATTCTGCGGCGTACTATTTAAGAGATAAAAATTCAATCAAGCAGGAAGTGAATTCATGCAGTTATTACATGTGGATTCCTTTGTGATCTCAGAAGAATTGCTAGCGCGTATTTAGATAACCTGTTTGTTGTTACTTAACTGAAATTCTCGGCTCAAATTGAGGTAAAATTTCCGCACAGCCCCATCCTACATTATACATTCAGTTCTTGGATAGAGAAAACATTGACAAAGACAATAAATTGCCATTAGGAAAACAATATTGTTTTACAATAGTATGGGGCTGTGCGGAACTTTTACCCAAATTGAAATGGTTTCATCCCTGAAATCAAGTAGGTTTAAAGCCTAAATTAGAAAATCTAACTTGAAGTGAGTTCGACAGCAACATATACAATAGAATTCTTCGAATTCATTACATATGATGTCCATCTGTGTTCGCAGTAAATTTATCGTTAAATCCAGGTTATGCTCACATTTATTTGTGTGGTCATTCAATGAATAAAGATTTAAATACTGACTTCTATTCTACTCGAATTCTACGTGTCTAACATTACCAAATTAAATACGTTTTTCTGCGACACGGCCAACACTACATGGACTATTATCACTTAAGAAAGCAAAGTTTAAAATAAATTGTATCAGTCAATTCGTGATTTCTCTTCATTTTTTTTTGCAGACTGTTAGATGAATACCTCTCATGCTTAATTCAAGCACGAAAAACTATGATCCAAGTATAAGACACGATTTATTAAGGGGTACAAAACAGATTTGGCGCTTTCCTTTCAAAAATTTCAAGTCAGAGCTACGTTTCAAACGCCAAAGTCAGGGACTAGAAAGGCATTATTTCATGATTTTTGTCAGTTTAGTCAGCGTTAAGCGCTGTTTGAAATGAAAATTTTTTTTCCCGCCAAAAAACTTACAAAAACACGGAGTTTAAGGACGCATGCGCCAGTTTTTTCTTTATCTATTCTGTAAAATTTGTTTAAATGTGGTGAATTTTCCCGCCAAAAGACGGTGTTCAAAATACGCATGCGCCGATTTTTTAAAAAAATATAATCTACATTGCCAATAAACTATGTTTGCTCACTCGTCTTTTCTTGTGCTATTATCGTCAATAAAGTAGTGTTCAGTTTCTGTCTCAACTTTTATTGTCCTTCAATATACATTCAATAAGCCACAAAAGTTTCATATTCAACAAATTTTATTTGTTTTAGATATTTCTTTAATCATAGGTTTATTTAGTAATTTTAAATTGAATTAATGATAAAAATTTTTTAAGAACCAATTTGCACAGAGAGTCCCCTGGCAACTTTATCAGCAAAATTTAAATAAGGCATCCTTTAAAAATAACTGCCAAAAATAATGAAACAGCATCTCGTGCAAAATATGGAATAGAAATCGCAAAGATTCTGTTTCTAGCCTATTTTTATAAGACTTCAAATTCTTTGCACAAGACGTGTTCAAGTTTCTAACAAAAAGAGCATCATGGCAAGCTATGGAGTGTTCGATTGCAATCTCCGAAATTGTGATGAATTTCTTGATTCACAGTTTGCTTTTGAATCCATTTTTTTTTGGTAAGCCTGTATAGCTTGCTATGACGTGTTTTTGTGAGGAGTAAAAGATCTTTAAAGTTGCCAGTTTTGTATGTATGTAACACAGGACAAAGATTGGAAAGTGTCGAAAACATACATCGAAGATTTGGAGAAATTTCTTTTTTGAAAAATTTCCTTTTTTGATTGAATTTGAATAAAAAACGTCTCGCATTGTTGGAGCAAACTCCTTGAGCTTAGTGTTAGCCACAAGAGCTAAGTTATTTTACAATTAGACTCCCCATTTCTTAAACTGAATTTGCCAAGAAATTCAACAAAACAGTAACACATAGCGAACTCTTTGAATTTGTGTTTAGCCTTAAAGACTCAGACATTTAATAATTATGCTCCAAGGCTCTTAAACTAAATTCGAGAGTAATTTGAAAAATAGTATAGTATAAATTTTTTTTGGTGCAGAGTCTAAGAGTTCTGTTTTAGCCAAAAAAAGACCAAGTTATTCGCGATAAAATTCCTGCAGCGAATTTTTTTTAAAGATAATTAGTCCTTAAACGCGTTTTATTGATATTATGACCTAAATTGAAGATAAAAATCTATAGTTTTGTTGACCGTTTTTCTTTTGTATATTCCTGCGTTACACCAAGTGACGGCGCAAAAGATCTTCCTTCCACTTACAATAATAAACTTAGCACGATATATTTTATAACTAAATGCCTGGTCTAAATGATAACAAGTATCCTTTTTCGAATGCAACTCGATTTTGAAAGTTTGTATCGAAGAAAAAAAATCTGTTCCTTAACAAGTTGCGAAACAATTTACCTTCTAAGTTTCTATTGAATAAACAAACTTGAAATACGAAAGTCTATTTTCTTCTTCGTAAAAAGGAGTCAATTTTGACTGGTGTATAAGAAAGGTAAATTTCAACTTGATCAGTTTCTCGAAGGAGCTCGTGACCAGGCATTAGCGTTTTAAAACATATATTACTTCCAAACCAAAACTGAACTCAGTTGATGGCACAAAGTAAAGAATATAATCTAAGATGGCACTGTAAATTATTGCTAGGTCTATAAAAAAATAACTTCTTTTTTTAATAAAAGTAGTAAGATTTGTAGTTTAATTGAATTCATGCCAAAATTGATTTTTCAATTTTTAATATATTTTGGCCAACTTTTTCGTTCGGTATCATTTAGTTATCAATTGTGAAGTAAGATCGTCCGAGACTGGCCTAAGTACGTACCACTTGAATTATCTGGATCGAGTGAAAAATTGCCGAACTATTTTGTTAGAGTGCCACCTCAGATATCATCTTTATGTGACATCAACAAGGATATAAATGTGATACTAACTGTTAAACAAACCAAAAAAATGAGCGATCAGAGCTTCGAAATTAATAATTCTAGTTCAGTATTCTGTAGCCAGGATAAGGTCAATTTCTAGTTGTTTCTATCACTAATTCGATTCAACGAAATTATCCGAGATAATTACACCGAATTATAGCTAGTAATTCAAATAAATAAAATAATCGCTCAGAGTTTGCATAACAATGTGTAACACAACGAACTATTCGAAAAATGGTGGCTAATTGAGAACTATTCACTTACCATGTAATCAGTTTACCCATTCCAAAAAAAATTGTTGAAAGAACGAAGTCTCCATATAATAGTTAGACTAAAGGGCCACCATTTTTGATCGTATTACTAAACAATTTAAAACTTCTTAGCTTTTCAGTATCCACTAAAAATTCAGCGATTCCAGTGTCTTCTCTCGACCAAATTCTTTGTTCTTCCATCCTTCTGACATTACTCTTCCTGATAGCAAAAAATACGAAAATGATCAGGACATGCTTACTTTGTACGAGGCCGAAAACTAAGAATTAAAATTCTGTATATTGGTTTTGCTATTAAGAAAGAGAAAGCATCAAATATTTATAAAATTTTATTTAAATGAAGCAAAGGCCACTGACTAAAAGAGACCTTCACGTGGCTGCATTCAAATACGAAATGAAGTCCCTAATGGATTTACCAAGTAAAATATTTTTATCTAAGGGTTTCACTAAAATATTTTACAATCATAGGTTTCACTTTTTTCGAAGTCAGCTTCCTAATTTAGTCTAATCTAGAGTTGAAGAGCCTCTTAGACCGAGCAACCGATTCGTGTTACTGACGTCGTTGAGCTGAGATGACACGACTCGTTTTGATCTCTGAGGGAGCTTAACGCGATATTTTCCAAACATAATGCTCACCTACTGTTGTAGCGACATGAAACTGCTTCCATTCTTCTTCTTTACAGGTCCAGCGTCTTCTTCCTTTCAGAACGCAACGTTACGTTTCGCACACCAAACGCACGTCTTCACTCGACAACTGACAGCGTGGTTTGCTGAAAATCTACAACTTCTGATGAATATGGATTAACGACGGCAGCCAATAACCGGCTGCTACACCACAGATTTGGCGCGGAGTATTGTGTGCAAACTCAGCGCCACTTTTTTTTGTTTTTCAAGCGAGCAGAGGAAAGGGCGAGACCTAGTCAAATGGAAAGGTGCCAAAAGGAAAACACTTGCAAAGGTTACGCCCCGGGCGCTTTTATCCACTCACCTAAAAAACTAAAAACTCGAAATGACGTCTGTTTCACAGGTTAGTACTCAGAGAGCCACGTCCAACATATTGCGACTTATTACTTAACAAATAAAGAAGCCTCGACCGTGCTCTGTTCTGTTGTAAAGCGCGCCAGAAGTGATTAGAGTACGAAAGAAGTGTAGGGGAAACACTCTTCCTGCGTGCTTTACAACTGACGGAGCATATAAACAGAAGTGGCGTGAGCCTACACCTTCATGAAGCACATTCGAATAAACCAATCAGTTAGAATGGTTTAAAGTAATTTAATTGGTCGAATAAAACTGAAGTTTTGGTAAGTGTCCACCCATCACAGTTCACAAACTATCAAAGTTCACACTCTAAAAAGGTTCAGCAGGTTTGCATTAAAGTCAGGTAAGGGAGGAGTTTTTAAGTCAAGGAAAATTCTCTTTAAAATGGAGATAAAAACGTTGTTTTTAATAGATAATTTCTGTATCAACTGTCTTTTCATTACCAAGAAGCACTTCTGTCAATATTTATTTCTTTATTTTAAAGTACATGGAGATTTTGCAATCGATTATGACACTAGGATTACTTTTTAACGGCTATGTAAAACATGGACAGAGAATCGTATGCCAATAAATATAGTTTGTTTTCTGATTGAATATCTATTTTCAACGGCTAGTTTCAAAAGATAACAGAAAGAACAGTTACAATGTGAAATTGTATCAACTAGACCTGCTATCAATTTGGATGCAACACATGTTGCGTGAAAAACTTGAGAAACTGAACATGGCTTGTAAAGGTTTGTTTGTAACAAGTGTGGCACAGACTAGTATCAAGTTTTACTTACCGTTAAGACTGACGCAATGCTGAATAACTATTTCTTGAAAAAAACTGACTTCTTCTGCACATGTTGGCAATTACATGAAATAATTTCTCGCGCAGGTTGCATCGCATTGGTATAAACTAAACTGCCATACCCTTTCACTCCCAAGATCTCATAAGTAATTCTCCTTACTGTCTGCCATACAATTCTTAGAATATTATTTTGGCGAATTTGCTATTGGATCAACAAATAACCTCGTAATTGATATTTTTCTTTATTCTCATCATTTGTCTGTTGATTTTTTTATTTATATTTTAAGAAGAAATTCTGTCTATTTCCTTCGTGGGAGTTTGTGGAAGGTTAAAAAACAGTTTCTCAACTCAATAGTTTTCATTCCAATAGACCTCTGTAGCAATTAACAAATCAAATTATCAAATTGGAGGTGGGTTTTTTTTCTCCAAAAATAGAATATAATTTTCCATCTGGCCTATACGTATATATGTCTGTGATTTGTATAAAATAAATAAAACTGTCATTTATTAATTTGTGAACATTTCTTACGAGTAATTTAAGCGTTCATTATATGAGTTTTATTCCCCCGGAATTTAATAAATGTTCTATCGCTGCTATAGAACTATAAAACTACAGCGCCTATCTTCTAAAGAAATTCTCCGTCTTCAAACAGCAAAAAATTATTGTTTAAATTTTGATAATAATTATCCTGTCGGGTGAACCACTTTCTTTTCCTTCTTTCTTATGTGTTTAACAATTTAAGGTCTAAAATCAACCGTAAGATTTCAAATCGAACTGAAACGATGATTTTGAAAGCGACAACTGAATTGTACAAAGATAATAAATTGGCCTGGCCACGTAGCAGATTCCTTGCCTAGTTCACAGTCCTTTTACCCAATAGTGGTAAGGTTTTGTTGAAAGCAAAGTATGCAGGCCGCCTCTGGGACACAGTGTTTATGGAAAATATGACCTGAAAATCACAACAGGACTTGTATAAGGTTATACCGTTCAATGAAAAGGATCAGAAGAAGTTTTTCTCGCCCGCGTTGAGTGTCGTCAGTCGTGTTAAACGAAGCTCGTTGGGCATTGAAATCCCAAGATCCGATTTTTTAAATTCTCCCCTCTAGCTACTACACATTGCCTTGTAAATAAGTCACGAGAATTTGGAGTTTGATCAAGATATTTCACTAACTCACCACATTCAAATAAAAGCAGTCCTTGATTACTGGTCGAAATCTGCTCACAGAGTTTCAGCGAACACACCAAGCATTCACCGCTAAAAACAGAAAAAAAATTGAAGACGTTAACTTAACTGAACTAGAGAAAGGAAAACTAAATGGTAACTGCTGATTGAAAACATATAACGCTTTCCTAGAAACTTGAAGCCAGTGGATGAACTTCTCGACCACTTGCATTTTCCTTACTAGTTTTCGAGAATGATACGTAAAGAGAAGCAGTAAGCTGTTTCTCTGGATAGTTTTTAATAATGATAACACACAAAAAAATCACAGGTACTTACTCTGACAGGCGAATATTTTGTCCCCAGTTTGAAGCTGTTGTAAGAAAAAAAATGGGAGTTAGATCTATTGCAATTAAAAAGTAAAAAGAAACTGTAAAAACGAAAAACAGCCTGGATATACGTCGCGAGATGCACCACTCAATGCGTGGATAAAAGAAGACTTTACGTAGATACGGAAATAAACCAATAAGAGCTCGTCGCACACGTACTACATACGCAGAGCACTTTCATGAATCACGCTCTAAATCCACGCAAATAAGCCTCGTTCGCGAGTAACGCATTACACAACGTCCACAAACCAAGGCGACAACTTAAGTCAGAAAACTACGGGTACAAACATACAAAACGTCCACGAATAATGCACGAAGACCAGACAGACAAGCTTAGCAAGAGTCTGGAGTCCTCTTCACCAACCTCCATCCTCAAGTGTCCTGAATTGTTCCATGGATTCTAGTTGTGGATTTACGTCTTCCTGTTCAATTAAAAAACCACAGATAAACAATTTTCATGAATCAGTCCAGGAACTATTTTATAGCGTATGCCTTAGAGCAATTAACACTAGATTTTGAAAAGATTTTTGCACTTTACCCGAGAAGAAAATCGCACCAAAGAATTGCTTACAGTACCTTACTTTTTGGACCATACGTTTCTTCTTCTTTACGGAAACTGTTTAACTTAAAGGAGAAAACAAAGACAATAAGAACATCACAAACAGCATCATCAGGTACGTTCTCTGAACACGACAAGAAAACATCTCTAAAAATCTCAGTGCCTTAAAACTGCTCCCTTTTTCGCTCACCTTAGGCGCCAAGGAGCCACTTCTTTGTGACCACAGATAAGAGTCCAGCTTTTTGAGCAGTTCGTGAATCAACGTCCTGAAAAGAAGTAAGAGTTTCAGCGCTGTATTAGTAAAAGGCTTGTGTAAATCATCATAGAGAGAACCTTTTTACTCCCTCCCCCTCCCCCCTCGAGCGCGCAGGCGCAGGGTGGGAGAGATGCACTTTTTTATTTGGCCCGCACGAGTATGCGCCGCTTAAGTATGGTTTTCTGGGCATTCAATCTTCCACAGGACATACAATTTTACTGCTTAGGGTTTTGAACGGGGTTTCTTTCTTGATCCAAGGCTTTAGACAGGGTGACAATGTTATTGGTGTAGAGTCTATCTGGGTTGTACAAAAACAATATTTTCAGATCAAATACCATCTATTCTGTCAGCTCTATTAGGTCGAAAACGATCGCCAAATTGACGGATTTGGTCTCAAAAAGTGTCAGGACTTAGAAGCGAAGAATCCCTCCCCTGACTTTAAAGTAGTGCCCACCCCCATCCCCCACGCCCCGTCACTGAGCCTCAACAGAGAAAGACGAGCGTTATACCAACCTTTGCCTTCTTTCAATCACGGCTCCCAATAAACACGAGTAGTAGAAATCTGTAGTAAGGAGTGGTGTGTCACGTGGTAGAGCCTGCAGTAAGTTAACAGTGTGTCCAGCACCAAGCCGTTCAAGCATCAGGTTAATGACGTTACTCCACGTCAAGTTAGGCGTCCAATCAGTAAGCGACAGCGGCATGCACGAGTGCGGACAAGCATGAGACTTGTCGCTATTTCCATCACGTGATAAAAGCAATTCTAAGAGGTACTTCCATTCATCTAGTGATTTCGGGAGACTTCCTGCATACAAAAATTACACATAAGCCGCAACATGTCCCGGACAAGTGTAAACGAACCAGATTTCATGGTCACAGTAACCAACAATGGTAATTTTAAGGTTTTCCCTCCTCTGAAAATCTAGTTTCACAGCCGAATTATAGGACATAATTGTAACACAGGATAAACAAATGACTGGTAGAAAATCGCATAAATGTGTATATGTAGCGCAACACGACGCAATCGCTTTGGTCGCCATAGCGACAAGAAAAAGGTTGTTCCTGCTGAATTTCTAGTCTACGCTGCTAAAGACGCGAGGGAAAATACTGTACATACCCCATGGCTGAGTGTCCTTGATAAGGTTCAAGTCACCTAGCGAGAAGACCAGTTTCAAGGCGTCTTGTCTAAGATTTTTCCGCACACACAAGCGGGTCAGACCAACCCAATATCTGAGTTAAAAAAAGGAGAGAGATAACGTTAACAATTAATTTAACGTTACAGGCATTATGACCGAATTTAGTGCTCATGTGAAGAACATTACCTTATAATAAACAAAGATGTAATTTGTTTTGGTTTTAAACGTGGAAAAAAAAAGAACACTGAGTACCTTACGAGAAATACGACCTCGAACCTGATTTCGCAGTCCAACGTTCTTCCAACTAGCTACCAAGAGCTCGTTGGTGAGTTAGCCTAACTCACCAACGAGCTCTTGGTGAGCAGCCAATCATAACAAAAATTACATCATTATCAGCCAATGGGAACATGTAGTAAAAGCAATCTTCCTGAAGCGCGGGAAAACGCGACTGACCAAGTCGCAACTGATTTCAGTTTTGCATCTGATTGGTTGAAAAGGCAAGGTGAGATTTCTAGACCAATCCCAGAGCATGATGAAGTAAAATAAAAGCAATCCTAGATCACTTTCGACACTCGATTAAAAATTGCTTGAATAAGAGACAAACGTCTTGCGAATCAGCAATGTCAACACGCTGTGTTTGCATAGATCTAAATTTTTCATAAACTACAATTTATACATATACTTTCTCTTCAAAAGGATAATTTTCCTTCAGACGAAGTTTCAATTTTGCCCGTTAATTTACCCAATTCCGGTGAACATGTAGGGAAAGTCAAGCATGCCGAGATATAAGACTTTTCTCTTACCCATGTTTCCAACACAAATCCATGAAATCGTTACATTCCTTTGGATCTTCCTGAAGGAGAAAGTCAATCAGTTGTTGTAGATGATCGGCTTTCTGCCACGGAATCATGTGCGATCCCGGTCTGAAAAAAAAAAAAAAAAAAAAAAAAAGATACAAAGGTTACAAATTACTATTGAAAAGAAAAAATTCAAGCCCGCAATCAATTAAACCAAAAATTTAAAAAAAATTAGTAAAAATGAAAGATAAATATCGACCTTGGGTTCCCACAGTGTTGACAATGTATTCCGTCTCTTGAAGAATCTACAACAAGTGAGCAGTGGAACCACCACACGGCGACTCCTACATCCTCACAAATCTTACTGACAGTTTGTTCTCTGGAGAAAAAAATATCATTGTGGAAATATTTCACAAAAAGACGGTCACCGGCACCATTAAGAATTCAAATTTCAACTTCAAAGTTTTTATAGAACACATCGCAAATATAGTATGTCACGCTAGGTGTCACGTTAGAAGTCACGACAGGTGTTTCTGTTTGATGAGGAGAAGGACGCTATGCACAGGGCGGATTTGAAAATTTCCCCTGATTTCTTCCTGAGTTCTCATTGGTTCTTATAGCTATTCCTTTCTTCTGATTGACCGTTGTGATTACTTTGGTTTGGTTTTACGACACTCGATCAAAAAGCGCTCTGTCACTGGTATGGTTTCAGACCACACTGCTCTTTACTAAGTTCAAACACAATTTAGAGTCATCCTCCTCTCTATCCTTTTAAAATTACTTATCCGTACTTGGTAATTCCAACCTCAGCCCGCCATCTCATCAGTTGTTCCACATAAAACACAAAATCATCTGATCTGGCTTCAAAACTCAGACCACTGTTTTGCCGACATATCTCCATCACCTCCCACGGTTGCACATCCGGAAACATTCTCGCGCACGTGATCATTGTTTCACGGCGATCGTATTCATACAAGCTGTGAAAGATAATCCGTAAAGGAAGCTTTTAACCCTTTAATCCCGAAAGATGACCAGCATCTAACTTCTCCCCATAATATCACCCCGGAATCAAACAGTGAGGTTATGAGAATAAAGGAAGTGATCACCAACTCTAGATTGTTTATCGAATTCTCCTTGCCCGTAGATCTTGGTAATATATATAAATTTAGCCAAGCCTAAAAGCGGAGCTCGCATTTTTTTTCCCGGGATAATATTAGGGATAATAACGCCTTGCCCCGGCCAGGACTAGAACCCGGGTCGTCCGACTCGGAGCGCAGTGCACTGACCACTAGACAACTGGACAAAGTATGGCGTTGGTGTGCCCGCGGTACAGTTGACCACGCATGTGAAAAGTAGCATCTTGTACGGTCGGTCGTAGGGTCGTAATTCCAGATTTTTACGGCTTGATGGGTTACTAATATTTTGTATAATAATGGGGCTACGCTCTGCGAGCTCCGCTATTAATTCTCTATTCTGTTTCAAATACAAAAGGAAGATCGTTTCATTAGGCAACTGTCTAGAGTCTGGGTACGAGTACAACTTACCGAGTTAAATGATACAGTAGAATGCTAGAGTAAGCCTCCATCCCATCATGCAATTCATGAAGTGCTCGCCGTGGATCGCCGTCCTTCAAATACTTAACAATCACGTCATCAGTCGTTACCAGACCTTGACCACAACAAAATGAATCATTTTTCAGTTCAAAAACCTTCAATTGAGCAAAATAATAATTTATAAATTATATAACAGAGTTCCACATATTAAGTATAAACATGATAACTCACTCACCAGACATGCCATCTATAAAAGCTCTCCATGTTGTTCGTCTATCGCCCTTGCTCATAAACAGCGTCCGTCGTAACTGCTTCACATCCAGCAGAAAGAAATAATAAGATAAGAAGTTTGACCGAATAGTGTCATTTTCTCGCTGTTCAGAGCGTTGGCTTTCGGCATTTTCATGGGGAATCCGAGAGAATGCAGTTCCCTCCTTACACTGCAAGCAAACGAGCATACGGTCCTTAGCTGAACTGAAAATACCTTGCTCTTTTTGTGTGAAAGAAGGGCCATGAGTTCCTTCTCCATTAGAGAAGTCTCCGTTCATTGTGCTGTTAGGTAATGCCTCGTTGCATCTTTTATTCGTTGACACGATTAACTTGTCCTCACCAGAACTGTGTTTGTCCATAGGCAAAGTCTGAAATGCTTCTTTAGTATCGCTGTTTGAAATTTCAACCTTGACGCTTACTTCTTGAACATCTGTACTATTTGAGGAAATAGATTTCAAGTCACTCACGGTGGTTTTACCAGCTTGAGTTGATTGGCCAGCGTCATAAACACCATTAACACCATTAGTCATACGTTCCGATACGGTTTCCAAAGAGTTGTGTAGCAAAGGACGAATGCCTCCATTCTTTAAGTTTTTCTCATCAATAATCTCTGCACCATCTTGAACCGCCAACGAGCCATTAGGCATGGTCTTTCCCTCGCTACACAAAACTTCATGGGACAGGTCTTCCAAGCATACCATACCTTCTACTCCAAATACACCACAGTCAAAACACATTCTTGTTAGGTGAGCGACATCGCCAAACGCAGGTTCATCGAGAAACAACTTTAAATCAACCTTAGTGTTGTTCTCATCAATGTTCTTGTTGAACTCATGACAGCTCTTCATGGCCGCATGTAGTTTAGGGACCCATTCTTCCAGAACTTTACGAAGACTACTGATACTGAATAGCACCACTGGATTCTTGACTTCATTCCTGAAAGGAAAATGACACAATCGTAACTGTTACATAAGGTAAATTACCCTCTACACGCATTTTCATTGGTTGTTCCCCGTTAAACAATGAGGGCTTATAGACACTTGACGTCACAGTGGACAATTTTTGTGTTTTTGTTAGAAGAACAGGGCGTAGAAAAGCATTTCTCAAGAGGGCAGTCGCTGTTAAGAATATCCACACGCTTTACATATAGTGGCTTATACTTCTGCTCCACCATGCAACAAACGGAGTATTTCAGCTAAAAAACATTTATGCCCTAAAGATTCTACGGATTGTTGCTTGCTTCTTTTGTCTTCAGTAAAAATCAAATAATTTAAACTCTCTACCAGCTGCCTAACGGATTCGTTCCCAGTTTCCCCCACTTAAACTCCTCGGCTGTGATTTGTAGATTACCAACTGGACTATCTACAGCCATTTTGATATGTAAACACATAGGTTTACCATCAACATCTACTGAACATCACACCAACTAACAAACATTAAGCTCCTGTCTGGTGAGCCAATTAGGCCATCAATTAGACCATCACCATCTACTGAACATCAGACCAACTAACAAACATTAAGCTCCTGTCTGGTGAGCTAATTAGGCCATCAATTAGACCATCACCATCTACTGAACATCACACCAACTAACAAACATTAAGCTCCTGTCTGGTGAGCCAATTAGGCCATCAATTAGACCATCACCATCTACTGAACATCACACCAACTAACAAACATTAAGCTCCTGTCTGGTGAGCCAATTAGGCTCTTAAGATACTAAAAAGTAACCACAGGAATAAAACCCCAAAATGGGCCTCACCGAGTCTTCGTTGAACTCCGAACAAGTTCCTCGACTTCCGGTGGGCATTCCATCTCCTCCGAGTCTACTTCTTCCTCTCTTTTGCAGATGGTTTCTTCCTCCATGGGTGGGGTAGGAGAGGGTAAACTAAAGGAATCCTCTGATGGAACTTTCAGTTTCTTTTTCAGCAAGCCTTTAGCTTTTGACAGCATGGCTGGGATGGCGGGAGGAAGTTCTGATTGTGCGGGGCTAGTGACTAGCTTTTCAGGCTCTGATAAAAGTCTGCTCCTTACCTGCGTTGTAAAGGACACTACTAGTTGATTCCCATGTCACAGACACACAGGGAGAGACAAACACGTAAACAGACAGACAAACAGACAAACAGACAAGGCAAACACAATAAGAGATCAAAAATCGAGGTAAGCAGTTAACAACATAAGAACAAAGGGGGTAAGTTTCTGAAGAAACTGTGGTGTGCGTCGCTGGAGGGGAGAAACTCTTTATGTTGGCCAATGTATAGTTAATAAACCAAATTATTAGGCGACAACAAAGCTGCGTACATAGTTATTCATTAATACGTCTACAAACAAGTAGATAAACAGATAGCTCAAAAGATGGCGAGGCAGACAACATTGACAGACAGAGGGGTATATGAATAGAACGACAGGCAGGAGAGCAGGCGTACAGACAGATAGACAGAGGAATAGACGGACAGACAAACAGACCGTGAGGGAGATAGACTGACAGATGGGGAGACAGATGGACGGACAAACAGACAGACACACGGATAGAAAAACACATGGTGGGCCACACAGACCGGGTGGTATGCAGTGTAAACAACTTTACCGACAGGCTGGCCAACATCACTACAGACAAAGACAGACAGACAGAGACAAAGACAGAGACAGAGGAACAACCATAGAGACAAACCGCAGAACATTTACACCAACAACTGTGTCACAAAAATGTCTTACCTCCGCATCCTCAGTTGGAGAATAAGTACCACGAAAAGATGCGCTCCGCACGTGGGGGATGGGACTGCCCAGCGAGACCTCTGAATTTAACAATTATTAAACAATACCAGAGTTCGAGAATAATAAATCTAACACAATAGAGTTTGTATAGAGAAAATATATATAATTTTAGTTCATTTCTTTCTTCTTCAAAACCATTAGCGCGACAGCATTGTACTCGTGTTGCGCAAGGTGAATATTAGGCTGTTACTTAAATCATGTGTTTACAACAGATTACATGTAAAGTTAACCTACCTTGTTTCAGTTGAGGTGAATCGATATCTAACGAGAAAACAAGAATTTATAAACACATGTACAGTGTAGATGTACAGTCAGGCTTCCGCGTATTTAACAAACTAAAACGTTCCAAAGAAAAAGAGCAAACAGTGCATTTGGCAGAACAATCAGGGGGAACACGTACTGAAATGTGATTCACGTGAAGACAGCAAAACCTACCAACTGTGACAACTCTTTTCTTTTTCTTCTTCTTTTCTCGCCTTTCCCGTCTAAAAAAAATAAAATGTTACAGAAACTTGACATGACGGAACAACAGATGGTAACGAACCCACTCCATCACCTAACTGCACGAACTGACCAAGCCCCTGAAAGATACTTTATCTAGTTGTTCATCCTCCGGCAAAAATTTAAGCCATAAAACATTGGATTTTGTAACTAGTAAAAGTCAGCCTCTTAAGGAATTCGAAGCACATTTGATGAGGATGATGAGCAAAAATAATTGATGTTTCTTACTTTTCAAAGACCTCTTCTTCCACTACTGCTTCTTCATTTCCTGACTGTCTTGATTCACTGTCATCAGAGTGACATGGACTCTGCTCGAGACTTTTCTTTTGAAGTCGAGGACTCTCCTCTTCACGGACGACTTCTTGAATATCCGGCAGTTCATTCGGTTGACCAGCGCCAGGGTCCGAGGCAGTCTCACTCTTGAACTCAACGGCATCACTTTGTGACTCACTGCTGCTGTTTGCCCCGGGAGAATCTTCCCCTCTTACACCACCTGCGCTATCAGCGGAGTGAAATCTTCTCAGTTTGAGATTTCCTTTCTGACGCTCTGAGGTAAACTTTTTGGCTGCGGCGGCAGCTGATATCAGCATACCCTCCAATGAGATATTCCCGCTCCACTGTTTCATAAGCTTCCTGTGCAGAGCACCTTTAACTTCTGACCCATCATCGTCGCACTTATTGTTTGGCGAGTTGTCATCTTCTTGTCCTATTTCCGCCATCCTCCCATTGGGCTCCAGATCTTCAGTTAATGCATCACTGCACACACTCAGTGTGTCAGGACTGTCAGTCAGGCTGGTGTTACCATGGAAATCTGGTAAATTGACATTCTCGTCTGTTGCAGGCTCCATATCACGCTCGAGTTCTTCCAGCTCAGCAATTTGATCCTAAAAGAGACAAATATATTTTTAGGGCCTCCTAATATTTAAATTATTCCGTAAAATTTTCGAAATGGACATACACTTAACCGAATGTTTGGGGGGAGGGGAGGGGGGGAATATGGGTAAAATTCCATGAACACTTGCGAAAAAGACGACAGCAGCTGTTACTATAATATAGAAGTTACATGTAAATTATGACCATGGCTAAATAATGAAATTGCCTGACATGTTGTGGGGTATCGTCCGTTTCAGCTCTATTGTAACATCTGTTAAATCAAACCTTGTTTTCCATGTCTTCTTCACTTAAGCTCTCTTTGAGGTTTGTAACCAAAGAAACTGGAACCACATCTCTTGCTGATCCGGGAATGATGAAATGCTTGCAGTCAAGCACAACCTGTAATTTCAAATGGATGTTGAAGACTTCTTCCATTTTCCGTGTTCCTAAGGTTTAGAGCAGTTCACATACCGTATGTTTGTTGTACAACTTGGTTATTACTAAGTTACAAAAATCATAGCTGTCTCCCTTGAGAGCCTAGAGACCACCCAAGTTAAATTCTTCACAATCTGGAAAGTCATAATTTCTAACCTTTAAACACTGTCTGATTTCTCCCATTTCATGCAGTCTAGATATGCACTCTTTCACAGAAAGAAGGGCAAACCATTTGACACAATCTTCTGCATCATACACGTAGAATTCCCGTCCAATGCACACAAGATCCTGGACCACTGCAAACATAATATTATTAGAATGGCAACTTTAACCCTTGACCTCTCATAAGTGACCAAGACAGAATTTCTTCCTAGAATATTGATACAATTTCATGCAGACAAGTGATGAGCTCAAAGAAAAATGTTATTTAGAAGATTATCATTTGATCCAACTAAATACCAAATTCGTTAAACTGACTTCATAATTACGAATTGTGGGGTAGACATTATGGAGAATCACTGATGAGATCCTGAGAGTGAAAGAGTTAAATTACAGTATGTCAAAAATGTCTTCATGAGGTATAAAAGATCATACAAATGCTAACATCTAAGTTCTTTCTCTCAAGTCTTTACCTGTGTTAATATTGTACCAAGCCACCAACTGCCCAAGGATTGGATCCATGATATACAGTGATGATCCATGCCATGTGACAAGGAACCAACTTCTAAAAGATAGATGGCAAAGGGGAAGAGTTACTAGGCGTTGATTGGCTGAGACAGAGGGCAGTTATTCACTATTAATAGTTCACTTCAGGTAATCAAAGAGATGATATACTTAATCCTGACCAGTTGACTACGAAGGCATTCTGAGTTTGATATATATGAATTTATTTCAAAAAGACACAAATGGAAAACATGATAGAGAACACTGTTTTAGAAAATTGGAAAAGAGAAAATTTTTTATCCAAATCTTTGTGGTTTTATTATTTTTTTTTATCAGCCTGAAAACTTCACATCAGTATGGCTGACAAACAATCCAATACAAATTAAAGCATAAAAAGTGTGATTAATACTAACAAATGAATTGAACACAAAACAAAACTAAAAACAAAAAATAAAATGAGACAAAAATTGAGCAGACAGAACAAAAGCTTAAATAGACTGTGCACCTTGAGTGGCAGTACACACAAGACTACACCCTAACAACATCAACAGGGACAGTGGAATTGAAATCCCAGAAGTCTGGATGACAACAATAAAGAAACACAGCTGCAGCAGACCACAGAGGGAACCAGATATGAAGAAGCACTAACATATCAGTTTATAAATGACACATACTCAATCAACCTCATCACCTGAAGAGGACTGAAAATATGTAGTAGAAATGTCATGATCCACATCTGCAGTGATCACATCTTGAACAATTATCCTTCTCTTTTGAGAGTGTTATTTACCACAATGACAAACCACAGCCTATTTTACGATGTGACTTGAGTTGTAGTTTAAAATAACAACAGGTTTGAATGATTCCAAACTAATTTGACAATGTATTTTAATTTGTGTGATTATTGTGGTAGTGTACTTTGAGAAAAGCACAAAACAATTCAAGCCAGATTGCCTCAACATGAAACAATTAATTTCAGAAGTTATAACTTAAACAATCACCTTACAAGCAGCAGCTTAGCAAAATTTACAGACTGTGGAGGAAACTCTTCTTCATCTATTGGCTCATCATCACCATGACTGCAAGGTGAAATAATATTTTACAGATAATAGCTACAAATATTATATTAATTTTTGTCATGATGCTTCTGTAAAAACAATGAAAAACTCATTGAAAAATGTTTATAGCCTTGCATTGTACAATAAGAATATCTGCAGTAAAAAGACATCTGTTTAAATAATTTTAGATCAAAGAAATTAGTTAAATTAATTTTTTGACTAAATCAACTGAAGGTATTTTTTATCTATTTTATTATTTTTTTATTGCTGACATGATTGTTACTGTATTGCCCTTCAATGGAAAATAGGCAACAGTAGGAAAATTAAAAAAAAAAAGCCTTTTGAGACAGATCTCCAAAGGATGTTTCAAGGAATGGACCTCAGAACAAAAACAAACAAACCAACTGACAAATACTATCAAACTGTGTAACTGAGGGTTCTGATGGCAAAATCCACACCAAATCTGTGAGAATATCCAATTAGAAAAATGCTGGAACAGTCAATTAGGAACTTGCAATTTGAAAAAACAGGAGTAACAAATTGGAATTACAAACCTAAATCCAAGTATTGGCGCTGGAGGTGAACCCAGAAGTTTCTTGTACTGTTGGGTGGCCATGACTTGACCATCCATGCTGGCCTGTAAAAATGAGAAAGTAACAGTTCATTTCAACATATCATCCACTTGTACTTGTAAAGGTGCTTGTATATTAGATAGATTTTTTGTGGACTTGAGGTAGTATGGCATGTGTGGCAAATAATGTGCAAATCAGATTATCCTAAAAATACTGGGTCGCATTAAACATTGCTTCAATTGTAGACTGAGATGATGTTGTACTTTGTTGCATGATCTTTTCCAAGGGGGAGGGTTGTCTGATATTGTCATAAATTCTCAAACTTTCATGCCCAGGTGTTCACTTCTTTTCCTTCATCATCTACTTTCATAGAAAAAGTGCTTTTTGTCTCTCAGTCACACAAACAAGTGGGACTGAGATGAGTCAAAATCATCCCTTTCTCAATGTAAACCTAGCAATTATACATCTTGCACCTGCATCATGCTTGCCAAACTATTTCTTACCCCAAATAGATTTAAGCCATTGCAGCCCAGAATGACCACAAAACATTGTCAAATTGACATAAAAACAGTCAAAGAGAAAATAACAGTCAATGCCAATTATTGCACTTCACCAAAAAACTTCAATGATTATGAAAAGCCAGGCACTGAGAAGATTTTGGTTGTGTTAAAGCCCTTCAGGGTTCTTTGCTAAATCTTTGAGCATCTTAGGACAATCAGATTCTTTGGCACACTTGGGAAAAATTCAAAATCAAATATCTTACCTCCCACAATCTTGACCCAGGACGTGCTGAGAACACTGTAGGACTGTCAGAGTTCTCTTCTTTAAAGAAACAACTTCCATATAAACCATCCCTGCAATTTTATTTCACACAGAGCCTTTCATTGTTTCGAAAAAAATTAAGCTTTGAACTGTTTCTTTGCTTCTGTTTCAATAAAATAATTTCACCTTTCAATACCAATCTCAATGATAAAAGATAAACAATAAGTACCAAAAAAAAACACTCTAAAAACATACCTTAGTTTGACCCCAACTGGCACACAATCCAAACTAAAGAGAATAAAGAAAATTAAGTTTAACTTAGCTCCTAGTTGTTATTCTGGATGAAGGGGGAAGCTTACAGGTTGGGCCATGTCTGCTTGTTTCAGTCTCTGTGAAACTGTTAAACCTAACAACTAAAGTTCCTTGCATTTTTGTATCTTATGCAAGGATTAAGTAGGAGGTTAGGACTATTTAAGAAACAATATAATAACATTGTGAACAACATATGGAGCCTAAGTTCCATGCATTTTTGTATCCTGTGCAAGGGGCAAAGGTGGGAGGTCAGGACTTATTAAGAAGCGATTAATATAACATTGTGAACAGCAAATAGAGTTAAAGTTCCATGTATTTTTTGCATCTTACATAAGGGCAAAGGTAAGAGATCAGGACTTATTGAGAAACTAATATAGAAGAATCAAATAGTAAAAGCTAAGGACCCAAACAGAACACTGCTGGAAAGAGATCTAGAGGGCAGGCAACTCAGCCTATTTGCTTCTACACTAAGCATTGGAA